AACATTGTTAAAATCCGATAACAGACTTTAAAGTTATTAACTAAAACGTCTGCTACTTACAATTCCTGTTTCGGGGTCTAATTCTTCAGTGTACATGTTGATGTCCAGGTAGTAGCCGCTGTCGTTGGCCAGGCACAACCTGATGGTGGAGGTTTCTGCGTTCGGCGACGGTCAAATTATCAACTTGATTTCGGGCTGCAGAACTCCTAGTTTCCACAATCGTAGACCATAACGCATAACCATGTTTGTTACCTTAAGAAAAAAAAATTGTTAAAGTTTGAGGTGGTGTAATTTTTGAAAAAAATTATACAACAAATTAAAGTTAAACTTCCAACTCACCGCCTCCTCGATTTTGGCGGGATCCATGGTGGTTGGTCATTTATTTTCCGGGCGCGACCTACAGATTCAAAAATTTAGCACCAGGTCTTGTATCTTTTTTATTTTTGCTCCGATTTTAATAATTTATACGTCAAAAGAAGGCTTAACTAATCTAGTTTTAAAAAAATACAAATGTTGGTAGGCGACTTCCATGGGTTTCTAGATATACAGCAAAGTATGTCGAAAAAATCACTTACCTTGGCTTTTCCGAGGTACAAGTGCATCTTCTGGTTGGCGGTCGGGAGCGCTTCCAAGTTGTAGGTCCTCATCATGCGGCTCAGTTCCAACTGGAACGCGCTGGCGGGTTCCAAGTGCCTGTAGATTTTGTCTTCGGTGAAGTCGTCCTGCTTGTGCTTCAAGGCGGAGAAGGTGATTCTCCTGATGCCGCGTTGCAGGAGTTCCTCCGTGTTTCAGGCGGAATTTGCCAAACTGTTTGGACATGGTGGTGTCGTCCGAGTCCCCCTTGTCCTTGATTCCCACCAAAAGGATGTGGATCGGTTCTTGGACGATGTGTCTATCCTCTGGAATCAATCTAAAAACACATTTAAAAAAAATTCGATTGTGCACCAGGTCCGATAACTTCTTTATTTTTTAAGGAATTTTAATAAACTATACATCAAATTAAAGGTTATTTTGTATAGTTTCAGAAAATATATACATGTAGGTAGGCGACTTCCATGCGTTTCTAGATATTTAACAAAATATGACGGTGTGTCCTAAAATGCAAATTAAAAAGAAAAAAAACTTACGAGGATGACGGATTTTTCGAGCATCCTCTCGGGGGTGTACATCTCCATCTACCTGGAGTTGATGGTGGGGTCGACGACGGCCCACGCTCCCCCCGCAGTTCACCGTTGGGGGGGATGTAGATGAAGACGGGCTGCTTGTACTGCTCCAAACCGTCGACGATGTAAGCGCCGAATTTCATGATCTGCTAGTACATGTCTGCAAGTTGCAAGATACATACAAATTTATAATTAACAAATTTTATAATTTTAGTCAAAAATATCATGGCAACAATGTTTAAAGGACTTAAAAATATTTTAGGAGAAATTTACAATTCGAATTGAAAATATTATAGAAGATAATAATAATTCGATTCATTATTGAAATAACAAAATAAAACAGATATAAAAATCCGCACTATATGCGATGTTAGTTCATTTGAACTACAGTTGCCAGGAACTGGCAAATATGAACTAAGTCATCCTATAAATATATTACATACTTATTATTACTATCTGTTATTATAATTATTATTACATATTACTATTATTAGTGCCTTTATTTTAATTATAAATATTTTTGTAACCGGTAGTTCAAATGTCTTTACCAGTTTGTGAAAACGCGGGAGAAAAAGCCGCGTTAATTAACGGTTAACCTAATGGATTGTTGCATGTCTTCTTCTTCTTCTACAAGTAGGGCGATTTATGGCTAATCCCACCGCCCTTATTGTCCTGGACAATAGTCCTTATTAAGGTTCAAAGATTTCAGTCATTTCAGTTATGTATATACGTACTACATAAATTATTACAGAAATGCGTTTAATGATATCTGACAGTTGCAAGTAGTTCCAATGAACCAACCAGCATATAGTGCGTTTTTACAACCCAGTTCAGTGAGAGTAAAAAATTAAGTTTTATTTGTTATTTTAATTATTAAATTAAGCGCGCACCAGGTCTCACAACTTTTTTAATTTGAGTGCAATTTAAATTAATTAAATTTCAAATAAAAGACAAATTTATCTGGTTCACAAAAATGGTCCCGCATATTAGGCGACTTTCATGCGTTTCTAGATATTTAACAAAATGTGACTAACCTTAAAGACGGCTTTGACCTGGAAACGGGGTGGAGATGGGGAGTCCGTGCATGGGACCCCTGTCTTGCTGCCGTATGCTTTGAATTTTATCTTAAAAGAGCAAATTAAGTTTTCAACAAAAATTACACTGACTACTTCCAGTAACACATTATAATTAAGGTTAACTTTTTAGTTTATCAACCGATTTCTAAATACGTGAAATCGATCTCTATTTTGTCTAAATTACAAAAAACAAAACATTGTTAAAATCCGATCACGGACTTAAAAGTTATTAAAGAAAACGTCTACAGTATATATACAGTATACAAGTATGACAAAAATATAACTTATAGAAAACAATTTTTAATCTTTAATAACTTTTTAGTTTATCAATCGATTTTTAAATGCAATACGTGATATCGATCTCTATTTTGTCTAAACCCACACAAACGTCAAAAGTTTAACTTTTAACAGTTATATTAAAGGTTAGCTTACCCAAAGCTGAGCAGCTGGCAAATTGACTTCGGAAACCATTTACGTGCACGGATGCTCGACCTGCAGACGAGGATTCAACTCCAAAAAATTTCCGCTTGTATAGTAAGATATTCGACAGTTTCGGCCGAAATGTAGCCCACCATTTTTGCCAACCTCACAGCAGCCTAAAACAAAAAAATTCAAATAAACATCAAAAAAACAAAAAAAATTAAAAAAAAAACAATAAAATATGTTAAAAACGGCTTGGCATGTCAAAAACCAAATTAAGAATGTTATAATAGTAATTTATGCAACAAGAATATAAAGTGAAACTTTTTTGCATGTAGCTATGAGGTATGAGTTATAAAACCTCCTAGTGCAAAAAAGTGGCTTTATATTTAAGTACCATACATTATTTTTTCTAATACTAAAATAAGTTTATAAATAATCACTAAAAATGTGAATTGCAATTATTTTATTTTGACATGTATGTCAAAAATGACCTACTTTTAACACTTAAATGTCAAGAAAAAAGCCGGCTTTTTTACAATCATAAAAACAACTTAAAGTTTTACCTATTCCAGAATTATTTTTTGATAGGAACCGAGATTTTGGTTCCTCTGAAATGTCTGTCAAATGTCAAAATTTTCCTGAAACTTGGTCGTTTGGTTACTGGAAAAGCGACCACACTTTTTAGCGGTAACATTTTGGTTGCTGTCAATTTTTTTTTTAAATTAGGTTGTGTCTATAAACAATTTTTTTATAACAATTTATATTTAATATTTAATAGGGAATTGGAGAAACATGGAGGTAGGATGTATTTAGATTTTAACTTAAAATGTATGCATTTATATTAAGTAGCATACAAATATTAATTAGTAGGTATTATAATAAAACATATTTCTTTTTAAACATTAAATATTTGGTTTTGTTGGAAGTTGTTTTTGGTAAAAGTATGGAAACTATTGACAATTTTCAGTATAATCCGTTCAAATCCGTAGTTAAGTATTTTGTACCTTAATGAAAATTATTGTACATAGTTTAGTATGTTTTACCTAAACGCCTCCTATCAGAAACCTCTTCATCCTCACTGGAATCAGTCCCGTACTGGACCTACTTGTAACAAAGAAAAAAAACATTAAAAAACAACTCAAACAAGCAAAATCACAATTTTTACCTTTAAAGCCCTTTCCCTGTCACCATCGTTGTTATTGCATCTCCAGACAAAAAAAGATCACTCGCGCACTAAAATATCGCACCGAAACTCACAAAAGTCAATAATATCTGCATTTCTATCAAAAGGACGCCTAGCATGTCAAATTACCGGTCGTTTTGCAATTATGGCTGCCAAAGTGACAAAAGCGAATCGCCGGCCGGGCATGCGCGGTGGCTCTGTCAAAGATGACACGATTATACCTACAAAAAATGCTGCTGAAACTTTATATTGTTATATTATTATGTTATATTATTATATCGATTGCAGTTTTATACGACAATTACCCACACTAAATATATTATATTTTATATTGTCTTTACACTGTTACTGACGTATACAGACAATAATAATTATTATTGTAAAACAAATGTTTAGTTAAAAAACCGAAAAGAGTAGCAAATAAACACTTATCTTTTTATAAATACAAATACCCAAAGAACACATACCTATGTAAAGATGAATTCTTTCTTAAAAATGCATTGCTGCGTTCTGGTTAGATCAAAGATTAAATATACTCAGTATATTTAATCTTTGGTTAGATCTTGTTATGTTATCCTTAAGGCGATAACATATTGGTCCTACAATACAATACAATAAAAAAGTAAAAAGTCCATTTGAGGGATTTTTTCAATATTCAAAGAAATTTGCATTTGCATTTAAGGTACGCTAATAAATACGTTAGAAAAATGTAAGCCTATCTAGCAATTTTTGTAGATTACGCGTTTATCCCTTTAAATTGTTATAAAATACAATAAAAGCTAGCACAATCCTCGGATGTATGCAACTAATGTTATGGCAATGTTATTTGATTGCCTAAGATACAGGTCAATTAAAGCTTGCGCGGTAAAAAAACATAACCTCAAAGAAAAACACAGATTTTGCAATGTTGTAGGAGTACTATAATAAAACAGTTTTTTTGGCGGATAAAGCGAAAGAATTTTTCTTAGTGAACAAAAGAGAATTTTCGGGATGAGCACGATAAATATACGGGGCGTTCCCCTTCGAACCGTACAGAGAGAATACATGGACAAGGTTATTGAATGCCTGCAAAACGAAACAAATGGCGTTCTGGAGTCGCCCACTGGGACCGGCAAGACCCTGTCGTTGCTCTGCTCGACTTTGGGCTGGTTGCAGGTGAAGAAAGCGTAAATTCAGGCGCAGAGAATAAACGGCATTGTGGAAGAGGAGAAGCAGGGTTTTATGGGGAATCTGCTGAAAGAACTGACTGGAAAAGTGGATAAAGGGACGGTAAATAATGCAGACAACAGTTGACGGGCCTTCATGGGCTTACCGACCATCATATACACCTCAAGAGCGCATATGCAGTTATCACAGGCAATAAATGAACTTAGGCCGAGTGCATACAAGCACATGAAGCCTTGCATTATAGAATCAAGGGAGCAAATGTGCATACATCCAGTGATGAAGGAACAGAGCAATTCTGTCAGAGTAAATATTTATTTAACAGTAAATTATTCAAAATTCAAATAAATATTTTTTTGTAGACCCAGATGTGCCATTTGAAAGTGAAAACGCGCAGTTGCATTTTCACAACCGCGTGGAACGTATGAAAAAAGACCCTGCCGTCTCAGAGAGTCCGGTGATGGACATAGAAGACCTGGTAAAACTGGGCAATCTGCACAAATTCTGTCCGTATTACATGGCTTGGGAAATCCAAAAGGAGGCAGATATCATCTTCATGCCCTACAACTACCTGTTTTACCCTAAGGTCAGAAAAAGTCTCGGCATTGTTTTAAGCAACAATGTTGTCATACTGGATGAAGCACACAACATTAAAAGGTAAATTTTAGGTTATTTTTTGTGGCATAAAAATGTAATTTTTAACATGTGTCAACTGTCATTTTTTGTTGATCACTTGTGTTCAAGCTTCATGTACAAAAATCATGTACAAAAATCTTCTTAAGATAAGAGGGCGCTAGTGTTCTGTTGATTAAATTTACACATTAGCGACTTTTCCGAAAAACGGCTTGGGGGTTGCCAAAATGCAAAAAATACGTATGGAGGGATGTAAAAGTGCATAAGCAATCGGCGCAGGGTAAAAAAGTTGTATACCTAATTATCACGTAATTAATAAAAGGGGCTGATAATTGAAGTGACTTACAGTGATTTTCTGTGAAAAAGAGCATGCAGCGAGTCAAAAACACGTATCTTATAGACGTAGAATTTGAAAGTGAAGTGAAAAAGCTTGAATTATGAAAAACAACGTCATAAATTGCGAAAAATGCAATTTTTAAAATCAGGTAATTTGAGGTTATGCAGGTTCACAATCCAGCCTGCCTTTAGATATATTATACCTGTATTGCTCAATGGGGCGGGGGGGCCAATGGGGCGGGGCCGGTTGGGTTGTTAAGTTTGGGTTGGTTTGGGTTGGTTTCGCTCACTTTTGCCCATTTTAGTGTACCTCTATAACCAATATAGCAGCTAATCGTCATAACCTCAAATTACTTGATTTTAAAAATTGCATTTTCCTCAATTCATGACGTTGTTTTTCATAATTCACGCTTTTTCACTTCCACTTTCAAATTCTACGTCTATTAGATACGTGTTTTTGGCTCGCTGCATATTCTTTTTCACAGAAAATCACGGTAAGTCACTTCAATTAATTGATTAATGCATTATCAGCCCCTTTTTTATTAAATACGCGATAATTATACAACTTTTTTATCCTGTGCCGATTGTTTATGCACTTTTACGTCCCTCCACACCTATTTTTGGCATTTTGGCAACTTTCCTGCCGTTTTTCGGAAAAGTCGCTAAAGTGAAAATTTACCTTCTGTTGTGTTGCTCCATCACTTGTGACATTCAAAGGTGCAAATTGAAAACTTGAATTTTCCCTAAAGGTTGCAGCTAAAAACCCCAACTCTAAAAGCTATACCCATGATTTTTTAATTTCAAAAAATAATTTTGAATGTAATTTTTTTTAAACTGCCATGACTTAATTATTTTAGGTCATAATAAAACAAAGTTTGGATTATTTTATAGGAATAAGTATCTAAATTATATATTTTCAAACATTTTACCAAAATTCTAAGAATTTTTTAAGTGAGACTCTAAAAACTCTACCCATGACTTTTTTAATTTATAAAAATAATTTTGCATGTAATTTTTTTTTAAAACTGCTATGACTTAATTATTTTAGTTCATAATGAAACACAGTTTGCATAATTTTATAGGAATTAGTATCCAAATTATTTTTTTTCAAAAATTTCACCAAAATCCTCAGAATTTTTCAAGAAAAAGTTTTGAAATAGGTATTTGTATGATTATCTAGAAAGGCATGGAAGTCGCCTATTAACATGTACCTATATATTTTCTAAAACTATTCAAAATTCCCTTTAATTTGATGTATAATTTATTAAAACTTTGCTAAATATCTAGAAAGCCACGGGAGTCGTGTATATTTTTTAAGCTACAAGCCTTCTTTTGACGTATAAATTCGAAAAATCGGATCAAAAATAAAAAAGATATGAGACCTGTTTCTTTATCAGGAGCATCATTAGACACTTGGACCCATCAGCAAGGAGGCCTCCTTGGAATATTTGCCTCTTTGGAATCCATGGACGAGCTCAAGGTGGCCTTTTGGCATCCTCAAAGCAAAATAACGGATTGCAACCCCATTTTCCTCAATTTCATGCCCACGGTTATCATGGATCCCGCCAAAATCGAGGAGGCAGTGAGTTGAAAGTTTAATCTTAATTTGTTGTATAATTTTTTTCAAAAATTACACCACCCCAAACAATTTTTTTTCTTAAGGTAACAAACATGGCTATGCATTACGGTCCAAGATTGTGGAAACTAAGAGTTCTTCAGGCTGAAATCATTCGACCATCGCCGAACGCCGAAATTTTCACCATCAGGTTGTGCCTGGCCAACGCTACCGGCTACTACCTGGACATCAACAGGAATTATAAGTTGTAGACATTTTGTTTAATAACTTTAAAGTCTGTTATAGGATTTTAACACAGTTCTATTTTTTCTAATTTAGATTAATTAGAGTTTAATTTCACGTATTGCATTTAGAAGTCGGTCGATAAACTAAAAAGTTATTAAAGATTAAAAATTGTTTTCTGTAGCGTTATATTTTTTGACATACTTGTATTGTTTTCTTGAATAACTTTAATGCCTGTTGTATTTTTTGTAGTTTGGACACAATGGGATTTATATTTACATATTGCATTCGGAAATCGGAAAATAAACAAAAAAGTTATTCAAGATTGAAAATCGGGTATTTGTAACGTTATATTTTTTGACATACTCTTAATGTAGGTAAGTGGTAGTAGACGTTTTGTTTCATAAGTCCGTTATCGGATTTTTACGATTACTTTTTCCAATTTATTACACTTAACAATCGGTTAGTTAACTAAAAAGTTATTAAAGGTTAATATAATGTTGTTGTTACTGGAAGTCGTCAGTAGACTTATATGTTAAATTTTTTAAACCAAATTTAATAGGCTTTTTTAAATTTGACAGCAACCCCTGTCTTGCCTCATGCACGGACTCCCCCTCTCCACCCCGTACCTGGCCAAGGATTTCCTGCACCACCTACGTCTACGACTACCCCGACACGGGAGGAAGGAAGGAAGGAAGGAATTAAATCTATAAATCAGGCTTGAATCGGATTACTGGCACAGATTATAAAGGTTTAATTTTTCTAAAGTGCTTGACACACAACCATTGGATTTTGAATCCATCCTGGTCCTTATTATAAAACCAACCTTTGGTCAAAATAAAATTAACTATTTGGTAGGTAAGTTACACATTTATAATAATTCTAGGCACTTTTAAAGGGTGTCAAATAATAATATTGTTTTCTTCATTAAATAAAAAGTTAAACTTAATTTCGTTGTTTTCCTTATCCTAATCTCTTTTAAAAGGTTTATACCATGTGGTTCTTTATACTTTATTTCTACGTAATTAGGAGCAAATCTGCCTTGCATGTATTATGCAACCCAGATTACTGCTAACTGCTTTCTAACCAATGTAAAAACAAACCTATCACTTTTTAAACACATTTATTACCAAAATATAAAAATATCAGTTAAAATAAACTTGTATTTATTTAACGAAAAAAGCTTACATTTTCTAAAAAAATGTAAAACCAATTTGGCCTTCATTGTGCGACGTTGCCAAACAAATTTCGATCTAGCGCACTTTCGGTCTCAAACACTTTCGATCTACCTAATTTCTATCTACAAAAGCAGAATTTGTCAGTGCCAGAGCACAATTTCGCGTGCACATTTTATTACTTCCGCACAATATTTTGTTGTTGTTATGTGAGCATTTAATTGAGAATGTGGCAACAATGGACGGAGATGCTACGATTCCACACTTTTGCTACGATTAGTCCCTCCCCGCGCATGCGTACAAAAATATCGTATTCCTACATTTAGCTGCCACTGGCGGTTCGCTGTCCATTTCATAGAATACAAGCAAGGTCTCTGGTCTGGTCCATATCATGCAAAGCATAGTTGCAAACAAAGCTACGAGGCTACGAAGCTACGACATGGAAGCGTTCAACTTCTTTGATTTTTGATGTAAAAACGCTCTCAAGGTAAGTAAATATAAAGGTTTTATAATGTTTTTTATAGCTCGCCAAAGTATTTTAGAGTTAATCCTACCATTCTGTGATCATTAAATATATAAGTATATAAGTAGTAGTTTCCATGCACATGGAGCAAATAGTCGTTAAAAAGAAACCGAAGAACCAGTCGACGATTCCGAAGGTGATACATCGGAATTTCTTGGTCAGCAGAGGTACTTGGTCGTAATTATAACAAGTACCTCTGCTGACCAAGAAATGCCTTAAACCTTTGGGATATCAAAGAAGAATTGGATCATCGCGTCAACCCCATGGCCTATAATAAATCGGGCGTGAAAAAAGAATCAGAAAACAACACCACAGACGAAAACTATTTTAATGGAGCTGAGCAAGCTGAACTGACAGAGGGTAAGCATTGTTGCCATTTATTGCATATTTTTAACAAGCAACAAGTGACAGTTTTAACCTTGATTTTCCACACAGCTTCCTACTCATAAAATTAGTTTGGCAATGCCGAATCGGCATAATACGGCCGATATCGGTAATACAGACACCTATATGAACATAACCAAAATTTGCCATTCGTTTTTTTGTTTATACTATAATTTATAATTAAAAGTAGGAGACATCGAGGAGTGCAGCGCTAATTGCTACAAATTCAAAGTCGAGAAGAAATGCAAAATTCTATCGCAAGTTATATTTAACTTTTCTTTAGACCAAGAACTCAATGAAATTAATCCTCTACCCCTTAATGACGATGAAGACCAAAGTATGAAAATTAGTTTTATGTCTTAATCTTGCTCTATAATATATTATAGTGCAAGCCTTTGACATAATTGCTATAATATTAATTAGTAACATTCATTTTTCTGTTTAAAAGGGCCCGAAGATCTTGATGAACTGCAGAAGATTTATTTCTTAATACTTGAAGAAAATAATTGAGCTGAATAATACTGATGTTGAAGATGACTATTATAGCTTGCAAACCCTGGTTATACGTCTTATATTTGTTAGTTGTATTACTCTCATCTAAATTAAACTTATACCCTATTAAAAAATGATGAAAAATGTTATGTGTAGAGAAAGGCTGTAAAAATGTGTTATCTTGTTTTAGATAATGCAATTTCAAATGTGATGGCAAGAGAATGTTATTCTTCAGCTTTTTAATTTATTTTGTTAATTTAAATAATTTAATTTTAAATGTAATAGAGTAATGCTGTATAAAATATGTAATGCATAATTTTTATAACAATAAACAATGCTGCATAAAATATGTTATGCATAATAATAAACAACTTTTCATTACAAATCAAATTTTTATTTTGATATTTACACAATTTTGACCCTTGCAATGGGGAGACGCCCAAACTGAATATTTTTAGCCGGGTTGCTTATTCCTATTTAAAAACTAGCTAGTAGGTAGTACCTACACAATTGACAATTGAGGTATTTTAAGCGTTGTGATACCCTTATGGAATATCACGAATAATTTTATTTTAACACAAAATTGATTTTCTTTAAAATCGTGCCAACAAAATGTGATCAGATTAAAAAGCCCCAAGTATCCTAAGGCACCTGAGAAATTAGGCTACTCTTCAAAAATGGAACTGCCTTTAACTTGGAAGAAAAAATCGGGGGAAGGTGTTTTTAACAATTTTTTGTTAATTTTAAATATTATTTTGTTAGTAATCCCGCAAGTTCTACCTCCTTACTAAAGCCTGATTTATAGACTTCCTTCCTCCCGTAAAAGATGAACAATATGAAAATCGTAGATTTCCGCACGGTACGTACGATAGTTTTGGCATAGTAAACAAAACTGTTCTGTGGTTTTAGTTTTTAATAAATAATTGTTGATTTAAGTAGGTACAAAACAGAAAGCTGTAATATTTGTAAAAGCTTCAAATGTGTCAACATAGGTGGCGTTTTTTTCACGCTGTGCTCACTCTTTAGGTTTAGTCAAATCCCGTTTATCTAATCATACCTAACGTCGAGGGATGGCGCTGACGGCGCTCGAAACTACCTTATCATCGATATTTAAATTCATCTGTCATGGCTGTCAAAACAGATGATCGTTGTTATTTGCAGTGTGAGTTTCGTAAAGTAAAATCGTGTTTATATTTACTGACAGTGTTTTGTGACTATTATATTGCTTTTGTTAAACATTACTGTGTATATTCTGTGCTACCAGAGAGACTGTTTTTGAGTTAAAATGGTTTTTATTTGTTGCGTACCAACTTGTAAAACAACGAACAAAGAAGGCAAAATGCACTCGTTTCCTAAGGATACTATGGTATGTAATTTAAATATAGCTTATACTTTAAACGCATGAATAAAAAACGAATTGTTAGTGCAAGACTTTCACAACTCAAACTTTAAAAAAATTAGCTGCAATCAAAACAAAGTTTATGACTTAATGTTCTGTGTAAAATTTAATATTATTTTCAATTTTTGACATTAGTTGTTAGTAAAATGTAAATATTTACCGTTTCAGAATATCAAATCCGTTTTTTTGTATGAAAAAGTTGCGTTTTGAGTTGCGATAAGTGCACACATGTTATAATTTTTGATATATTTTTTATTACCAACAACAAATAAACTATTGTATGTATATTTATTGATTCTGATATTTTTAGTTGATACAAAAGTGGCTTGAGGCTATTGGAAGAGAAGAATTACTTTCAAGACATAAAAACCCTACGAACAGGATACAGAGTGTGCTATCGTCACTTTTCTAGTAAGCAGAAATTTCCTGAAAACAAGAATGGGACTAATTTGATATGTGGCAGTGTACCAGATCAAAATGTTAGAGGTAAGTGTTTTTATTCTAATTGTTATATTTGTTTGTCTTTTTTGACAGTATTTATTAAATGCAGTACTGCGAATAGCACTATAATAACAATAACAGCCAGTACAAAAATTTCTATTGAAAATAACTTATTTTATTTGTTTACTTGTCTAAGTATTTGTTATTGCAAAAATGTAATTTTTAATCTATTTTAATTTTTACCTGATTTTATTTTCTTACATTAAAAATTATAATAGCTAAATTTTTTGAAAAATTAAAAGGTATAATAATTACAATTTAAATTACTTTAATTTACCTCTGCATCTACATCTACAGGTAACAAACTTGTATTAATTTAAGTTATATGTATAAATGTGGATCAAAAACATTCATTAAAGTTTATAATAATGAGGACGTTAAAAGAAACAAATAATGTTTATTTTTTAGCTATTTATTGAATTTTCTATATTGCCTTTAAATTTGAACATTTTTATACCTTTGTTTTTATTATTATTATTGCTTTGCAAATAAAAGACGATAAATAATTTTAAGATGTACCTAATGTTATTATTATTTTTATGTTTTAGAAGAAACCCTACTCAAGTCTGTGGGTGTCACAAGAAAAGTGCATATCTTTCTCCCAAAGCCAAAAAACTGTATGATATTGCTAGAAAGTTTAAAATGACTGCCAGAAGATTAAGTTATGAGAAAAGTGACAATAGAAAACGGATCTCAAAGGCTATTCAATTTTCTCAAACAGAAGAGTTCCTTAAAGTACGATTAAACCCTACTGCAGGGAATTTTGTAATTTCCCAATTAAAGCAGAGTGGAAAAAAGAATAGAGGACAACGCTATTCTCTAGAGGACAAAATTTTTGCGTTCAGTCTTCTTAAGCAAAGTCCCAAAGGATACAAGCTACTTAGAAAAACATTTATTCTTCCCAGTAGGAGAACATTGGTGCAATTATTGAGCAAAGTACCATTTCATTCTGGTCTAAACCCAATGATTTTACAAAGCCTGAAAAGCTCTGTAGAGAAAATGGAGCCAATGGACAAATACACAAACAATGAAAAAACTAGTTTAATGTCAAATTATTGTTATTATATAATTATTTATTATCAATTACTTTATTATTTTAGTATGTTATTTTTTATTTCTTTTATTGTATTTATTTACCTGGCACATTGTACAAAATGCCAAAAAGTATTTAAAATATAAAAATAAAAAAATATATTTTTTTATGTTTATGTATACATTTTAAGTTATTTATTAATAAATATTTTGACTTTTTCTTATTTTTATGGCACATTGTACATTGTATTTCTTTTTTATATCTTTTACTTTATTATTTTAATATGTTATTTTTTATTTCTTCTATTGTATTTATTTACCTGGCACATTGTACAAAATTCCAAAAAGTATTTAAAATATAAAAATAAAAAAATACATTTTAAGTTATATTATCAATAAATATTTTGACTTTTTCTTATTTTTATATTATACCTGTTTTTATATGAATTACTTTATTGTTTTTATATTTTTAATTTATTTTTAAATACCTTGTGTCCTTTATTAATACATGTTTATATATGGTTTTTTGTTTGTTTTTTTGTTTAAAACTTTATTATTCATATTCGAATAATTGTATCAATCAAACGATATAATTACTCAATTTTGAATATAAAGTTTTAAATGTTTCTCCTCAAATATATCTATAATAAAAAAAATATTTAATTATTAAACTATTCAAAAATGGCGCCATACGTTACAGCGCCACCTGCGACTATGGGTAGCATAACAGAGTTCAAGAAAAAATGCCAAGTCGCGTCTCTATACTATACTCTATGGTTTTTTTGTAAACGTCAATGCCAAGTGTTACCCGGCAACATTGTAGAACGAGTTGAACATTTAATTAAATAATAAATAAATTTCATTTACTGTAATATTGTACTCCAATTTAAGTGCTTGCTCCAGAAGAAACACACACAAACTGTCAAATTCGTTGTAGATCCGTTTGAGGACAAAATAGGTTAAAGTTTATTTTTTTGTTGTCAAAATGACTGAAATGAGTCCTTTGGAGTATTTTGTTTGTGGGGGTTTCGGTGGTATTTGCACCGTTATTGTGGGCCACCCCCTGGACACCATCAAGGTATTTTTTTATTATTATTTTTAAACATAACCTGAATTTTTTTATTAACTGTTTTTTGTGTTGCATTTGAAAAAAGTGGATATTACTCCTACGTTTAATTTATTGGAAAAAAAATGTTTGGAATTCCTAATACTGATAAGTAGTGCCCGGATTGTATGCATTTACAAATGAAGCCCATTTTCACTGGTTATTGCATATTTTACCTAAAATCCAGTGATGATATTTTCGCTATATTTACCTGCAAATTATTTTCGAATACTGGCGGTCTACTTTAAAGGAAAGCCGATCGGCACGTATGGCACTTAAGTGCATAGAAAAAGAATAGCACTCCTTTTCCACTAGGCAATTAAATTACGCATGTTTTTTATTTAATATGTACCATGCCTCGCGAAAAAATAATTATCTCTTAATGGATACGACGAAATTTTTTTATATTTTCGAGTTTTTAAGAAAAGTATTTTGTGCACAAGTGATTTTCAAATAGTCATGTTCATTTCATGCTTATTTTAAGCTTTTTACCTTGAATATAGTCCGGGCTCCACTGACAAGAATGTTTTTTTTGTTATTAACCAATGTCTATCATCATTGAAATTAAAAATTGTGCAAATGATTTTAGGTGAGGCTCCAAACAATGGCGAGGCCTGCCCCTGGGCAGAGCCCCTTGTACAAAGGCACAGCTGATTGTTTCAAGAAAACTGTGAGGGCTGAAGGCTTCAAGGGGTTGTACAAAGGCATGGGGGCGCCTTTAGTGGGTGTGGCCCCCATCTTTGCTATATCTTTCATGGGTTATGGTGTGGGCAAAAATATGTTCTCTGGTTTGAATGAAAAAGCGCCGTGGCAGCAATATTTTTATGCTGGCGCGTTTAGCGGTATTTTTACTACTTTGATAATGGCCCCAGGGGAGAGGATCAAATGTTTGTTGCAAATTCAACAAGGGGTTAATACCCCTAAATTGTATAATGGACCTGTGGACTGTATTGCAAAGTTGTACAAACAAGGAGGCATTTCCAGTATATACAGGGGTTCTGGAGCTACATTGTTAAGGGGTGAGTATTAAAAATATGTTTTTAAATAATAAATTTATTGCTAATGAAAATTATACACTGTGTATTGTTATAAATAATTTGTCTATAGGCAGTCACTGGTGTTATATATACAATAAATATTACATAACTTTTAATTTAAATGGTATTTGGTATGAATGTGTTATTTTGTATTAAAATATATTTTTCATCCATACCTTTTTGTTCAAACATCTTTTTCTTAAACTGTGCCCTGTTCAACTTGTTTCTTAACATCTTCATTTTATAATAGTCCTTCTCGTCAATAATAGTTTTGACTGTTTGAGTTTGAATGATTTGGATTTCCTCTGATTTGACAGGCTTAACTTGACTTGAGTGCAGTACTTCTCCAGATTTATTATGTTTTTTAAATCTGGGCTTAAATTCTTTGCATTTCAATAATTTCCTCATAGCTAAAAACACACTCCAATTTTGAAACTGTTTAGGTTCAACGCATTTTGGTGCCACCTTATTGTCGTAAACGTATTTAAACATAAACTTGTTGTCATAAGTACAAAGCAAACCTTTGTCGTGATTAGCATAACAAGGTTTGAAGACTTTTTGTTTAATTTTGTTGGCAATCATAGGCTTCCAGTCGCTCATTTGGCAAGAGCAATGCCAAGGATTTTCATTGAGCCTTATCAATTTTGGATGAATTCTCGAGAATATTTCCCTGGGTAAAAATTGGAATTTATTACCATTTAAATAGAGCTCCTTTAAGTTGGAAAGCTTATCAAAAACTCCAGAAGGTAGATGGTCCAGTTGGTTGCTAGATAAGTCCAGGTATTGTAGTTTTAATAAGCCCATAAAAGCATCCATGGATACATTAGTAATTTTGCAGTCGTTTAAAACCAAAAGTTCCAGATTATAGACTTCCACAAAAGCGTCGAAATCCAGTTTTGATATGTTTCCAGTAAAAATAAGTTCCAGTAGATTTGGCATTCCAACTAGTAACTCTCGTTTTAAAATTGGTAAAGCGATGTTGCGTAATGTTAATTTTTTAAGAAGATTTAGGCCCAAAAAAGAATTCATTGTGAGACTTAAAGGCATATCATCACTGCCTATGACAAGGGAATCGGTTGTGTTCATAACTTCAAAGGTGTTTGGAAAAATGACACTTATTGGATTATTTCCGAAATTTGCTAATTTAAGCTTAGGAAAGGGGGGTAAAGATAGTTCTGATAGTTGGGAGAAATTATTGTATGATAAATCTAGATATTGAAGTTCCAGTAATCCGGCAAGGTCGGTTAATTGAATGTCCAACAAGTTATTGTGAGCTAGCGATAATGTTTTAAGACTTGGTGTTCCGTAAAATGCAAAAGCTGGAATAAATTTTAGATTATTTCTCTCCAAAATTAAATACTCTAGATTACTGAGTCCATCAAACATCTCCCAGTAAACATTATTTAATTCGCAGTTGGATATCCGAAGGAAAAATAGGCTTTTGAAGCCTAAAAATAGGGGGTATTCGTTTAAATCAGATTTCGAGATTTTTTCGTACGGTAAAACTGGTTCATTGTCTTTTTGAATAAATGTTAGGGGGTGGGATTCATCATCTAACTTGACAACGTACGCAAAAGTAACTTCCTCATCCTTATATTCTTTTAAAAACTTCTGTAATTGCACTTTGGATTTCTCTATCAATATTCTTTCGAGATTAAGAAACTTTAGATAATCAATTGTCATGTCAATCTCACATATCAAGTAGCTCTGATTTGATTTTTTGACATCAACATTGGGTCCTAAAAGTTCCAAACTTAAAAGTTGCTTAAACTCGCTCAAATAACTGAATTTAATCGATTTGTTTCCGGATTCGTAGCCTTGGATTAAAGTTAAAGTTTCGATATCTTTGGGAATTTTCTCTAGGAGTTGTAGCGGGTCCGTCTCCGTCTGCAGAATGCATGTTGCCGATTTTACTATTGATTTATCTTCGAATAGTTCGGCATCTAGCGATTCCTCGTAAAATACCTTAAATTACATATAGGTATAGAGAGACACATGCTTAAAAATATTTTTGTTTGTTTACTTACATCATTATTTTCAACTGATCCTATAACACCTGGTTGGCTCTCCTTGTCTTTTTGCATGAACCGATATATTGCTGTCTCACTTAAATGCTCCAGTCGGCAAGTGCAAATGTGGGGGCAATCCGTATCCTTATCCCATAATGCTTTAGACTAAAATCACCACTTTTAAATGTTGTTATTACAACTACAGTTACCATTCAGTTTAAATACCTTATTAATGAAAACTAGTAAGCAAAAATAAATTAGATGTTTTTTCATTTTCATCTAATACTGTGTTTAATGCAGTATTAACAGAAACTAAGCTTTGATACCAATCCACAGGACATGCACCCCACTCATTTCCTTTAACTTCTTATCTGTGTAGAGTTTTAAGAAATGTAATATATTAATAAATATTGCATGTATTTATGTAAGCATGTATGTAGGGGTAAATTTAGGTACCTACCTATATAGGCGTCTGATAATAACCTTTTCCTAATGTTTGCTAATATTTTTTTTAAATACGATAACTAACTAATTTCTTTAGACATACCCGCCAGTGGTATGTACTTTTTGACTTACGAGGTAGTCAAAGAGTGGTTCGCAAAGGGCAGCAAGGAACCACCAAGCATTTTTGGCACAATTTGCGCAGGTGGCGCTGCAGGAGTGGCCAACTGGTTGATAGGAATGCCGCCAGATGTCCTCAAAAGTCGCCTACAAACAGGTACTTATATTTGCTGTATCCACAATATTAATTACCTAATTATATTTTTATTGACCTTAATTATATTTTTTAGCACCTGAAGGGACATACAAAAATGGCATTAGAGACGTGTTTAAAGTATTAATAAAAGAAGAAGGCCCCAGGGCTTTATACAAAGGTCTAACTCCAGTATTGTTGAGAGCTTTCCCAGCTAACGCCGCTTGCTTCGTCGGTTTTGAACTTTGCAAGCAATTTTTGAATTTTTTATTCCCAAAAACTCCTGAATCAATGACTGAGTCACAATAATTTGACACTAATGCGCATCTCGACTGTGATGACTGTTTTCATCTGTTTTTATAAAATTTTAACTGTCAGATTTATTGTTTAATGTATTTTATACAACTATATTTTATAAATATATATTTAAATTTTTACTTGCGTTTTATTTTAATGAAAGTCGGCATTTTTTCTTATTTTTATTTAATAAAATATAAAACAAATTTCAATTTTTTTAACAAGTAGCAAATAATGCTTAATAAATTAAATAACAAAACTCAAATAGTAAATACATAACAAATTTAATGATAATAATGGGTTTGTTCATACCGACAAATGACTGTCGAATGGTGATGCGAAATTCGAAAATATTGCGCATGTCCCTGAAGTCCATTAAATAGTCCAAATGCTCGGTAGGAACAAGTCTAATAATAATAATAATAATACTTAATTATAAACATAACCATATACCCTGTATGTATTTGGTTAAATTAAATAAAGAAAATAATTTTTGGACGGGCATACTGTAACGTTGGACGGAATGTTTTATAATAAAGTTACAATAATGGCGTCCTTAAAATAATACAGTGTATCACAAAAATACAAGGTATAAAATATTAAAAACAAACCATATGTAGGTATATTATGCGTTACGCTACATTTACATAATAGGGAGCTTTTATTGAAGTTTATATATAGTCAAAAACGGTGGCCCCTGGTTTTAAAAACTAACATCTCTACATGTTTATACATATATACATTACGGACTCAATGCTCAAACTCCTTTACAAAGCACGTATGAAGCGATATTATCTGTATAATTTGCTGTGTCTCCTTGTCGGTTTTTGAGCAATAAAATTGACTTAAAGTTGAAGTTGGCTGTTATCGTCAATAATCTCCTCTTTGACTTCCACTTTGACATTAAGTGCAGTTTCAAAGTCGTCTTGACATTTGATTTTGAATGGACATTGAGTGAGGTGTTCCAAATAAAATGCGTTGTCGATAAAGGTATTTGAACAATATTGACATGTTTTGTAGTCGGTTTTTGAATCGCCATTGCTATTGCCGTTGCTGTAATTTTGTTGGGTTGGAGTGTAGGAGTTTCTGCTCGACGAAGGCGACTGACGCACATGAGTAAATCTGTGGTTATCCAACTCGGTTCTGAAGAAAAATTTCGACTGACACTGATTGCATTCGTAAGGTTTTGTGTCTAAACCATGTTCCATTATGTGGTTTTGCAGGCCTGCTGCTGCGGTAAACACTGACGAGCAGACGTAACAACTGTACTGGTTCATGCCGAAAAAATTGTGTTCAATGAGGTGCGTCTGTAGTTTATATGGCGAAACAAAATCTTGCTTGCAAAGAAAACATTCTTGATTTTGCTCGTCATTTAGTTGGTGTAGTGGTTCCATTTTGCATTTTAAATCACCAATCACAAGTGGCTGCGCCGGTATAAACTTTGTTTTAATCTCGTTGTTGTTCAAGTTACTGCATTCTTTGCAAATGGATACTGTTATATTGTTATCACAATTTTTTTTGTTCACTATATTAATATTCCCATGAATATCGAAAATCTTGTTGCAAACGCCACAGATAAACTCGTTTTGGAAAAGGTGTTTCAAATGGAATTTTGCGTGCAATTTAATCTCAATGTCAGTTTGCAGAGTCTGACAACATACAATGCAGTTGGCTGGCAGCGATATCTGCGAATTTTGCTTTATAATTTTGTTGCTATGTTGCAATTGGTGGTGGTAGAATGACTGTTCATCACAGAGAATCGACTTACATTGCACGCAAGTGTTTCCTTCGACGATTTTACAATGGTTTAATTTATGATCGGCCAGTGTTATGGATGACGTGAATATTTCGTCGCATATGTTGCACTTGTGTTTACCTTTACCACAACTGACTTGGTGGGTTTTCATGTGGTTCTCCAAATCGCTTCTCGATTTACAATATTCATTACAGTAGGCGCATTGAAGACTTACTAGACTACTTTTGGACTTGCTTTGCTGCGAACTCGTGTGGTTCTTCTTATGGTTAATTAAGTCCACTTCAGATGGCAAGTCCGATATATGGCATATATCACAGGAAAACATCTTCAACTCTGATTTTTCTGCACTTTTCGACTTCTCAACCAAATATTTTTCCTCCTAAATAACAAATATCTGTGATTAGTATATTAATGTATACATATATAGGTGTTATCTTACCTTTTTGGGCACATCACTATGTTCATTTAAAATGTGGACATACTGCGAATACTTGTCGTTAAATGACTTTTCACAAAAGGCACACTGTAGTTGTATTCCATAATCCACCCTACTGTTCAAATCCAGTTGATATTGGCTTTGTATCAATGATTTATTTGAAATACATGCTGCAAATTGCTGATGTTTCATTGAAATATGCAGTTCTGCTGACAGTTTATCATTAAAAACTTGGTTGGAACACAAGTTGCATTTGTAGTATTTGCATTCTTCACTGTGCTTACTAGTAAGATGTAGCTAAAATAATATAAACATATGTTTTTAAATAATAAAAACACGAAAACACCTTGGGCATTTGTTTGGCACGACAATGGATTCGTTTAAACCATGTGTTTAACCTGTAAGCAAGTAGAGTCGGCCAGTTGTATAACTGTAGTTCTTAAAGGTACTGCCGATGCAACGAAACCAGTGGCTGCCAAACAAATGTCTAAGAATTTCGTTAATTTTCAAGATTTTTTTATTAAAAAACAGTAGCACTAAAGTGAAATTATGACAATTTTGTAAATACCTGCATTGACAATTTGGTGTCAAATATTTCGTTACAAATTGAGCATTTATAAACATTAACAACATGTACATCAATTAAATGTTTTTGAAGCTTTTCCATGTGTTCAAAGGTCTTCTTACACGTGTAGCAACAAAGTCCAGATACTTGTATGACAGCATGGCCAAAAATATGGCTACTAAAATTGCTTGTATTCACATTAGGATCTCCGCAAATAGGACAAAAACCTAGCAAAGCATTATTAGCCGATATCATGTGTGTTTCCATGTGATGTAAAAAGCTTTTAAAGTTCGGTAACTGGGCGTAACAACATGAACATATACAGGGTTTGTCAACTGAACCGTATGAGTTATTTTGCGGGATACTTCCGACTCCGCCGACGTCAATTTTACGTTTCTTTTTCTTGCTGCTTAGTTTAATTTCTTCGTCACCGTCGATATTTTTTTGTCTTTTACTCAAATCAGTTGGTTGTAGTTGAAATGAGTTATAGGAGTTATGTGTAAAGTCACTGTTGCAGTACTGTGAATTGTGTTCCAAATTTTGATCGGATTTCGGCGATATACTCGATGCGATACCATTTTGTAAGTTTTTATGTATTGTATTGACATGTTGACACATTAGGTCTAATGTAGGGAAGTCTTTGGTGCAATACATGCACATTATTTTGATGCCTTCCTCTGACTCTGCCATTTGACTCTGAGAGGCAGGCGAATCCGTCGGCGAATCAATATGAGAGTTCATTAGATGGTTCTAAAACATTGTTAATTTAGATTTGCAAAACATGTTTTATTACAATTACTAAAGCTTTATACCTGCAGAGATTCAGGCCTATAAAATGCATTAGGACATAGATGACATCTAAAAGATGTGGGGCTATTGGTGTCAGGGTCATCACTGCATTTAGGCTCCAATTTTAAATGGACTTGTTGATGAGAAGATAAAGCTGCAGCAGTGTTATATCCCCTGTTACAAGATCCACATTTGTATGGTTTTCTACTATCATGCGTTTTAAGATGTATTTTTAAATGATCGCTAAAATTATTATTATTAAGATTTACGTCAACTGAATTGAATACTATTTACCTTCTGGAAAAAGCTGATTCGCATTGCAAGCATTTGTATTTTTTGTCTCCTGTATGGAGTTTTGTGTGTCTATCCCTTGACCGTTTGTGTTTGAATAATCTTGGACAATATGAACAGGTGAACTGAAGGTGATCTGAATGGATCTAAACAAAATAAAATTATTTTACTCGTTTTTTGACGTTTTCTAAAAACATTTTACCTGTTCGTGGTCTATTAGCTGTTGACCAGTGGTAAAGGTATCGCTGCATATGGAGCACGTGTAGTTGTAGTCGGAATTTTCAATTTCCAAAGACTCGTGCGATATGGGTGGACTCGATCTAGAATCGCTCAACTCCGAATCTTCCCCGTTCGATTGTCTTGACATGACAGATTCGCAGGCGGTTTGTAATCCAGAAGGTCCTGGAACAGGCGACAATTTTCCCGTATTCGCTAAAGGTGAAGTGACACGACCACTGTCTAAAAAAACGACAAAATAAATTAAAAAAACGTATTTTATTGCCCTGAACTTAACAAAATATACAAATATACTTCAGACATACATAGTATTTATACTATGTACTATTTTATTATTGAAGAAGAAAGGTAATATTTATTATTCAACACCCGCAAAAAATATGTAAATTCATTACCCTGCTGGGATGGGCGAAAAAATGAATATCCTAATTGTTCATTTCTTATAAAGTTTAATCTGTTTTGGTGTTAGGGAATAACTCTAATACTTGTTTAACATACACCAACGTTGTCCTTTTTCAAGTATTTTTCTCTTAGTTCAAAATGTCAAATGGAATATTTAATGTATTAGGTATCTTATGAAACTTTTTTGTTTTTTTAAATTTGTCCTTAAAAGGCCCTTACTTATACATTACTCCTGTGTGTAATAAGGGTGAAAAATTCGTTTTCGTGGAAAAAGTGGAAATATAATAGATATAAATGAGGTTCATATACCGGCGCATTGTTATTTTCCCACATATAAATGACGTGATTTATATGTGACCCAAATTAATTTGATGGATGAATATTCTCGGTGTAATTCTTGTGTATTTTCTCTATAAGATGTGACAGATTGTTGCTTTTTATTTTGAATAACATTATCAATATGCACGAACACTGCGAAATACGCCGAGTGTTTTCTCCTTCGGATTCTCAACATATATACACTATCTACGCACTTGGCTCCATTCATTGGCTATCCTTTTTACTTGAATTTTTTTTAAGAATGATTCGAAGAAATTGCTTTAAAAAGTCATGTAGTCTCTCTGTATACGGAGCTATAATTTATTACTAAACAATTTACAGGGCGATAAATGTGAGCTGTTTAAATGGACAAATATTATTTATATCAATTAACTATTCTGGTACCCCTCTACATTTTTAATTCCTATAATTACTAATAAATTAATATTTTTATTTCTTGAAAAAGTAGGTAATCATTACAATTTTGTAATTGTAGGTAAATTATAATAAGTACTATTTGTATGGATTACATTTAGTATTTGGTATTTAAAACATTTACTAAATAACCCGGGCATTTATATTCTTTGATGTTTAATTTGGGTGAACGACTGGATTCGGAATGAAGGCGGTTGTTTTTATATGTAGCGCTAGTGAAAAATGCAATAGATAAGATATTTAATTTAATTGGTTTATTCGGGTGTTCGTGGGTGTCGAGGGAGTCCTTGCGAACTGTTTGTCGTTTCGAGTATTTCAGCGGTGGTTAGTTTTGGCCGATGGTATGTAAGAAGCAATGTTATTGTTAGAAAACAATGCCTCAATGGTCCCCGAGAAGCCGATATCGCCACAAAACGACACTAAAGTTTTCAGCCTTATACAGTCGCCGTACTTATTACAACAACATCTCGAGTGAGACGTTACGCCATTTTTATTTATTTCTCGCGGAATTATGCATTTTTTTCTCTGCTCGCCGAGTCTAATATTGATGAAGATGACGAAAAGCTACGGCGAAGGAGTGAAACTGGAGGAGGAGTAGAAGGGGGCGGGGGGTGGCGTTGCATATCATCTTAAAGTTTAATTGAGTCTTCCGCTCGGGGAGAAAACAACTGAGATTGCTCGCGATTCCCGCAGGAATTTCGCATCTGACACCCTTCCAGGATTCCAGCCAGGAACATCTTTACTCCCTACGCCCGCTCTCGCTAACAGGTCAACAATTTAAATTTAAAATCCATAACCGAAATTACTCTATTCCATGTTTTAAATCGTTTGAATAAAAGATTCATCTAAAAGCTTTGCGCCACTCTAATTTTACGACATATTTTATTTATAACCAATTCAAATTCATAAAATACGTGAATTCCATTCCCATTGGCGTCTCAAAAAATAATCAAGACGTACTTTAACAATATATTTATAAACACAAAAAATTTGCAAAGTTGCAAAAATGGCGAATGCGCCGGGATCAATGGGAATATAAATTCAAAAATGGTGTATGGGCCCGATGCCATCGACATACAGACCGTTTCGGTCTTTTTGTGTGTTCTATTATATAGGACGGTAGATGGAGCATTAATGAGGTCCAAAAGAGCTTATTAGTGGAGTGAAACGAAAGCATGTTGGCGAGTTACTAAAAATATTTGTGAAAAATAATATATAATATATATACGGTCGTTAGTTATCTTATAATTCTTCCGCTTATTTCCCTTGGCGCTACGCGTTTTTATTTAGTTTTTGTTATTTTTGAGACTATATATAAAAAGACTTCATATTCGTACGCAGTTCAAAAGTCAAATTATTATATAATAATAAAAATACATTGAAATTACATAGGAAGAGTGGTTCCATCTATCGTGTTTACCTCGAAATCAGCAAAGGAAATGTAAACTTACGGGTCGCTGTAGAATAAATGTATGTGCATAATCGCAAACTCGATAACTTTAATGTAAGTAAGGGGCCGTTCATTAATTACGTGAGGTGTTTAGGGGGGGGAGGGGGTCGAGCCAAACCTCACCAAATCTCACGTAGGGGGGAGGGGTGGTCTCGGCAAATATCACGTAATTTTTTTTTTCGAAAGAAAGAGTGTAAAATTGACAGAAAACTGGGTTAAATTAAGTAAACAATTATAAGCAAATTGTTTTTTTTTAATAAATCTAATGGAATCAAGCACAGATTAACTTATTTACATTAAAACCATGCATTTTAAAAAATCTCACGTGAGATTAAGGGGGGGAGGGGGTCGAGCAAAATCTCACGACATCTCACCAAGGGGAGGGGGGGGGTCGAAAAATCGCCAAAATTGTCTCACGTAATTAATGAACGGCCCCTAAGTACAGAATTATTAAATGCTTGAAAAAAATAGTATTAACTGCCTCGCTAATATCTGCAGCCTCGGCCTCGGCAGCGACCACTGAGCTCGGCTTTAAATAATAATAATAAATATTTGCTTAATCCAGCATGTTTTAACGATGATCCGGGATGATCGTAAAAATGCTGAGTTAAGCTAAGCTTAAGGTGTAGCGGGGCAGAAGAGAGTATACCGTGTAGGTGGGTACATAGGGTAGAGGAATAGGAATATGCAAGACCGTCGAGACCAATCTGCTAGCTGTTGTATTACTATCTAATTCAATGCATTACTGTTGCCTTGTAACTGTTCCCTCGAGGCCTATTGGACCGCTTGGGCGTTGTGAAATTGCTCTGTACCGACAGTGGCTCTGGCTTTAGCAGTGTGCTACGTTTGTCGATATCAACAATTTAAAGACGCCAATATCGAATGATGCCACCGTGCTACCGAAAGGGTCTTAGTTGTGTTTGAAGTTTAGTTAATCTCGATCTCGACTAAGAATTCTAATAGATGATCGTTACAAAAAGGTAATGCGTTTACTAACCGTATATAGATCGTGAGAACAAACGGGATTCCGTGATCACATCAACAAAAAAGTGGAAACAGTTTTCCATAATATAGATACAACTTGTTATGTGCTATAATAATTTATCAAGTTTTACATTATATTTCGCTTTGAAATAATAAATAATGGATGCATTTATAAATTTTAATTGTGATATTTCCGTTTGGAAATGTTGTCACAAGTTTTAATTAAGGCCTGGGATAATTTTGGACAGTGGACATAACAACGGTTTACACTTAAAATGTCTACAGCTCTTTTCCATTTCACTGATTTATTTCGTAAATATGTAAAATGTTAAACTCAAATATACTTTACGAGTATCAGACTGTATACCGTATAATACTTAATAATAATGATAATAATAAAAGTAACATCAGAGTGGAATCTCGCGGGATACAGTGCCACGATTTCCCTGGGGAATGCATTAATTTTCTACTGCCTTAGTCGTAATGTGCCCACGGGATTTCTTACTCCAACATCAGGTTCGAAAATCCTGAGGGAACCTCTACGTCATAACTTATTCTTATCTCTCCCTAGAAAATTTTGCATATTACGCCAAAGCATTTTTTATTTTATTAATTTATACCGGTCATCACTACGTACTATAGTATACGTATACGTATATCATGAGAGCGAAGTTTGGATGGGATGGGACCGGACTCTCCAGAGACCCTCGGACATTTGGGACCTCAAAATGTACAGACAGGGAAATATGCGTTCCCAGTCGTCATTCCCGAGGGAGTCGTATAACTTGCCAGGCCCTAAGGCCGGTCGGCCGGCCCTACCTTTCACTACTGAACTAACTCAATTTATTTCTTAATCATTAAAAACTACCATAATTAAATAACAAAGTTAAAAAAGCATTTCGCCGGAAGCGCAAACAAAATACCCAACAAGAAGTAAAGGTGATACTTCGGGATCGACCCCAAATCCCAGGTGTGCATTATGCACAAGGCTGTGGAAAATTAACTCCTCAGGGAAATTGTAGCATTTTATCCCATGAGAATCTGCCTGCTTGCTTCTAACACACTCTCCTATACCGGGTGATTAAAAAATACGCTTACACAATTTGAAATAATTAATATTAGCGCTAATCTCGCATATGTACGGATAGAGTCTAAAACCGAAAGAGCTTGAGAACGAACGCGGCAAAGGCAAAAAGTCTGATTAGTTAAATCCCCCGAGTAATCGAGGAGTTAAGTTTGTTTTCACAAAACGCGTTCCCACTTTGCAAATAATACCGACACGTACAAAAAGGATCATCAACAACTAAACATTGAGCTGTTTATTTTTCGAATTTTGGCGGTACAAATTTTTCAAAATCTCACCTAATTTGGCAGGATTAGACTGTTTTCTTCTTGACATGTCTAAATTTGTTGCTTAGAATCTCGGAGAATGTCACAAACCAACACATCAGTTAATATTAATTTCAAGACTAAACTATGTAGAATCAAAAAAATTTGTCAATGTCACAAATTGTTATTGCTCCGCTCATAACCTCTTAAAGGGTCTTAAAAACACACCAAATTTAAAACCGATGCGAAACTTCCGAAAAGAGCCGAACTTGATCACTTATCAGTTAAGGGTGCATGTTCTAATAGGTAGGTTAACCCGGTTAACGTTTCAGACATTATGTTTACAAAATAGTTTCGATCGGCATGTGATTTGAACGTAGAATCGCATCGAAACGGCTCGAGCGATTCGGTCTTGTGTGTGCCGATTTTGTGTCTCTAGTCAGACACTGGCAGGTTTGATCATACAAGAGCGCGCGCATTTCCTTCCCTAGGGAACACACTGCTAGCCGCGCACACCGCCTACAATATCCCGCCACTCTTGCAACTATTTAATTTAATCAACATTTTCATCGGTTTCAACTTTAATCATCGAAAGGAAACAAACATGGCATTGCATTTTTATTTTAAATTCCCTTTTCAAAAATCACTCGATTTAATCTAATTTTATGAAACGGACCTGCTTAGTGTAGTCTTATTTAATTTCATCATGTGAATATAATTTTTGTGCATTTCATAAAACGGACCGCCGTTTCGGCGGTCAGTCATAATTCAGTTTTCATGTATTACGTGTTTTAATGAATGACTTACAATGCGTAAATATGTTGTGGATAATTGCGATAATATGATTTCGTAAAAATCCCAATGTTTTCTTCTTAAAGTAAGTAAAAATATGGTAAATAATTGTATGGTATATTTGTATGTGGTTTACTCTACATATATACGGCTGCGCTCAGTGTAAAATAAAAATAATAAAATAACATAAATTAAATTTTTATTAACAAAAGATTATCACTTTAAAGTTATGTATTTTTTATTATGTCTCCTTTCTGTACTTTTTTAAGGTTTTCAAATACGGTCCTGTATTATTAATTGTATACTTAATCTTTTTTATTAAAATTTAAAAATACCAGCGTGTTGTTTTAACCCTGTATTAAATATAATAAAAAAACGCTCCTTTTTTAATAATTCTGGTTATCATTTTTGACATTTGACATTTTTTTACAGCTATTTTAATAAAAAGATCAGCAATATTCAACTTATTTCTAACATTTCAAGAATGCTCTTACTAAAACGTTTCATAATTTTATTAAAAATTGCAGATAGATTTGAATGGTCCGCTATGAAATTCTGCGCCTCTAAACGCCGACGTTTGATTGGTCAATACCCAATCCAAAGCAACTTTGTTGCGTCAGCTGTTTTATTTGTTTTGTGGTTCCATATCCCGACGTTATTTTGTCTTTTAAAGAAGTCCCATTTTCAAGAAAAAAAGTCGGAATATTTTAGGATATTATGGTATATTGTTTCTTTTTGGCTTGTAAAAATTATATATTTAAATATAATAAAAAAAAATTCGGTCGAGCAATTTTTTTAAAATTTGAGTATATGGGATCAGATCTGGCAAAGAAGGTGGATGCGGCAGCAGTTCCCAGCCCAACTCCTTGATCTTTTAAAACGTTTATAGCGGCTTTGTTAGGAAAATTGTCTTGGTGACTAAGAATTTTTGTGTTTGCCAAATGACTGCGTTTTTTATGTAAATATTTATACAGTGAAGTTGCTTTACATCGACGCCTAAAATTGGTGGGATACTATTAAATATTGACAGGAGTCTAAAAGGGTACTTGTCAAAAATGGAGATATTTTAAATTTGCATGGATGTGGTCTACCTATTGAAATAAACTGCTTGGTTCTTGGGATTAGGGTCATTTGTACTACACCAAGAGTTTCAAGATACTGTATGTTACTGCGCAGAAATTTGTACAAATAAGGTAAATGTTGTAAAATGCTCCTAATTGGTAAAATAAAACAATAGATACTAAAAAATTTGATTTAATTCTAATTTCCGTATAAAACAATGTCGTTGTCCAACATTAAATTTCAATGGTAATGACAAAATATATGTAAACATGATTTTTTTTAATTATGCCAATTTATGGTTTAATGTTAAAATTTCTGAGGCTTTTTTTTAAACTTATTTTATCTCCTGTGGTATAAATGCTGTTTTGCTTAATATAAACTTATATGTATTGTGATGCAGTAAAGTGTATAAAAAGTCAGTAAATGCAAGTAAAAATGGCAGTTTCGTTGATTTTTCATTTGGATCACAGCATAATTTATGCTATACAGGTGAAATAAAAATAAGTTTAAATGGTATAGAATATCAATATAGTATCACAGTATTTGAATCCATCTATCAGATCTTGTATAGCCGACGGCATGTGAAAATTATACAGTGCGCAAAATGTCTCTAAGTCATGCAAAAATATCATCTTTTGTTTTTGTTTAGAAATTTTGTATTTACATTTACAAATACCCTGTTTGCTACTAAGTGACTTGAATCATTTCGATCGGCATTGCATTGTACATTCATTACATAGATGCTTCCTATATATATTTACAAAAAATGGTAAAATTATGTAGAAATCAATTTATAAAACAAAATACACTTATTAATTTGAATAAACTTCTTATTTACACTAACTATATAGTTATAAAGGGTTTCTAAAATTTTGGCGGCCGATCAGGATCTGCCACCTGTTCCTTATGCTATTCAGGTTCAGACTTAATTTTTCCGTGAATAACGCTCATCTCCTCTTCTAAAGGTGTTTGTTCATCAACGAAGTTTATACTTCCAGCCTTATACCAAACTATCACATCAACAAAAAAAGCACACAGTAATATTGCACCGGTCGTCCCTAAAACATACGTCATACTTCAATACATGAACATGATTTAAAGGGTGTCCCCTTAGAAATATTATTAGGTATAATTACCGTGGAAAAACATTCTAAATATGTAGGAATCGTATAGACCACATGCGCCCTTTTCTCCGCACGCCATTTTCCATACTAGACAAGCGTAGTCGACAACAGCTCCATAGACTATAGGACAGGGTACGTTTCCAAAAAGCCCTATGGCGAACTGTATCAAGCCTAGAGCCATCGCTTTATCTCGAGGATCAACGCACCTCAGTATTAACAGCATTGATCCCACCTCTGAGGTAGAATGTATGAAAACAAAAAACGAGAACAAAGTAATGTATAAAATAAAGTGTGGACATTCTAATTCGCAGTATCCTATGTTGGCAGTGAAGTTTTTTAGTGAGTCTTCAGTGTATTGACCGCTTTCGTCCAATGTATACGGTATGTCGGTCAAGTTCAAACAAGTACAGTCGGTGTAGCTAACAATTTTACCGTCCACTTTGGTGAAATTTTTGCAGCCAGCATGGCAAGGTGACAAATACGTCTGATGATCGACGCCGCAGACTGGAGAGAATTTCTCCAAATCGCACTCGCAAGTCGTGTCGTTGCATAGCGTGTGATTGAACTGAGTAAAACTGAAACAACAAATTACAACAAGTGTCAAACATGTCGCTCTAATAAATATTAATATTAAAGTTTAATAAACATTTACGTTAATTCGGCTGTAAATGATAACTTCCAGTATCTTACTAAACACAGTGACCTTTACATTCTATTTCCACATAATGAATAAAAACAAAAATTTCTTATGGTGATTAAAAACGATTAGAGAGAGATGGCCCAGGACCTCAACGTCTTAAACGAAAACATTCGTTCCATTGTGTAACGCGGAATTGACAATATTCGGTTGGAAATAATAACACAAAAAAACAAAGAAAATAAGGCTATAGCACACGACTTTTTCTTCTTTCTTGGTGGCCAAAAGCCTAAATGGTCTCGGTATCAATGTACCATTTGGACCAGCAACAATTTTTAACGTCCACTCAATATATTGTACAAATCACAAAATACCTCGCTAAAAGGTCAAAGCTTACGATATTGTCCATATATACCGGGAATTCAATTTTACTTCTCCTGGGTCGAAAAGTCATCTATGTTTCATACTATTTCATTGAGCGAAGCCCTAGAGTACACGTTGACCGTCACTGTCTGGGCTTAGATCGTACTGGTTGGGTCTAAAGGACCTCGGAGCGGCGTAGGATATGTCAAAAGGTGCACCTTGGAAAACCTATTTTGACAACTACATGATATGTAGTGCCCAAATTGTGAAAACTGGCCTTAAACTTGTAACCGTGCTTTCGTTCACCGCTGTGACTGTATCCTGCTGCTCTATAGCTGTGTGTGCTTTCACACCACGTGGCTCCCGGCACTGATGAAGTCCAAAAGATCAAAACAGGCTTTCTATAGGTGCCTGTTTGTGGAGCACACTTAAAACAAAAGCACGGTGACGAGGTAAAATGGTATTCGTGGAATTCTTATTGATAATTTTGGTCGATGCTCAGCTTGTTTCTGAGTTTTCTCCAATGAATATTTAAAATGGCTTTGGCCAAAAAACAAAATTATTGTGTTGAACTCGTTGGCATACTTGCTTTCAATTGGGCCTTTCTGTTGTATTTTATTTCGACAGAATGTATTGAAGTAATATTGTATGAGTTTCATTTGAGTAGTTTAGTAACTTAAGTCTCATTTATTGTTTGAAGTGACTTACCCCCCATTGTGATTCAAGCCGGGCATATCGTTCATTGGACATCCGATAAACATAAGTACGCCCATTCCTGAAATGATAATAATAAATCAGAATTGATATCTAGACATATTTTTCCGAAACAATTAATAAAGTAAATAAGTAGATTAACCAATAAAAAAAATGATGACCTTGACTCTTTGTTTGTCAGAATAACGGTTTAAATGACTGAGACAAGATGATAACTAAAGAATAGATATAAAAAATAATTGACAACAATAACAAAATGATCGAGACATATAAATATGTATGTACATATGTGTGTCTGGTTTTAATTTTAGAAATTTGATGAGAATGATGGCGGGCAGTGTATGTGAGAAACATCAATATAAACTTACCTATTGCGTAAACGACAGCGGTAAAGGCAATCCAGGCTGCGACAAAGCGCGCGTTTGGTTTTACTCTTAATATAAACACACCGCTAATAATAATACCCAAGCCCATTACTAGAATTCCTCCTACACCTGTAAACAAAACATTTGTTTAAATTTGACATATCGAAAACGACGCAAAATAAACAACAAATCGAAAGCAAATTACGTAATTACTTGAGCTAATTAGCACTTACCTGAAATCATATTCGCCTTTGGCGTCGGTAGACGAAACTGAGATTCCAAATATTTTGGGAGAAAGGTGTATAACCCAGCTATTGGCAGTATATGTAACACACTGCTGGCAGTACGGAACATAAGTATGTCATTTCTCAAGAGTCTTTTCACAGTTTTAGGAAAATCTAAAAAAAAGACCCTCAGTATTTTCAATCAAATGTTAAACCACCTCGTATATTACCCCTTATGCTAGGGTGTTTGCGACTAGTCTGGTGTATTCTGGGAGTGGGTTTGGCACTTGATAATCTTTTTGGAAATGCAAACATAGCCAAAGAGGCTAACATTAACAATCCGCCTATCAAAACCAAACCTATAATCATTTAATTAAAAATAAACCGATTTATTGTTTTGCAAATTTTTACCTAACCACCATGCCCCAACCCATCTGGGGTCCGAAGATTCGATTTTCGGATCTACAGAAAGATCTGCGTAAACGCTGGTACATAATGATCCCACTATGAATCCCAAAGCAGGCCCCAAAATCCGAACTCCGATAGTTATAGCTGAAATATGAATTAAAAATAATAGGTACGCAGTTTGTGCGTTGTAGCATATGGCACCTTCCATAAATTTCAACCTGATCGCCCTGTATAAAGGAATTTGTTCGACCGTCTAATAAAAATGTGTAAGTAAGATTGTTATGGTTGTCAGACAATTTATAGAAGATTACAATATATATATACATATATATATTTATATTGGTTTAGCAGTTAACCTTGGAATTATTGACCCTGAATTCTCATTTTTCATCGTTCAAAAATTGCGAGGATGAACAAATTAATTTTCGGGAAAACTTCCTTCAAGGTGCCTCAAAAAAATATTGGCATTTATATCGTCGTGCTTAACGCAATGACTTTATTATTACTACATTATGAAGTAATACGTAAAGGAAAAATGTTAAACATCGGTAAATTTTCGGTAATTTTTGTTACGTATTTGCTGGTGATCAAAAACAAAAGTGTGTAAACCTGTGTAGGTAATTATGTCTTTTATTTTTACCTTGATAAATTTTAATGATGGGTTGGTATTATTAAAATAATGTCATGGTCGTGCTTACCAAAATACAAAGGCGATTCTTTGCTTGCCACATTATCATCAATGTAGGGGATACCCAAAGTATAGACGGCAGTTTGGCCCATTCCGACCCCCAGCAAACTGATGAAAAATATGGCCAGAACTATTTTGGTGACCAAGGGTTGAATGCTGTGGCCGGTAACGAACTCATCCTCGTCGCAAGCCCTTAAAATATTCGGAATTGAGGTAGTAGTTGAGATGGCAGTTGAGTCAGCAGCAGCAGCAGCAGCATCAAAGTCCGTCATCAGTTGAGTATAGGTTGAGGTTGTCGATAGTGTCGAAGTTTCGTTTTCCCATGGCATTTGGGCGGACTTGCAAACATTGGGTTCCTTAGTTATATCGGTGAGATCGTTGGCGTTGATCAATTGCCTGCCGTATATGAAATGGGGTAGCGAACAAGTAAAGGACGAGACGGCGAATAGAACCATCCCCCATGCGATCCACTTGGGCCGATGTCCCTGGCCGCCGTAGTAAGTCAAAAGCAACGATGAGCCGATTTGGCCGATCTCCGTAGCACTCATGATGATGCCGGTTATTTTCGATTGTATTTGAAAGAGTTTTTCGATGGTAGTAATCGCACTGACAAAGTACGTGTGGTACATCCCTTGGAGCACCCAGGCGATGCAGAAAACTATTAAAAACGATTGTTTGGAGGCGAACATTTGGCACCAGTGAGGGGCGCATGGTCCTAAGCCACATTCCGTGTCACTATCATCGGAAAAATCACCGTCACCGTCACCGTCACCGTCACCATCACTACACGGCGGCTTGTAGGTTATTTGCAGGTCGACGTTTTCGTTGGTAAGTGATCTCCTTTCTTCCAGGTCCACAATCCCAAGTCTGGTCTCTCCGTGCCCGTTCGACGAGCAATTGTTGTTGCTCTTCATTTTCCTCTTGTTCTTTTTCTCTTGCTCTTGCTGCTGGCTCGACCATGGATCGCACATGGATTCCGTCGTGCCAGATGCCATGCTTTACTTGTTTACCTACTCGTTAAAAATATCTCCAAACCTGCAAAAAATCACTACAAATCAATTATTTATTTCGACTTTCTAAAAGGGGGAACTAAATATACACACCTAGTCTATAGTATGTAAATAGAACACTTTTCTCAGGTGAATCAACTTTTAATATTAATATAATCCGTCTCTTTCTACCATAATATGTATGGACTTTGCATATTTAAAAAGGACATTTGTATACATTTTGCGTAGAATTTCTGCGTAACAAGTATGGAACAATTTCACAATAGGTACTTACTACCTTAGTTGCTATTGCAATTTTATATCAATTCTTCCTGAATTCCGAATTAGAATTTAATACAATATTTACTCCGAGTAAATACGCGTAAGAAACCAAATAAGAATTGTTTTAATCTTATCTCGAAATACACCCTATATAACAATGCTTAGTAATCGAGTTGTCAATTTTTCTACAGCAATCACATATCTCATTTTAACCCATATACATAAATTTTATTTAACTTATGCCGTTGACCTTTCTTATTATTTACTGAACACTAGTTGCTCACTTTAAGTCTATTATTAATTTACACTTAATATTAGATACAGTGCAGTACAAAAGTTTCCAAAACCCATCAAAATGTATAATAATCTCCACTTAAATAGCATTCAATTTGGCGGCGGGCTATTAACTTTCATTTTTTTTAAGAGCAACATGACATACTTAAAAAATCCCATCTACCAATATTAATATTAGAAAACTAAATCTGGTTTGGCATGTCGAATTTAACAAAAATAAATTCATGTCAAATATTGTTTATTGTTTTTCACAACAAGTTATTAGTACAGAGGAGTATGTTATCAAAAAGTGATGAACTTATGAACTAGCTTGTTTTTATTTTCGACTAGCACGCCTATGTTATATTAAAAATAGTTTAATTTTAATTAGAAGTAATTTTTGTCGTACTAGTTGTATGTGGGCAACAAGTAACGTTCTGTACGCACTTAAAAAAAGCATTAAAAGGAAGGATCATTAAATTTTTGTTGTAAACAGAATAACGATAAGATAAAATTTAGTTTGTTTGACTAGTCTAAATTTTATGGTATGGTATGGTATTCTGAAAGCACTGAAAATATTATCATCCATGCGAGCTCAAGTAAAATTAAATATTCCACGTGCTTTTACACACTCACATCTCGGCTAGACTTTATTTTAGGTGGGTTTAGTGGGTTGGTTTATTGAAATATCCTAATTAACACATGTTATGTGTAAAATAATAATTTAAATATGCAAATTCGTTAAAAAATGATGGTAGTCGTTAACCGATCATACCTACTTGTTTATTAGTATACCTATCTGAGATACCTAGGTACTAATAAATAAATAATGCGTGAGTAGTAGGTAATGGGACAAAAATAAACGAGAGATTATTTTTGTATCAGAGTTAAATTTGGGTCAAAATTTGTTCCTAAAATTATGTCTAAAGTGAAATTAAAAAGTTGTCAAGTGAGTTTTAATTTGAATCAGACAATGTAGTAGGTATTTTTAGTCGGTTAATACTAATAAACTGGTAGTTATTGTTGGAAATATGATGATTAAAATGTAAAAGTGCCGGTAGAGTAGGAAAGTGGAAAAAATAAATGAAATCAATTTCCATAGCTGAGAGAAAGGGGAATGAATTTCTGTTTCATTTTGATGTAGAAAGAGAAAGGAAAGGCTAGTAAAAAGCTTATTTAAAGACTATGAATCTTACCTGGTAATATGTTGAAGGCATCGTAAACTTCTAAGAAAAAAACAATCAACCAACACAAAAATCGAGCAATAATTATGACGACTGAAGAATTAAGATTAAATCGATAAATAGAACGTTTATTAGCTCGTCTTGGCTTAATAATAAGTGGTAGGGTACAAGAGTCACAGACAATAGGGTGTAACACAGCACATTATGAAATTAAAATGGAACGAGTAAACAGTCCCATAGTTTTAGTTTACGGTGTACACTGTACACTGGCGTTCACTACCAATACCAACACTTTCTCCGATCCGGCGGTCGGACCCTATTTCAAACACACTGCTCGCTGCTGTGCTGTTCACTTTAATCCAATCGAGCTCGCAGGTTCTGCGCCTATGCCTACACTGCTCCACCACATTTTATTTACTTACCATGCTTCTACACTCACTCAAACCATACCATAGGGTACCTCCCACAAAAATAAACAGCCCAACTATACAATTTTATACCCCTTAATATTATAATTACCAATGTTCACCTATTTTATTTATTATTTATATCCAAAAAATAAAATCTTGGATACATCCAGATAAATAATACATTTTTACTTATTTTTTTTACCTAAAATAAAGCCAAAATCCATTTATTTTTATTAAAATAAAATATTCCAGTTTTCCTCTATCCATCAAAAGTTGTACTAAAAAAATGAAAATAGTTTCTCTATTCCACCATAGATGGCGCCACACAAACATTCACGCCATCTATATTTTATCACTTAACAATCAATATATAATTATAGAGTTTTACCTTGTTGACTATCTACTTTAATTACTGTTTAACAGATTTTTTTTAAACCGCCACAATAAAGTATATTTCGTCAATAATTAACATTGATATGTACTCCAATCCTGTTGTAAATAATAATTCAGTCCAATTTTGAGCTTTTAAGAACGGGAACAACGTTGTTATTAAAGCTTTTTCATTAAGAAAGCATGTTATTATTTATGTTGTACATCAAAGTCTCACCTTGATATTTGAATGCAAATTATTGAGGTTATCTATCTGTCAATTACATAGGTACCTTTATACATTAAAATACATATATTGCATTATCTTTATATTGTATTTAAATGTCAAAGTGCGACTTTTTAATGTGGAGCATGGTACATTTAAAATAAAAGTAAATAAGTAGTTTTAATAAATTTATTAGTTATTTTATAATAAATACAGAGTAAGTATTGTATGGCAAGTAAAGTGTTGGAATTTTTTTTTAAGTGCAAGTTTGTAATAAAACAAACACAAACAATAAAAAATTCCCATGTTTTAGCAAAGGTTTTCACACCAGCTAGCCATTAAATTGACTAACCAGCTCTAGTAACTTGCAAAATAAAAAGAGGAATGAAAAAAAGCGCAGTTATATCAAATTAATTGATTTATTATAATTAATGAAAATACACTATTAAAATAAAATGCCTTAAATTTACCTGAAGATCACCTGAAACAAAAAAATATAGTTAGTAATATTGATAATAAAATAATTGTTTTTATTTTGTTTTGGAGTAACAAGTCAGATTATATTTATCCTATCATTTATATCAGACGGGAAAAGAAGACATAAATTTAGGGAATATCATCATATAAAATGTAATAAAATGGTTGTAGAAATAAAAATTAATTACCTGTTTTATTTATTTTTATCCCCCAATCGATGTCTGTAGACTGATCTGAAAAAAAGGTAAGTTAAGAATTAGTTTTAATATAATAAATGTACACACTATTTGGGCATTACAGGCATCAGAATTAATTTATCCTATCATTTCTATCAGACGGGAAAAGAAGACAAAATTTAAGGAATATCATCACTGTGTACTTTTTTAGGTGTTAATAATAGAAGAAAAAAAAATTACCTTAATCTTGGGCAGATATTTCCTAATGTTGGCCTGAAACGAAAAAATGTCACAATTTATCAGAAACTGCAGTCTATTGAAGAGTCTACTGTTTCCAAGGTTAAAAATTGTCTTTAATCTGGCAAGATTTAAATCCAATCACCCATAAATAGGAATGACCGGATCCTATTAGCTTGCGGCCTGAAAAATACAAAAAAAACAATAAAAATACGAGAAAGCAATGTTTATTTCTCAGCCAGTTTTTAAAAACAAATCATGAATAATTTATTTGTCGGAATTTCTGCTCGATTTGCTGTCGCGCATGCTGGCAGAACGACGTCTCTTAATTTCTTCCCTTTTAGCTTTCGATTCCTTCTTTCTTTGTGCCAACAATTTCGCGTAGTTGTCAGATTGTTCTTTGCGTTTCAGGCAACGCTTCTTCTTCAATGCCAACCTATGACGCTTGCGCTACAAGTAAATAAAAATTAATATTATGAGCTTATGAATAAACAATAATTGATTAGATTTAAAAAAAGAATTGTCATTTTATCGCAATTCACTATTAAAATTGCCTTTCAAAAGTGAATAGCTGCAAAATACTAATTTCCCACAAACTTGAACGTTTTACTAGTTACAATATTCACTGTAAAACTGCCTGAGTAGTGTGGGTATATTAAAAAAATTTTAAACTTTAAAATTACCTGCAAGACCAACGGAGTGATCAGACGTTGGATTTTGGGTGCCTTGGTCCTCAATTTTTTGCCTTCCTTTTGGGGCAGTGGGCGTTTGACAACATATTGACGTACATCATCTTCTTTGCTCAAGTTGAAAAGCTTGCGGACACGGGAAGCCCTTTTTGGCCCCAACCTACGTGGGACTTGGGAGTCAGTCAAACCGGCGATTTCCTGAAAACACAACAACAATCGTATCCGTATTGCGTCAGTACATAAAACGTGTACTAACCTGTTCTCCTTTACGTACAACAACCAAAGCCAATACGCTAAGATTGCTGTCTACGATGCAACCGCGGACTGATTTCCTTTTACGTTCACCGGTACGGCGTGGTCTGTAACAGGAGTGTCCCTTGGATAAAAGTAAACGAACACGGCCTAAAACAAACCCGAACTTATAGTATTATAGTTGACTTATAGAAGTAGTGAAATTGACAAACAGTGCCATATATGAATAAATATACTGTTTTTCGTCAAAAAAATTGTAAATGGTACTTACTGTGTGAGAGGACACCTTGTTTCATGGGGAATCCTTGTTTGTCATTTCCACCAGCGACTCTGACAACGTATCCTTTCCATTCGTCACCTAATAAATCGGCTTCAACTTCTTGTCCCATACGTTTTTCGTAAAAAATACGAAGTTTGTGTTCGTCGACAACTTCGAAAAGTTTCTGACATCCTGTCGCGGGATATGACACGTTTAGCTACAAATAAAACCCCGTATTACTTACAATTCAAACAACAATTCACTACTGTCTGTAAGGTTATGTTAACTGTTTTTACGCCAAATTAAACCCCCAATAATAATAAATACAGTCACTGGAAGCAACATTTAATCATTTCCTTTTTTATTTTACACCCGGTTTTCTTCAAACATACAAAAACAACATGTGGAAGTTCTAACCCCCCGAACTCGAGAAAACTATTTCCGATATTATTTCGAACATCAAGCGACACTTTCACAATATTTTTGCACTAAACGCTTTCCCCAATTGCACTTTATCCTTTTACGTTAATATTTACGCGTTTTTTCTTTAATTTCTTTAATATTTTCGCCTTACCTTCATGATTTATACATCTATAATCTCACGGAAGCTAACACGAAAAGAACTTGTCGGTAAAGAAGGGAATTAAGGTGCTGCCGACATCTACGAGGAGGGGATACGTGGTGGGGGTAACATGATCAAAATAAACAACATAGATTTGTTAAAAACTGCGGTTTTTATTATTAAATTGGATAAAAAGCTTAGAAACGTTATTTTATTGTACTGGGTGTTGCTATTTTATTGTATTTAATGTTTTTTTTTTAAATAATTGTGCAGTATGCAACCAAGTGTAGCAAATACATGGTTGCTATCTGGGTTGCGTAGCTTTAGGGGCTAGATTACAAATGTATTTATTATGTTATATAATCTCATTATAAATTGGAAAAAAACCATGATACATAATGTATGACATACGTGTTATTTTTAATATGTTTAATATGTAAATACGTACCTGTTTGGTATTTGTTTTGAACTATTTGTTTATAATTTTAATTTTAAAAATTGTCAATTTAGGTTTAATACTTTAAAGTTTAAGTTTTGGATATTTAATATTTTTTATTTAAATTAAAAATCAACAAAATAACAAAAAAATTTAACAAAATGGTAGATGGACAATAATTATTTCCAATTTTAATCGAGATCGCTTTAATTTTCGCAAAGCTTACAACTAAATCTTAATATATCAATAGCTATCCTAAAAACAACGATTGCTTAGAAAAATTATATGTATATATATGTATGTTTGTAATACTATTATTCTTTATATTACATGAATGATTTTTTTAAATGTAGATACGATATAGCTAACATATTGGACATATTTATATATGAAAGTTATATGTATCCACATCTATAGGTATTTAAATTAGATGCAAAATAAATAAAGCTTGTATACAGTCATATTTATGTGCAAAATGCATTATTTAAGGTAATAATCACTTTGTGTTTAAGTAACGAGAGGTAGGTATATACATATGTAGCTCCTTTTACCACCCCTTCAAAAATATTATTATTGACCGTATATATTTAGTTAAGATATAAAGATGTTTATTTTGTGTTCTTGACTTTGGATCGGCTTGGATGGTTTTTATAAAACAGTACAGCATATTGTGCAATATATGAAACGTTTTTGAAAATGTTTCATAGATGCTGTGCCAAGGTGGAAACGGATTTTTTCGTACTTAAGTATGGGAAAACTACTGTTTTTCGAAGGCTTTCTTTGTATTGCTTTATTAATTTGTTTAGACTTTATACATATATGGTTTATTATACCTATTAAGGGCCTTCGGTAATTTGACAGCATGCAGTATTTTCTTATATTTTTTAGCACCATATTAAGGCAACTCTCATATGGAACAGCTCTGATCATACTGAATGATGTTGAAAATCCGTTTTTTTTATTTTGTGAATTAAAAAAGTATTTTTTCAAAATGTAAATTGCAGCACATTATAAAAACAGACGCATAACCACCAAACATCTTTTATTAAAGAATATTTTCAATATCTTTTAAAATCTATCTTAATAATAAAATGGTAAATTCTGAACATTTAATATAAAGAAGCTGTGGAGCTTGAAATAATTTTGTATAGTAGTTAGCGATTGCCTGATATATAAATACATATATTATTTATCACTTTGCGTCTTTGGTGCGAAATTAATGTTCCACTGGTTTATGACGATTCATTAATTCTTTTAAAACATAACAACACATTTTTTATTATTGCCTTTAATTTATATACATAAGAATTTCGATCGATATATTAGGTAACTATTGCTTGAGGTCTAACATTGATAAATAAGGCTCAGACAAAATTAAGCAGTTAATTTTGGCTGTTCTACTTACGTTACGCCTTGTAGACAGTCCCGAAGGAACTCACTTGGGAATAGTGAGTTACAAAGGGCCTGTTTCTTCGTATTTCTCAGTCGCGCGCGGTATTGACTTAAACATAGGTATTTCGACGATTTAAGCACAGTGAACAGTTTGAGATGTGGATAACGTAGGCAACCCCTGTACAGTGGCGTTTGGGTTGCCTCACTTGATGAGTCCAATGTGTAAAAATCGTGTAAACGTTGCGGCTTAAAGCTTTTTTTAATGATAAATATGTGCCTAGCCTGTGGAACACTAATGACGACCGTAATATTTATATAAAATTTTAACAATAATATACTAAGTAATAATAACGAAATGATATAACAGCTTTTGAGTGCTCGAAACTGCTTCATGATAAAAATAAAGGAGTTTCGCTCACTGATGATTATTTGTTGCATATGGGTGACATTTTTTGCGTTTGATGCATTTTAAAACGATGGCCACCAAAAATGATAAAATTAAACTATAACGTGGTATCTAAATATGAGTGCCATCAGTATTTAAAAATGCTATTTTGCGATCGTGTTTAATTTACAAGCTAACCTAGTTTATTAGAAGCACGTTTTTTTTAAATAGTTACAGCTTGTGCTATATTGCTAATCCAAAATCGTGTTTCGAAAAATGTCACACATATCAAAATTTACGAAGGTAATAATATTATCGTATGATGCATAAAAAATTGTGAACATTAGCATTTTTTTTATTCCCGTTCGCCCCTTCCCAATATATGCGCTCCTTGTAGCATGTGAAGATAGCTTGAATATATAGCAATTGAAGAAAGCACCATTATAAACAACTTGTGATTTTTTATAGTTCACTTGAATTATTATTAGTTAAATTATTACTATTATTGTTCCTTGGTGGGCATCCATCAAAATACACCCTTCAGCTTTTACCCATATGGCCATATGGATGATAAATCCTTACTTGTGCTATTATTAAAGCCGGCGAAATGCGCGCTTCAAAGCTAAAGCATGTATTTTCATTTATCCAAGTACCGTCGCTTTGAATTCGTTTGTCTCAAAAATATTGTATTAATAAATGGCGAAGGTACTGCCTTGGGAATTGACGTACCTACCTACCAATCGTCTTAATCGTTACATTATAATTAGCTACCTAGATATATTAGATAGAAGATAAATTCAAAGCGCGAGTACTTTAGCCCGAATCCTGCTCTAGTCAGGTTTTATTCACCAAATTCTTTACAATGCAAAAGTGTTTATTTCATCCTATTAATTTCGATGGATTTATAATTATAGGCATATAAAAACAGTCACAAATGATTTGTTTTAATTTAAATGTATCACCATCAGAAGTTAACAGGACATGTTTATAAGTTTAATATTCGTTTCGTCAACTGTTTAATAACATAAAAACCTATCGCCAAATAACCAGCTTACAATTTTTGTTTTGGCTTGGGAACATTTCTCATCTTCCTAGGGTAGCTACCATAAAATAAAATAGACGGTAATACTGTTTTATAAGTTAGTAGCAAAGGAATGTTTTTTGCGTGTATTTACAAAGTTTGCTGTATTGGGTGACCTACTGTTGCATCCTCTATTCAAAAGGAAATAGCGGCTTACAGCGATACTGCGCAATGTACGCTAGTCTTTGGGAACCATCCACGCAGTATAGGGAACTTTGTAAATTATCTGTCAAAAATTTGAGAGATTGAAAGTTATTAATTATACGGTTAGCGGAATGGGTAGGGAAGTGGTAAACTGCCAGTACAAATATTGTCAATTATGCTGGGACATAATTCTAGTTGGTTTGCTTTGGGGATAGGCTGGTGTGGTATTAATTATATTTACTGATCATACAACTATGATAATAATTATAGTAGAAGAAGTAGATAGTCTATAAAATTATGTGATGGGTATTAAATATTCAATAGCGTTATGAGCAGCAAAGCAGTTGATATAAATTACGATACCTTCTCCATCAAACTACACAGCACAAACTTAGCAGTGTTTATATATTTTTCTTTTTTTATCTCGGAAGTATTCATGAAAAGTGTACAGTAGCCAAAGACTGTAATTCGATGTATGAAAGTTGAGTTAAAAAAGAAAATGACAAATTACATTACATGGAACAAAACAGTAAAGTATTGAATAGGAATGTAAGAATTCGGCCGAGATAAAATGCGATGTGGATCATCATTATCCACATCGCGAAATTCATCGCCCAATTGTTGTTGTTTAGCCGACAGACATGTTCTAGTCTGATCAGTTGGCTATGGCGAAGTTGGGGAGGGGCGGGGCCTGTCTCAGACATCTGCAGATCGTGAGCTAATGCTGGGAGTACGGCTATGTAACACTACTTTGTGGCCGTTTTTTGTAACGAACCCGTCGCTTTCTACCAACACGGCCGTCTGGCGGGCCTCGCCCTCGCCGTCGGCGTCGCTTCCGCCACCGCCGCCGCCGCCGCCGCCGTCTTCGTCGGCGTCGTCTTCGCCGTCGCCTGTGCCCTCGCCCTCGTCCGACTGGTCTGGACCAGCACCAGTGCACCGCTGTCTTTTGTGTTTACGCCACGCGTTCTGTATTAACCGAGCACAATATTCCTCCCTTTGTCTCCACAACGTCGAACTAACTGGTTCGTAACCAACTTCGTTCGGTCTAGCTTGCACTTCACTTAGTTCAGCAGTTTCTTCGATCGCATTACCCTTTCGGGCAAAGAAGTCTTTGGTTAGAGCATCTAAAATATCTACACAAAACATAAGGTCACCTTTGCAGATCGGAATGTCCATTGAAACTATTTTATATTTATTGGGTTTATGGATCTGCAAAGGCGGTTCTAACACGTCCAGGAAGTCGGACAGCTGGTCGTAACGGATGTATTGCGTCCCGTCCGGATCGAACTGTTGCCAAATCTCGTAGTACATATCGTAGTCGTCATCTGTAAGGCCTTCTTGCACATCCTCCGTCGCTTGCGAATAATTCTCCAAAATGACAGCGATGTACATGTTTATTACGATCAAGAACGATATCACCAGGTAGCTCAGCAAAAAGGCTATCCCTATCGTCGAGTTACCGCAGTTTCCGGTCTCCCCAATCTCATTATCGGGCTGCTTGCAGTCTTCTTCATTGATGATACCATCCAACACTCCATCCCAGCCAGCAGAAGTTGACATCTGTAGCAAGAAAAAACATTTAACACTGATAACAATCAATCAATCAATCACTTATGTAGGTATTACCTGAAAGAGTAGAATCATGGACTGTCCGAAGGTTTTGAAGTTGTACACATCGTCAAGTCCACTCTTGTCCTTGACGTGCATGAAGAAAGACATCCCGAAAATTGCAAAGATGAACATGACCAAGAACAATAACAAACAGATGTTGAAGAGCGCAGGCAGTGACATAGCTAGTGCGAAAAGCAAAGTGCGGATGCCTTTAGCTCCTTTGACCAAACGTAGTACTCTGCCGACCTTGGCTACACGCACCACCCTCAACAATGTGGGCGATACAAAGTATTTTTCAATAATATCACTGAGCACCAATCCCAATATAGACAATATTACGACCACCAAGTCAAACAGGTTCCATGGTTCGGTAAAGTAATGGTAACGTAAAGCAAACACTTTCATTAGGCACTCGGTACTAAATATTACTATGAAAATCATGTTAAGGTAGTCCAGTACTTTTGTGAATGTTTCCTTCTGCTGATAGTGGTCCATCGTCATCGTCAACATGTTTAAACCGATAAACAACATAATTATCATGTCGAATTTCTTATTGGTCACTATTTCAAACACTATTCCCTGAGGTCTCCACTGCAAAATAATAAAACATATTTAATTTATATATTTGTATTATTTCTATATATTTATTACCCTTGGCCTTGGTATGGCTTTCATTGGCTTCTTGGAACCCATCTTCTTCATTGCATTGTAGTACTTTTTCTGGTCTTCCGTCATGAACATTTCCAATGATCCACCCGCCTTAAATATTGCGATAATGTTACACATTCATTAGTGAAATAATGCAAACTTACCTTTTTCTTTTGCTCGTTAAAATTGTCGATGATTACTCCTATAAATAGGTTAAGTGTGAAGAACGAGCCAAATATGATGAAGAATACAAAATATAAATACATGTAAATATTCGTCTCACGAATTGGTTGTTTATTTATCTGAAACAAAATTAATTAAACACGTATAAGTAAAATTGTTGGCGGTATATATGTAGGTAGGTACCTCTCTAGAATCAATAGCGTCATTCATAATTTGTATCCAGCCCTTGAAAGTAGCAACTTGGAACAAGCATAAGTATGCTTTGCCTACGTGGTCGAAATTCATTGGAGAATTGTCCCAGGTATAATTTTCCGCCTTACAAGCGTTAAAATCAGGAATAATTTCAAAGCTTAACGTTGTCTTATTATTATCTACGCACTGAAAACAATCATTGTTAAGTAAGTGTGAGTTCAAAATGAGAGAATGCAAGTAAGTACCTTATAGTATTTGCCAGCAAATAGCTGTACACCCATTATAGCAAAAATTAACCAAAATATTAAGCACACTAGCAATACATTGAAGATAGATGGTATAGCCTGCACCAATGCGTTTACTACGACCTACAAAAAATGTTACTTGGTGAGTACTTATGATTTGGGATTTGGGTGCGTAGTCTTACTCTCATTCCCTGCATACGAGACATAGCACGTAAGGGTCGAAGTGCTCGAAGAGTTCTCATCGTTTTGAAAGCTTGGATACCGCCAGCTCCACAAAGTGAGGCGATAAAATTTATTAGTGATACCATAACTATTACAAAATCTAGCCAGCACCATGCATTCGTAAAATATTTTTGAAAACCTAACGCTAACCATTTGATCAACATCTCAAAGAAAAATATCACTGTAAATATCCTATCCATGTAGTACAGTATGTCCTGCAATATAGGCCTGGAAGACAGATGGACGTCTTCCAGCGCCAGCGCCAAACTGCTCAGCAAAATCATCGTGATTACAGCCGTCTCGAAGTATTTGTTCTCGATCAGTTGGAATGTTTTGTAACGTAAATTCGACCAGCCCTGCCAAAAGGGCGAGTCGTCGTCTCCAGCGAGAAATGGAAATTTCTTGTAGCACGTCTCTGGAAAACAGTCGGCCGAGTATTCGTCCAAAATTATCTCGTCCGTTTCCGCGTAAATGATTAAATCTTCTTCTAAGGGACCTTCACAATCACAAACATCTTCCTCCGCATCTAAAAAATTGAAACATTTGGAGGTTTATGCACGATTCGAATAAATAGTAATTCTATTAACCAACCTTCTTCTATACCTAATTCTTCTTTGCTAGCGTCACGCTTCTCCTCCTGATCATCTAATACGTCAGCACTACCCTTATGACTTTCATCTTTAAATCTATTTTTGTGACTACCATATGATTTATTACTAATTTCATCATCATCTAAATGCCCAATAAAATCTCCATGTTCTAAGATCGAATTTCCTATTGTCTTACTTTTATTAATATTATTTTTGCCCCGTTTCAGGTTTGTTTTTGAGTCGCCATGTATAGTGAATTCCATTCCATCTCCAATTGTTACTTCTAAGCGGTCTTTTGGACTCTTTTTGTCTCTAAACAACATGCCATCGGCCAATATTTCGTCTCCAGGTATTTCCATTCCGCCGTCTCTTGTATCTAAAAATGTGTCCCATTCACGAATGCCCGCCAACTTTACGGTTGAATTATATTTATATAATTTGAAACAGTTGGAATAATATTTATAATTTGAAACAACTTCAATGTTTGACAGTGTATTTTTATGCAAAAATAATAGAAAATCGTACTAACAATAAGTATATAATACACTGAACTAATATGTATATGTATATGTATACGAGTATGTATAGTAGAAAAATATTTATAATTATAATTGAAAAATTCATGCAAATATTGAAACACCTATTTACAAAGTTGGTTTTTATATTTATATATACGAATATGTAAAATTACAAAAAAATAAACTGTCAAAGTTAGATCTCCATCTGAATTGAATAGTCTTAGGATTTTTAAATAACTGTCTTATAAATCATTTAAAAAGTTTAAATATAACAAGGCTACAGTAAACTATAATAATAAAAATTATTCTATTTAGGCATGTTTGTTTTTTACTGTGACCTTAACAATGAAACAAAAGCTAAACTGATTAGTCCTGATGGTATGAATAAAAATTAAACTGTTTGGTATTTTCACAAAATTATATATTATTTTATTTACAACATATCTACAAGATCGTATCATGGATATGTAAAGCTAAAGAAAGCATTAGTAAAGTTTAAAACAGCGCGCTGTTTAAACTAGCGGATTATAGCCTACACAGATAAATTTATAATCTTGTGAAATTGAATTTGATGGGATGTTGGTTATTGTATTATGTGTAGTATTTCATTATTTAGTTGGGTACCCAGTTTTTAGTGAATGGTCGTGTAATGTATATAAATATAGTTTATATTTATTCATACCACATTTGGTGCATGCTTCCAATTTATGGTGTGCATAAAATCAATTGAAAATTTTATTAATCGACGAAATATCGTTTGAAACAAATTATTACGCAGACAGCTGTTTATGTTTTTATAATCTTCTTGAAAAAGATCGAATCTATATAAGACATGCCATGAAAATGATGTTTTGCTCAAATTAAGCACTACATCTGAGCAACAAGCATAACCAATAGCGAGCTATCAGATCAGATTGTTGGATAAAAACCTTGGTTCCAACTGTTGGAGGGTCCCTCACCTGGCGGCTGGTCGGAAATTTGATTTGTAAGCTTAAATCGGACCAATTTGGCGATATGTAATGCGCTACTCTTAAACCATCCTATAAATCGACCTATTCTGTCAAAGGCCTCTGCTATTTTGTTTGTATCGTTGTCTGCTGTTGGTGCTGATAAGCTGGATGATCCAAAATTGCTCAAAAGCAACGCCAAGAAGAGGTTCAGTACCTACGAATTACAGCACACATGAATCCCTTACCTTTTCCAACTAGCAAGTACTTACCACAAGATTACCGATAACCACAGTGGCCAAAAAGAAGGGAATACAGGACACGTCACCGACCAACATACAGTCCCACATCGATTCTATCCATTCCCCGCATAACACTCTAAACACTATCATAAAAGAATGCATAAAATCCGTGAAATTCCAACGAGGTAGATCGTGGTCCGGAAACCTGTCCACGTTATCTGAAAAGAACATGACATAAAATATCAATCGAACTTACATACATATTTTACCCAATGTCCTTACCCGTATAATTTTTGCCGAAAAGTTGCATACCCATCACAGCGAATATAAATATAATAATACACAACACGAAGGTTAGATTACCTAAAGCACCCATTGTTCTGCCCATAATGGATATAAGTAAATTTAGAGTCGGCCACGATTTGGCCAATTTGAAAACTCTCAGCAATCTGAATGATCGTAACACTGATAAACCTTGCACCCCTTCCAAACCCAGCTCGAGCAATGATAAGGCTACGATTATAAAATCGAAAATGTTCCATCCTTCCTGAAAATAGTACTTCGGACTCATCGCTATCAGCTTCATCGTTGCTTCGATCATGAACGTCGCGGTGAAAAACTGAAAAACGTTTACATCTAACCTATCTTAACTAAATACTACTTATAGTAGGGGTACACTCACGTAGTTTCCACTCTTCAACGCTTTCTCCAAGTCGTGATCCATATTGTGATGATCCAGAGCCATGAACAACGTGTTCACCACGATACAGAGTGTGATGAAGAGCTCGACGAACGGATCGAACACAACCAGGGCCACATATTTTTGGATTTGCAACCAGAGCCAACAACAGTCCCATACGCAAAAAATATCAATAATTTTCATAGTGTAAGCTAAAGCGCGTTCTTTGAACGTCGGCTCGTCCTCCTCTTCGTCATTATTATTGGCTGAGAAATAATAAACAGAAACTGTACGAGGTATTAGTAAAAGTGAAGTTGACACACTCTTTTTTGGGGAAAGAGGTTTGGTGCAAGAATGCGATTGGGTGGCAGTTGTTCTTAACCTCCGGTTAAGTATTTTTATTATGTAGTTAAGTAGTTAACTACCACTTAAGCAAGCTATAGGTTTTGTGCATAATAATTCCCTAATACAATTACTGATTGATTATCTTCATAAATTATAGCGTCACCATCGAAATTGCTTTGGAAATTTGTTTCGGTTAAGAACATTTCAAGCCTCTTGTGGTTGCTTTTGTGTACACTAGAAGCGCATGCGCCACCACAAAGCCCATGTTCTCGAAAAAATATCCCCAATCAATAATTTTATTTGAATGTTTAGGAATATACCTACTGAGGATATTTTTAGTAATTTAATGGCATTTTATATAGACTTTTATCTAATTCTAAGACCACACATTGTTCTATTTTACGAGATGTATCTAATCTAAACCAAATGACACAATACTATTAATATCCGTATAACAAAGGCATTATTAATTTGTCTGAAAAAGAGAGATACGATTTTAATTTAAATAAACCAGCAAGCACAAACGTCCTCAGGACGTCCTTGGACCAGCCTTAATGTCCCAGAATGGGATGAAAATATTAATTAATTAAAAATATTATTTTTATTTAATTAATAGGTTACAAATATCAGTAACGAATAACGGCTAGCCAATCGATTTCTTCAGGACCTACCTACAAGAACAACCCATGGGACGTTTAGAGAACAAATCCTAAAGGCCGCACCACTTGGCCTTGTTTGGAGAAGGTCAAAGGACGTCCGAGGATATCCTTGGGATATCCCAATATCCTGTAAGGCTTTCCTTATGACGTCTTTAAGACCGACTTGAGCTAGCTGGGTTTGTTCTATATGACACCTCTGATATACGGATACAGGTTGAATATAATTTACCCTACCCTGTGCTGTATTACATATGGTAAGTGCCAAACATTTTACATTATATATAATTATATTTATTTACCTAAAATTATTTCTTGTGTTAATTTTTCCTCCATTATTGTACAAATGTAGTAAATAAACATGAATTAGTTTGACCTCACTAGAGCAACATTGTGATAAACATATGAGAAACGAGTACATAGAAAAAGTTTTCAGTGTTAGTTACTAGGCTATATAACTAGTATAAGCAATTTGCGATGGTGTTTTTTGCTTTTGAAATGGGGACAGTGATTGAATTTACAAAAAGAACGATTCAAAATCTTACCTCCATGCTCTTCACTTCCACCACTCTGCCGGCCTGCTGCTTGTTCGATGATATCGTTCAAAACCATTACATCTAAAGAAGAGATAATTTATGGTATGAATAATTGAACAAATGAGAAAAATAATAAAAACTTTTCATTATTACCTTTCATGTCAACAACAGTTTGTCTTTGACTATTATCAATAAATGGATTGTCTATGTGCTTTAGTTTCCCTTCGCTAAATTGACCCGTTGGACCATCCTAAACAAACAAAAACAGTTATATAGTTGGTGTTAATTGCATGTTAGGTAGCACTTACGTAATCACCACGATGGGCTTTGTGAGTGAATTCAGTGAAATTATTGGTTGTTGTTGTGGGACCATTTCGCATTGAACGACATCTTAGTTGGCTTTCTTTGGTCATGACTTTTATGTTGCCTCCAAGGCCGCCCAATAAGTCCCCGTGTGAGGTGTATGACATCCTTGAAGCGTGCGATGTGTACGAAGAATGGCGTGACCCTTGATTGACAGTTTGGTTAATAAAGAGAGTTGTTGGTGTGGTGCTGGTGATATACGTACCAAGGTTGGTATAATACATTGGAACCACCATTGCGCCATTTTCCTCGCTCATTGGAGTGACGGCATTAGAGTCGTCGGCATAAGGCAGATGTTCCTGAGCATCAAGATAGGTGGACAGAACCAATGGTTTACGGTCACCAGGAGGCGCCACCATTCGACGGTTGTTACGCAACGTAAACTGGTGGCTCCCTCTGGAGCCGCGGCGCAGATTGAATGGGGATCCAGGTAGACTCAAGCTTGCCTGATAAACACGGGACATGGACTATATTTACAACTCTTTTTAAATCAGAATCACGGCACTGTTTAATACTTTAATAAGCCTTTTTATTTATTAGGTACCAGTGATTCTGATTAAATCCAAAATTAGCGTAAATATAATAATGGAAAAAGCTCTAGCCATGTCACGTGTGTAACTTTTATACATACTATTATTTTAAACGATTGCTTTGTATGTATTTAAGTCTCACAAGTCTTGAAGGATTAAACAAAAGAAATAGTAGAGTGCTCAAAAACTTGTTTTATTGTTAAAAGCAATTTTTAAATTGAGAACTTTATTATTTTCTTATCAAGGTTTTAAAGCTAAAGCTAATTTAATTGACATATCAACAACAAGAAGAAAACCTAGATGTATTAAGTTTCATAGCTAGTTCATAGCTGGACTGAAGAAGTACTTAAATACTAATAATGATAAGTATCAGAAAGCATGCTTTTAACTCATGAGCAATCTACTTTGATAAACGAAATGGGGATGAAGTGAACAAAAGATCTAGTGGCGTCAAAAAAAAAAAAACAAAAAGTGCAAGAAGGCATTTGTTTAATATTCATTCTGCATGAATATTTAACAAATCAAGTCTACACACTATAATTGTCATGATTTTTATTTTCATTATTCAATGACTTTTTATATCAAAAGCAATTAATCAGTCATAATCTAATTCGAAAATGGGGCTCAATAAATATCAAGACACTTACAGCGCTGACTTTCCGCATCTTGGTGGGATTTGTGGGTATTCTCCTCTGCTCACTCACAGAATCAAGTCCTTCCGATCTTATGCTCATTTTCTCTTTATTGTTATCGTCGTGACCCTTCGCCTGGCCTACAAACAGTTCGTAGCTGTGACATGAAAAATCCGATGGTGATTTTACAATGTCTGGACCTGCTTCAGCTGCAGCAGCCGCCGCCTCAGCTGCATGCGAAGCCTCCAAAGCTGCAGCCGCTCTCGCATCTGCACGATCTTGTTTCGCCTGCGCTGCTTTTTCAGCTTCCTAAAAACAAATCACCTAAATTATATCAACATCTATAATTATACAGGTTTAGACTATTTTGGACCCAAAACTAAACCTGTATAATAGAGTAGAATTGAGTTATGTACCCTGATGGCTTCCTCCTCAGCGGCTTCCTCTTCTTCGGCTTTCTTTTGCAGTTCGTCGTATGACATCGCGACAATAGCCAAGATCAAGTTGACTAGATAAAATGATCCCAAGAATATGATGACGATAAAGAACAACATGTGCCATGGACCTGCCGATCGTAGTACCTGGAATAATGTGTAACAATGAGGTTATTGGTGTATAGAATAGGTTCCTACCAGTTGGTATAAGTTTTCCCAATAATCCTGTGTCATCAATCTGAAGGCAGATAGAAATGCCCATCCGAAAGTATCGAAGCTGGTGTAGCCGTAATTGGGGTTTCCACCGTAACCTTGCAAACATGTGTAGCCAGGTTTGCATTGTCTGCAAACAAATAAAATGACGATGTTGTAGTGAGGCGAAATTATAAAATATTTACCCGGCTCCCGAGGAATTACCGCACAATGGCATTTCGCCTTTATCTTCGTCAAAGTACCAGTTGGCTGAAAAAAAAATAAAATTTATTGCCTGCGGTGAATCACAACGAACAACAATTCGGTCTTACTCTCATTGCTCATGAAGCGGTCCCAGTTTTCCGCGCTTAGATTTCCCCACGAGCCATCGTTCGGAAAGTTTTTGATACATTTTTGCGTAAGCACCCCCATGTAAATTTGCAAGCCCATGAGGGCGAACACCGATAAGGAGAACATAGTCAAAATAATCACGTCGCGCAGATTTTTAACGGATTCAATGACGGCACCGACGATGGTCTTCAAACCTGAATTAAGAAACTCGCTGAATTAGCCAGCTCTAATGCTTCAACGAACGTTAATTAAATCTTTTCAAAGGGTTTGTTTGTTCATACTAAGCACATTTAAACAAAGGGATTCAAATCAAACAGTGGCGAGCAGAAATATAAAGGTAGCAAAAGACGGGGTGATAAGATTATTAGAAGCAGCAATGTGCTTTTGAATATTTTGCATATTATTATTCTCAATATCTGCTAATCAAGCCCGAGGGCTATTTTAGGAAATGTTACATGTTTAGTTTACTTCCCTTATTATATTAAAATCTTTTTCCTTTATCCAAAGTCCAAAGGAGAGTTTTTATTCTCAGAAATAAACATCTTAATGCATATTTTATTTAGTCCAGTGTTCTTGGGAAAGGCTCGACTTTATTGTTATCTGGAATTACAACGGTAGTCCTGTCGAGTTCTTAATCAATATATTTCCAATGAAAAATATCAGGAGGATCTCAATCGGATTGATATGCTTTCTCAGATAAATAACACGTCCACTGTTTGAGATTTATCACCATTAATAAAAATCAATACCTAATACAGATTGATGATATGAAGTAATAAATAATAAAAAGTACCTGGTACGATAGCTACGGTTTTAAGGGCACGAAGTACCCTGAATGTTCTCAAGGCAGCCAAATTTCCAAGGTCAATTCCCATTGTAACGTAACTATAAAATAAAAATCGTTTAAAATTTTATTTTTTTTCTAAAATCGAACTGGCTACTAGCACTCTATAAGCCCCAATGTTCTCGTACTAAAATCCTCACATAGGTCTAAACAAAACCATAAACACAGAATGCATAATAAATGTTTAAGAATTTAATTTATAGTTATAGTCAAAAATAATTCTCTAAAAGCTGCCTTTTCGAATAAACTATTCAAAATATATATACTTAACGTTCTTCATTCTTTGAGTAGTATTGTATAGTTTTTATTCGAAATTGCTAGGGATATCTACTCACTAATAATGTTATATACACTGCTCAACAATTATAGTGGATATTAGAAGAATTTTAATATTGCCCGCGTAAATATTTAAAATAAAAAATATGATACAAAAAAAGAAATCAAAATCATTTAAAGTAAAAGATACGAAAAGTAACATAATGAAAGTTTTTGTATTGCTGCTATTCGCACCGGCTGTATAAAAGTTTAATATCGTGTAGGACCAACCCTGGCTCGCCTTAATGCTGTTACCCTGTACCCATGATAAAATTATTAATAAAGTCTCGAGGTATGCTTTGCCAGATTGCTTGAAATGTTTGAGGAGATTGTTGATTGAATTTCCTGGGCATTTTGGCCCAAACGTGTTCAATGCAATTCATATCTGGTGAACATGCTGGCTCGTAATCCACAAGTCGTGCTATTGCACCTGCAAATGGCACAATTATCGGCTCTATAACCATATCCCGATATCTTTGAGGAGTCATGGTTTCATTAATAAGAATTAGTAGGTCAGTGCGGCCATCAAAACATATGCCTCCCCATACGCAAACTGATCCGCCACCATTCAACCTCGTAGCGACTTATTCTTGAGGTAAACCTTTACGTATTAAACGCACTAATTGCTCAAGTACTGAAGGCGGTACAACTCACTAAAAGGTTGTAATTTTGAAACCACACTTCTACATATTTGTGTTAAAAAGTAACGACAAACAAAATAAAAAATGTTTACTCCAGAAGTGTTTATACACAATATATCCCTCTGACTTAAAATTTCGGGATAATTATAATTCTCCAGTTAAATTGTTGAGTAGTGTAGTATAATACGAAAGTCTATATAATTTATTTCAATTCTAAACTATTCTAAAATACGATATTCGGCTGACCTAAACATTTTAGTTTCATAAATGTACGCTATTTTTTATTATAAAAAAATATTATTATTAAAATTATTATCATAAAAAACAGCATTCTTTTTTGCTAAAAAAGGGTTTAATAATCCATTCCCTATTGATTCTTCTTGTATACAATACTAATACATTACTACCTAGTTATAAAATTATTACTACGATCATGAAATAATAGCATTAACAACCAACTCACTTGTAAACAATTTATTGTGATTAGCAAAAAGTTTTTTTAATTTTAAGCCAATATAACAATATATAACAATAGCTGTGAAATAAAAGGAATTATTGATTTTAATGTACAGTCTCTTGGTAACACTGCACGTTATTCTCTTAAGAAACTCAACTTCGTTGATATAAGATACAAGAAACTACTAAATTGCTAACTCTAGTTCTAGCTACTCACGCTAAAGCTATGACTACGAAGTCGAGCCAGTTCCATGCATCTCTAAGGTAGGTGAACGGTTGAAGAATAAAACCTCTGGCCATCACCTTCACAGCTGACTCGAACGTATAGATTCCTGTGAATATCACTCTAGAAACGAAAAAATAACATCGTCCAGTATCCTCTTATGAACAAATAATATTTGTGCATATACATTGAGAAAAAAAGAATGTTCTCGACTGGAATTAATTTGCACAAGTGAAACAATTTAGATGCTAAATAAAAAAAACTGTGGAGGTACCGGGCATCGAACCCTGTACCTCTAGCATGCTAAGCGAGTACCCTAATTTATGAGCTACGCTGCCTGATATCAAGCTTTTTTTCTCATTGTAGTAAGAAAGTTGTTAATCCACTTACTCGGTAGACTCTACGGTGGGTGTGGTGGGCATAATCATCAGGATGCAGTTGACAAGAATGGTTGTTATAATAAAAAGAGAAAATAAAGGATGTACTAAAATATAAATAGCTACTCGTCGGATTGGATTAAAAGGATCTAAAATCCATAGGGCGTTTGTTGCACTAAACCGGAATATATCCTTGCCCTTGCTTACTACTACAAAAGTCTGAAACAAAATAAAATCACAATCAATAGTATTTGAAAGGGAATCTGTATTTGTGTGTGTTTTTTTTTAAATTTTTGTGTATAAGGTCAGCGAAAATCGATCAATCGATCGACTTACCGTTTGGTTACTGTAAAAAGGGTCGATGTCTTCTAAAGGTGTGCTTGCCAATTCTGGAGGGAAACCTCCCTGAAGACGTACGGGTATTGGTAAACCTTGCTCCAGAGTGGCGTCAGGTTGGGGGCCTTCATCTTCGTCTTCGTCATCATACCGAACCTAAATCACACCGTCAAAATAACGTTTGCAAAGACGATAAAAAATCTAAAACTATCCTTAACTTGCAGAAGTACTAATCAACGAAAATACCCAACACGTATTCTGAGTATTTATTTATTTATTTTATTAAATTAAGTACATCTGCAAAAAATGCAAATAATACAGTTAAAAGTGTAGGTACTAAAAGTGCTTGTGTCAAGTGTATTGTTTTATTAATTTTTCAACCCTAATATTTCGGCGATTTGATATGAATGTCCACCCTTTTTATAATTTATAATTTTATTTAGTAAAAGTAAAATACCTTCATCATAGTGTCATAGTGTGTCAACAAATTTTATTATTTTACCAGCAGAAAATTCTAATTAATTTTATGCTACATGCATACAAGCTGTTGTTTTTTTATAGTTTCAGTGTCAGATTAATGCACCGGCAGGCCTCATCAGTGCCAGGCAGCCATGTGGTGTGGGCAGTGTGTTTCGAGTGTGCTTGCGAACCACATTTCCACCCGGCACAGGTGACTCCCAAAAGACGAGCTTACAATTATTGTTCGACACTGAATAATAATAAATGATAGATATATAGAAATTTTGCGCATTCAGATTCTAACCTAAAGAGTATACTGTGTAACAACGAATTAATAAGGGATAGGGAAAGGCAAAGAGGGCGAGTGGTCCCTTGGTGGTGGGCGTAATACACGGTGTACTCGAAAATTGTAAACATTTATTTTCGGGTTCACTGTGAAAAAGTGTGTTAGAAGCGAGTAGTGGCAGCCAATGCAGTAAAAATTAAATAAACTAGTCAAGCAAAAACAGAAAGAGAATATAAGCGGTTTAAATGGATGCAACTGACGATATAGAAGAAAGAAAAGAACATATGGGAAACGCAAAGTATCTGTTGTATGTTTGTGCTATGGCGTTTCCTAAATGGAATTTGGAAAAAATCGTCAGAGGCATTTTTGTTCAGCTAAAAAGCATCTCTGTTTGAGCATTTTTATTTGGTGAAATCTTACTTCTTTTTTCTTTTTCCTGCGTCCAAAACCGGTCTGCAATAAAGGGTTATATATTTAAACATCGATAAGCACATGTACTGCTTCAAAGATTCTACTCTACACACGATCTGTAGACGTTTTTCAACAAGACATCGTCCTCGCTATTATTATTATTATTATTATTATTATTATTTACACTAACTTGCTTTATACGCTATGAAAATCTTGTTGAAACTGTCCACTTAAACAGAACACCGCTAGGGAATTTGTGATATCATGACATGAGATGTGGAAATTTTGATTTTGATTTTTTGATTGACTAAAATTAAAAATGACCCGTTTTAGAATGTAAATTAAAATAAGCGCCATTGCTTTTCATCGATGCGATTTTTTGATTTTACGTGGACCGCCAATTTTAGGGTTTTAGCCTCTCTTATGTAAAATGTTGTGTCTAATATTGATGATGATTTTTATATATAAATATATATAAATATGTATATATCATATAAATACATAGATAACATGCATATTTTCAAGCACTGAAAGAATCCTGGAAAATAAATTAATACATGTATATTTACAAACAATTTATCAGTGAACAACAATATTTTAATATTATGTATATGTTTAACGTCAAAAATATAGAAGAAGACATGCTTGACATAATATTTAGATCAAAAAGACTAAATAAAGAAGAAGTAACTCTCGACCGCAAGGCATAATAGCTTGCGTAGGAAAGACTACAGTCTGCATTTAGTCTTCTTGATCCAGATTAAGTAAAGTAAGATAAAAAACAAAAATAGTCGTAATGAAGTGGGGAAAAATGGTAATTAATGGTAATGGTAACAGTTAAAATACCTCTCCCTCGGCTCTTTTCTTTTCGAGCTCCTTCTGTTTAGCATGTTCTTCGGCAATCCTAGTTTCAATGGCTGCCAGCGACTCACGAGTGAATGGACGGAATAGACTACGTTCCTCCTCAGAGAAAGAGTCAGAGACGACGGACATGTCTCCTCTCGCCTAGGCCCCCACGATACCCTGAAACAACACCGTGCGATTTTTTACTCGAACGCTACTGCTGCCCGTCATTATCTTGTGCCTGCGTCGTGTGTGCCTTTGGATCTTAAAATAACTTTCATTCAGTTCATTGAGTATGATATAGAAAATCCCTCGATGAATCATGCATATTCAGTCAAAATGTTTTCCCGGAATAATTAAATAAATAATAATGGCAAGTGTAGGTGAGATAAAGCTAGGAAACATGTTATAAAATAGTTTACGTTGACATTCAAACCTATTAATAGAAGTGCCTCCAGTACTTTGAAGTAAATCGATATACTAGGAATTATTTTAAATATCTCAATGTTTACCTTTTTACAGTTTACTTCTTTTTTATTAATTCGTTGAAATTTCCTCTGTTTAAATATTAGAAGTGAAATTCGTTTTAACCGAATTAAAAACCCTTGTTTGCTTTCTCAAATTATGCATATGATTTTATTCCGCATTACTATTACATGATTAAATAATAACGAATGAAAATTAAAATTGTACATTTATAGACAATATTACTTATTTTTTGTATTTGTGTGTAGAAAATATAAAATCAATATTTAGACAAACGTAGACGTCGTCGAAAATGTACTTTTACGATTAAGTTTCAAGTGAATAAAAAAGTTTTCAATTGAATGTATTTTTTTAAACGTAGGTTTTAATTTGATTTAATTGAGATTATCACCATTTGATTTTAACAAATATAAAAATAAAATTGTCGGAATATCGATGGTATTAATAATTAACAAAGGATAGATTTCTTGTTCTATTTTAGTAAACATATGTTGGTAATTGTAATCTTTAGAAGATTTAAATAAAATTCCCTCTATTAAAAGTAAAATGTCATAATATCGATTATGCCGTTTTGTGTCCTATATTATTAATCCCCTGAGATTGCTCCATAAACCTGAATTTTACACAAAATAAATATAAAATGACATACACGAATTAAAAGTTAAACTTGACATTATTATAAACGACTTTTATTGTAGATTAGCAAAATATACAAAAGTACAAAAAAACAAAATCGAGAGATAAGCCTTGCGTGATCGAATAGATTCACTTTTTCCTTATTTTTACCAGTCTTTTTTTGTCTACTTAAAGTTATTTACTTCGCAGCCATAAAACATGTTTTACCAGTCATATATCCTATGTAGATATACCTATAAAAGGAAAGCACTTTGGAAAAAGTATGGGCGAACACTTGACTAAATTATTTACGCTCTCGCATAGGTACATCCTAACATCCAACGCATCCAAATAAATTTCAATTATACCACTCTGTCTCATTAAGAACTCAATTAAAACCATGTAACATTTTTCCAGTAAGTAAAAAGTAAAAAGACAATATTTTTATAAGCAGGAAGGTGAATTTCTAGGTTTTATTTTAATTTAATGAAATGTTTGTTTGTTTATTTGGTGGAAACGAGTTTACTGCAAATCAATTAACTAATTCGGAATAAGAATGAATGGCATTAGACCGTAAATTCAATTAATACAGCAAATCAATATCTGCAAATATTTCCTTAAATTAGGTATGTGAGTTAATTATGAAGACGTAACATTGTAAATACTGTGTTGGCGTGTGTTTTTTAATTTTGTAATTACATCAGTTTTTCGTATATAAATATATACATAATATAGATTTTTCGACATGCCAACACAAACAACAATTAATGAAATCTACATAAATAGAAATTAAAATAAAAAATGTCAAAGGTAAAGCCTGTCCACAAAACAATATTTTCAGGTTTTACGACTTAATCCATTAATGAAAAGTGATAAGTGATGTAGTGTGATAATATTATTAATAATAATAATATGACCCATTTCTTATTTGTCATATTCGTAATTAAAATAGCATAGTAATATGTTAATACAAATGTAGTTTAAAGCTTGGAATAAGGTCAAGCCATTTATTTATTACTTTGCGTGACATTTCTTGACTTAAAAAAAATGGAAATTGAAAATGTACGGGAGTAGTAAGTGAGGCGATAAAAAAATGCTAAAAGTAGTCAGGGTTAGTTAATAATAACACTGCGGAAGAAATAATTGGGTGTAAGAGTGGATGTCAGAAGTGGAGAATGAAAGAGGAGAAAATGTAGGATTACGGAAATGTAGAATTGAATTAAACCCACCTGCATAGGGGAATTTCTATGTAGAAATCACATGGCTCTAATTTTAACATTGAAGTTTGGATCGGGTGGTTTCATGTACACAAAAGTAAATTAGAGTAGAGTAGCACTGATTTGGTGTTATAATGGGTGGGTCAGTAACAAAAAAACGCACTGTACTGTATTGGGAGGCAATGAGGTTTTAGAGTTGTGTGTTGGTAAATCTGTAGGAAGCAGGTTGGGAGAGTTGTGAATGTGCCTTACAGTAGTCACCCCTATGCGACAGAGCAAATCGATATCAAGGCTATGTGACCCCAAAAAGTTGAAAAAAGATATACGATAAACGGAGTATTACTTACATCAACTTTGTATGTTATCAAAATATGTCCTTGAAAAAGCATGTGTTATATTAGTCTTCATTTATTGCTAGTTTAGGAGCACAAGGTTTTGAACAAATCGTAATTTGAATCGTAAATGGTCGCGACAATCGCAATCGCAACAGCGCCGAATGTGACAGAACGTATTTGCAGGCACACAACGACGGCACATGCCGCAAACGGTTTACAGGATACTCAGGACACTCAGGATACTCACAACGCAACACTTGATTTAATCGCCGGCCGGAGCTGGGGGCATTTTGCATTTTTGTTTAATCCTGCTTCGAGATTTTACGTGCCCCCAGCACTACTCCGACCTCTTGTGCGAACGCCATTTTATCTAGGCAACTAACTGCCCAACGCAACATGCGCGACACGCCACCTTGGGGGTGGCTCTTTCTAAATCTCAATCTAAGCGAATAAGCCCCGAAATAAAGTCCAACGTGCACCGCACCACACATCAGACTTTCATTTCTCCCTCGAACATCGGTCCCTCGAACGAAATGTACGAAATGCTCGCGAAACGAAAATCCTGCAGCTAAATTTAAATCGAGCGGGCTAAGGCAACGTGTTCCGTAGCTGCGCAGTCTCAAAAGTACACTTCTTTCGGTATCGTGAATGACACCACTGCTCCACGCCGCCTGCCCCTAACCCTTTCTTGGTAGACTAACAGGCGCTCGTGACGTCACACGGTCAGTAATGTTGCGGAAAGCGTAACCATGGAGACGGGCTAGCACTGCCGTTATATAGCTGCTGCTGCAAACGCCTTCCTATCGTCGACGGTTTTCGTTTCGTTCGACTGCGACCTTTTAATCGATATGCACGCGACGAACGTTCTCCAACGTCCTATCGCCAGCGCTGCTAGTCTACCACTGAACATTGCCGCCACACAAACCTGCTCCTGCTCCTGCTGTTCCTGCCACCGCCGCCGCCTGCTCATACCACACCGTTTCTATCTTCTCTTCTTAACAATCTACCCGCCAAAATTACAAAAATACCACACCATTTAATTAATTTCCAAGCAACATCAATGGCACTGGTCTGTGGAATTTTCACTTTGTCTTGTCATTATTTCACCTTACAATACAACCACTAAAATAATTAAAGTTTAACAGCAATACATCATTATTAATCCCGGCGCATTCGCCATTTTTGACAACAACAAATCTTTCCAAAAATGGCGAATGCGCCAGGATACACCATTTTAAATAACTTGGAAATGATTTATTTATAATATGTGAATATGTGGTTTTGGGAGTAAAGCACTCAAATGATGTTAATTTATTTACTACTAAAATGCCTAAAACGCAAAATTGAATAAAACTAAATATTATCCAAAACAAAATAAAACAAATATTTGTCAAAAAATAATTGTTTGTTTTTTTAATTGCAAATAAACCAACTAAATTTATATTGTGTTAATTTGTGCATTATTAATCCCGGCGCATTCGCCATTTTTGAAAATACCCAATATTGCCAAAAATGGCGAATGCGCCGGGATACACCATTTTAAATATAACTTGCAAATAATTTATTTATAATATGTGAATATGTGGTTTTGGGACTAAAGCACCCAAATGGTGTTTAATTTATTTATTACTAAAATGCCTAAATGCTTGCCTAAAAGCCAACATTTTTTTATAATAAATATTATATATTTTATTGATTGGGATTGTTGGTTATGTTATAAAACATATATAATTTGTCAAAAACATGTGGATAATAGGACAAATAAATAAAATGATTTTCTATCAAATAAAGTAGAAATCTATCGCCTTATCGTTGCATATCGTAAGTGCCTAAAAGTCCGGTCTCTACTTATTAGTTAATAACACCAAAATTTCAGAAAAAGTAAAAGTAAAAGCCACTAAAAATCTCGCAAACACAATGAAAAAAAAACAAAGAAAATGGTTAGTTTATATACAATTTATTAATATGGTATTTTTTTTTTGAAACCGACAATGTAGCCACGCATGCGCCAGTAAGAAATTATTTGTATATGAGTCTAAGCCAGCCCAGCGACATCTCTTAATCTCTTCATTCAAACAAATGTAAAGGTTTCCCTCGACCACCCCTAAATTGTATTAATTTTAGTTATCTTTAAAGACCATTGATTTTATCACCAACCTTCCAAGGGTTTTTCGTAGGTGGCGTTACGTGTCAAGCAAAAAAACAGACAATGAAATTTTAATAATGATGCAGTGTTTTAAAAAAGGAGCATGCGTAGTAGTGGGTAAAAAAACAACGAAATACTAAAGTAATACAAATAATTTTTTTTAAATATTAATATTTTTTATTTACGAAATATATATGTGCTCAGTAAATAAATGATAGTAATAAATAAGTCACAATTAAATATAACGCATACTGCTAATAAACATGCAATATCCCTAGGGAAATTTTTGAAAAAGGCACCACGCTTACTTGTTTAAATTTCTCTACGTTAAATTCAAAATTATTTAATATTATATGTGTACCTATTAATTAATAATAAATATAAATATAAAATTAATAAATATAAATATCGTTTAATTTTTTTTTAATTTATACCAGCCATTTGCGGCAAGAAGTAATTGAATCTATTACTTGGCGTATAATATGTGAATTTAGTTTTTTTATTCCAATACAGTAAAACACCAATGCACCTTCTTGAATATTTAAAAGTTACTGCTTGTTTCATATTGATTCGTACTGTTATAACAAATCAATAAATATTGATCTTTCTCTATATTTTTATTTTATTAAGTGTACGAAAATTTTTAAGCATATATTGTAAAATAATTTTTTTAACGCCTAAATTTAGTGAACGTAAAAATCCAATTAAAAAGGATGGTGCACATTTTGTGGCCTAAGTGAAAAATATGAACTTTTAAATAAAGGGTTTCTATTATCTTCGTTTGCAATTTGGAAACAGTCCAAAAGTGAAGTGCCAAAGCTGGAAATAAATAAAGAAGTTTTAAGGATTTTTTAGAGAACCAATAAAATGGTAGTGCACTGGTTAATTTTAGAATACAAAGAGGCTATGTATTTGCATACTATTAACAAAGCAAGAGCAGTATTTATAGTATGTAGTAAACGAAAGTGACCTAAAACTAAAACTTCAAAGGAAACATATTTTGACAGAATTATGCTTTAAATTAAAATATTTATGAATATTGTCGGTCCTATGTAAAACCTTGGGCCTTAATGTATATCTAATTGTGGGTATTACTGTCAGATTTGAAATCCTTAATCCTTTTTATTCCTGTATACCCTTATCTTGCTGAGAAAAAGTAATCTTTTAATGTAATTTAATTTATTGTGCTCAGGTGTGCTTCTTTTTTTTTAACTGTTTCGGGTCATTAAAATTTAGTTTTCTCTCCCCTTTTCCGTCCAATTAAGTCAAGTAGTCAAAATTGCAAGACAATTTAAAATTAAATCGTTCCCTGTGCAAGAAAGTTAAATTGTCCTGTTTTTTGCTTTGTACTCAGATTTTAATTGGGTCTAGAAAAAAATAAGGCTTTCATGGCAGTACGACATTTTTTATGATATCAATTATATGTATATAGGTGATGTGGTGCTAAAATGTTTAAACGCCAAAATAATAACTAAGGTTGACATACATTTATTCCTTTTGTTAAAATATAATTGAGTTAAAGGGGCAAATAATGATTATTGGGGTGAAGTTTGGAATATGATAGACAGTCGTGGAAAAGTTTGGTCCGTGAGTTGGTGAGAGTTAAGGTTAATCCAGAGTGGGTCTGGTAGGCGGCGAACAGCGAGCAGCGAACAGCGAACAGCCAACGGCGCATTGTTGGTACGTGGTACGTGGTACGTCGAGGCGCAGCCGGCGTCGCGATGCCCTACAGCGTGTAGTATGACCGAGATATCCGAAGCATACGTACGTTGCGCACGGGCCCACCATTCGCCACGTCTGACATATCAAAAATACTGACGAAAAACTAAACCGGTTCAAAAAATCAACAATTTTCGGTTATGTTAGAATCCATTGTGCCTGACTATCGCAAATCCGGTTTTTCTACCTCTCTGGATCTCCTCTACAAAACCCACAACTATGATTAAAGGTAGTTTTAGATTTTACATTTTAGAAAAACACATCAATCCCTTATATATACTTGTATAAAAGGCTTAATTAATTTTCTTTTCCTTCCTTTCCTCTTCCCACTTCATACTTATACAACATATAGCAATTATTCACGTGTCTCACACCACTTATAAACAAAAATAGCCCTAGGCACAACTACTTTACTTACATTGTTAATAAAACAGTATTTTAATAGTAATTATTATCATTATTTCTGACAGATATCGAACCATTCGACTTTATATAACATGGCATAACATAAGCAAGGCTTCTTAACCTAAAAACTGACTACTTACAGATGTTTTAACTAAATTATACAAATTCAATTTACATTACTTATACTTTAAAATTCAATCGTAAATATTAGTGTGACTATATAAAATTTAATTAAACGTTGGACCATATCCAAAAAGCAAATTAAATTATACTACCTACCGTTGCTTTCTTTCATTTTCTTTTATTTAAATTGAAGCAGCTGATGGAAAATTGCTATGTGGCCTTTCAGCTTGTCAAAATGTGTAAAACAGGATTTGAAGAAGGACCGTAATTTGATTTTTTTGTGGATCAATAGAACTAGGTGCCCAAACCTATTAAAATCTTACCACACCATACAATTTCAAAAAAATAACTTTAATAATAACATAGGTCGCATCAGTGTAAACAAACCAATCCCACAATCATGTCGTAATGCTAAAAGAATTTTAAATTGGATTTTCTTTATGTTTACACAATATTAAATTGTTAATTTTATAAAGCTTCGTTTAAACATTCAGTGGACCCAACTTAAGTATGATAGACCTGTAGCTACATAACTTGTTCAATATTCACTTGAAGGCTTGAAATTTAAGTAACACGAACATTTCTCGACGAAATGTTATTGCAAAATACAATAAATTGAATGTTTTATGTATTCTGACACCTTGGTAGATTTATCGCCATTTCTAATAACATATTTGTTTTGAATACAAAATTCTAACACCAGACGATACGTCACTTACCGTGTTAATAATATTTCATCAAAAACAATTTAGGTCATAAATCATACAAACTGATTTGGCGCATGAAATACAAATTAAATAATTTTCATTTCCCTCAAATTAGTTATGATTAAAAATGTATTATTGTTCACTAAAATATTTTGCATGTTGTATACATATGAAGGTAAAATAAACACAATAATTTATTTTTATGAACCAACGACTTAATTAAAGAAACCAATTTAGCCAGGAAATGGCAAAACTTTTAAAAACCATATATTAAGTACCATCTACTAATTAAAGACTTAATCCGTCAATTTTTATTGACAAACTTGTTTTCAAGTTTTGTAAACTTCCAAACTATTCTTAACCCTTAACTTGTTTACGAAGTTGTGTTATAATTTTTGCGATGTGCATTAACAGCGTTCTGCTTTGTATACAGTGTGCCAATAGGATTATGCTTTAAGAAAATGGCTTTTGCCTTAAAAATTAAACCAGTTGCCCTACTCATATCACCGGTTTCTTTTTAGAAAATATTGTGCTTTTTTAGAAAATTTAAAATTGTAAGTTTGAATAGTATATTATGTATCTAGTTCATTAAACGTTATAGAAAAGTTGCATACTATACTTTTTCTACGAAAAATACTATCTATAATATTATCTAAAAATAATTTAAATATAATATTTGTATAGAGCGATATCTATAAAACAATAAAGTAACCAGAGAAAATGTCAAATTTTTATGTGTAAATCGAAATGTATTCCTTGAAAAACTACTTACAACAGTTTTTCACAGTGAAAGTAAAGAAAATGTTTTATGGGCACTCCACCCAAAATTAAGTTAAATCTAGTTTACTGCCGACGAAATGTTCATATAAACTAATTTCAGTCCGTGACTAAAAACCTGTTGCTAACTTCAGCCCGTAACTAAAACGCCATAAAGCAACACCTTGTCAATATATGTTACTTAGTGTTTAAATAGGTTTGGTAATAATAATTTAAAACAAATCAAAATAGAAAAAACTAATGGTGTGCGTTAAAACGTATTATTAATATTGACAATGAAAATCGTCATAGATTAATTGACGAGCTCAGCTTAAAGACTTATAAATGAGGCGGTGACAAAATAATCCTGCGTAATCCGAGCAAAAACCTTATTAACAAATAAACTTGGCATTTTATTTTAAAACGTTAAAATGGCCCAGTGCACCTTTTAAACGGAAAAAGGTATACTGGCCTCATAAAATTTTATATTTAGAATTTTATTTGGTTCGGGGATTTCGACTGTAAAACCTATAGCTCCTTTAAGGAAACTAAAAATGCAATATAAATGAAATGCAGTTTTAACGTTTTAACTACAAAAATTATTTATTATCAACACTCACTACATAAGTGATTCATTATAGTCCAGGTCGTAAAAATAATTTAGACCAATTGGGTAAGGTGTTTTACCTCCTACTCTGTAAAAAAAACCGTTTAGTTCAACCTACTACTGACAGATAATAATATTTATTCTAATAATGACCAAAAACCTGTTAGGAGCAATAAAAAAATTTCATAACTGCTGACAGTTCTAAAGTTATCTAACCTCACTTTATATTTTTAATTGTTGTTATTATAATTGTAAGTTCGTCTTTTTGTGATTGGCTCAGCACAAAAAATCACTTCTTAGCCTTATGATATAAATAAATATTTTAATGAATTTTAAGCTACTTTAATGGATTTTAAAACATAAAAAAATTTTAAATGTAAAATCAAAAATATAAGCGTTAAAATTAGTACGTCAACTTTACCAGGGGCTTATGTAAAAGACTCCCATGAATTAATTTTTCCAATAAATTTCCAATAAAATTGGCACCAATAACTTTGCGGATTTTAAATTTTCCTGTCAAGCCCTGGCATTTTCTAACAATAAAATGAACATCTTAAGTAGAAAACCTATTTTAATACTTGTAATGACATTATTTACTTACGTGTATTAGTTATAGAAACACATGTAGATATTTTTGCTAAATAAATATAACATTGAGTTTATGTCATTAAATAAATGAACATTTAAATGTTAAAACATAGGCGTACCAAGTGTTGAAAACTATTTAATACAAATTATACTTGAGAAGAAAATTGTATTTTTATGTTGTTTAAACAACAAATATATAAAACTGTAGGTTAATTTTTTATTAGAGTGACCTTAGAACGAAGGAATATGTAGGTGATAGTTTATAAAACATGTAAAACGAAAATCGATATATCTAAATATGATTAGGAAAAGTTTATTTTTTCGGTGTTCAGTGACTTTAAAAATAAGTAAACATCAATTAATAGCAATTGATTCGATACTCGATCAATTGCAAATAATTTTTATATAATTTTCTGCTAAATTACCCGTGTACAGGAAAAATGTATTGCCCTTTTAAACTACGGCTATGGCAATCGATACCACTGAACCGAATAATCTTGTTAACAAAATAATTCGAATTATTTCAAAATAATACTTAGGTAATTAGTTATAATTATTATCAAATTAACATAATTCGAAATAAAGTTTATTCATTTATGATACTACAAAAATTATCACTAACCTTAATGTTCTCAAACACTAATTATTAAAGGGAGTGTTTTACAGTTATGAATACGGTTTGCTCTATAAAGCCTATTTTTAGAACTATTGATCTTTACAAATAAAAGCAATTAAGAATTAAATATATACCTACTTTGCCTGAAATTTTTGGTTGCCAACGAAATGTCAAAAAAGAACTTTTTTAAGATACTTTATGTATTACGAAGTAGCCCTGTATCAAATAAGTATAAAATTGTAAAATGTAAACTAATTTGTCTAAAAACTTTTTGACGTAAATTCATGCTAATGTGGATAGAGACAAACAATCATTCCACATGCCATTTACGTACGTACGTAAAGTTTCAGTTTACACACATGTTGAGGGAGAGAGAAAAAATTTATTTAATTATACGAAGTAATTTGAAGTGAACTCGAACCAGTAAGTTCATTAAATTCTGATTAAAACTTAAACAATGCAAGACCTCTTAAATTGAATTTCGATGTACGACGAATTGTGAATAGTATTTTTACATCTGCATTTTGGTAAACTAATTTCAAACTCGATTGTGGTGATTAAAAAGTTTTATATTGTTCCATTGTTTTTACTTAGAAAACAAGATGTTTATTTTTTCTTATTAAGGCAGCTTTAATTTAATAAAAAATAAACTTCTTATCCTCATTAGTGTACATTGTAAAATACACATGTATCTTAGAAATACAAACATTTTTTTATAAACATCCATTTATATACACTTAAGCAATGAATAAATAGTATTAATAAAAACTTTATACTATAAATAATATTTATTGTTTAATAACGAGCAATAAATTTTATGTTAATATCGTTAGTTTTATGTTTTATAATTGTAGGTACAGCCATAGAAAAAAGGAATGTACCAAAGTTCATACAATTGTTACACTTGCTGATGGAATTTAAGAAAAAAAAATGTTTTTTATCACTTGAGCTAAACTTTTAATAAAGAATTTTCGCTGCTATAATTTTATCGTAAATTATTGGCATAATGGGTTATTTTCCAGAATGTTATTATTAAAAGCTGATTTATGCCTTAATTTCAAAACAACGCGCTAAATTAATCAATTCCTTTGGTAGTTTATTCGCAAAATTGTTCAATAAACTTTTGACTAATCAAGTCCCACACGAGCAAACCAGTTAAAGCACTTTTACTGCGTGCATTATTTATTTAAGGGAAACAACATGACTGTCTAAATTACTATATGCATTATAAATTAACCTCACCCATTAAATTAAATATTTTAGGGGCATAGATAATGATCTTTTAAGTAACCCCACATATAAAAATCCAGAGGCGTAATATCTGGTGATCTTGGAGGTCCCATCAACTTCCGGCTAATCGATTTCTGCCAATCGCCCTATCCATCTTTCTGGATAGTTTTCATTAATCCACTTTAATTTAAGGTTTAACGCAGACCACCCTGTATAAAAAATATACTAAAAAAATGTATAATATATGCCAGTTCAACATTTTTCAATTGCTGTTGCCCTTTTCATACAAAATTTGGTCTGGATTTTTGTTTAGTCAGTGTTTTTTTCATGGCATATTTCGGGATTATATTTCCACACTTGTAATTAAAGTCAGCAGTTTGTACTTAACAGACTAAGTTAAACCGCGATTTGCGAAATATTTAATGAAAGAAATTATGCATCCAGTCATTTTTCAAGTTCGATGTAAAATTTAGGGTTTATTATGGAGTGTCAAATTTACGTAACAGATGGCAGTTTTGTATGTCAATCATTATTTAAGAATTCCATTTACTTGGATCAATGAAATATAGTATAATAAACAATCCATAGCCTTTGTGTTTTTGGGATGTGTTCATTTTACTGTAGGTATTGATTTTTACCTACAGAGACATACCAATTCAACTTCAAATAATTTAATACTTTTTTCTGCTACCACCTTTAAAACGCTTATTATCGTACATGTTTTCAAAGCGGTAGTAGAAGTGGATGCGCATGCGTTAATTTTCGTTGTAGGAAGGGATGATAAAACTAAAAAATGAAAAATATTATTTCTATGCAGAAAACAAACACACGCAAAATTGACAGCTATTTAACTTCGAAAATGTCGCGCACAAGTACAAAGATAAAAAATAGTCTTCAATGTAAATGGCTGGAGTATAAGTAGCAGCAAGAAAAGATCAAAGAAGGTCGTCTCTAACGTCAACAACTTTGGTTGCTACTCTCCTTACTCCAGCAAAATCAAATTTAAAACATTTAATACAATATACAATATTTTTTACAATATTATTTGTTGTAGAAAGAATATAGTAGGCAAGTCGTTTATAATAGCATATACATAATATTTTAAACTTTTCTAGACACTCTTTAATTAAGCACTCGCTCGTGCCTGAATTAAATTCGTGACTAAAACTTAATTTTGTAGTAGTAAATACGGTGTTTGATGAATTTAAATATAAATTTTTATTTGTTTCATTCACTGAAATTTGTAGCATTTGAAATTATTTTTATACGCTGTAATTAACATCATTCAATGCATATATAAACTTCATGAATATCATTAAAAAGTATACGTACATACATATATTTTTGAGCCCAATAAATTTATCTGTGCGAGCAGTATGTGAGGTTACTAACCTGCGAATATAAAATTAGAAAACCTATTTATTTAAATGCAAATTCCAGCAGTCAAACTTAAAAAACCTATTTATTTAGGTACAAACACATAATGGTTATTCATGTCATAAGAGTCTTTTTGTGCTGAGAAGTTTGAAACCACCTACAACATTTTATTTTCAAGGCACAATTTTATTTGTTAAAAAATACATAAAACCTACTTACAATTATTAAAAGTATAAAGTGAGGTTAGATGGCTTCAGAGCTGTCAGCTGTTATCGATTTTTTTACCGACTAGGATGTAAAAAACTTCACCTGATTGGTCTAAATTATTTTTAAAACCTAGGAGATAATCGAATAAATTTTACAACGCTTGGAGATAGATAGCATTTTATTTAAAAAGCTCGTGACGTGAAAAGGATTTATCGCTGAAAGCTGACACTAAATTTTCGATGAGATATGAATACAGTTTCTTAATTAACGAATAGTAAACAGTAAATATTAAGGTCGTCCGTGTATGGTACCTAACGGGCGAAATTACGCACGCAAACGGCGGCTTTACACTATACAACGTTGTCTTGTGTCTGCCCCGAAAGGTTTACGAACTGTAAGTTAATTAGAATGTACGGCATCCTCCAGGATTTGTCCTCGTAAACATCTTTACTGTACCATATCCCAAAGCCTTTCCGAGTCGCTTTTTCACATTTATACCTATCCTTTCTATCAATACATAGACATAAATCTTCTCAAAGTATTGATTTGTCTATTACTTATATTATATATTTGTTTTATTCGCAAGCAAAAGTGGGGCAAAATTTTTATATTTATTATAAAATTTGTGACATTTTCAACATTTATAAATATCTTCAGCATTCTTTAACATCTATTTAACATTCTGGAATGTATTTTTAGCATACATATACCCCATATTCCATATTTAATATATTTGCCATTGGTGGTGTAGTAGAAAGTGTTGTGGAGTACAAGCCAAGAGGTCGTGGGTTCGAATCCCACATGGTTATGGAAATTAATTGTGTTTGTCTCATATATGTATATTTTACATTACATTACATATGGCCAAATAAAATTAAGGGAAATATCAGGCTGGTAAATCATTGATTAACACAAAGATATGTTTTGCAGTATAACGTTTTATTTATTTCAAACAGACAGTCGTTATTTACATGTCGTACATTACCGCTGATCTAGGCTAACGATAAAAAAATCAATTATAAATAATTTCCTTGTTCGATATGACTGCTAGGAAATTAATTCAAACATGGTCCTATACTTTTTATTCCTGCCGAATAGTAAGCTCAAATTCAGTGATCGATATTTTAGGAGGAGGAAAAGGAGGAGGAGGTTTGTTTGGTCAAGAGTTCATAATTTATCTTAGAAGGTTTTCCTCTTCAAGTTCATGGAATTCCACTTGAGATAGCCTTGTTAAAATACTGTTTCTTAGGTGTGAAGTATTTATTATATTGCCTAGCTCAATGCATTCTAAAAATACCCCGGTTGTTCATCATGAATATTTGGAATATTTTCACAATACGCTTGCAGTTTATTGCTGCTGTTTAGTTTTATTTCGCCTTAGGTTTCATCAATAATACATTGATGGTACAAGTGTATGAGACACGTTTAACCGAATGTCTTTATTTTTATTTAAGCCAAAATTCTTATCTATTGATATACTTCAGAGAATTCAAATCAAACATAGATAGAACACGTTTAAAAATACCCCTTTTTTGTTTAGCTATCCAGCATATAAAACAAGATTTACTCTAAATTTTATTCAGTCACAATCTTGTTCTCTCGACGTACAAGTGCAGATTTAAATTGAAGTAAGTTATTGCGCGTTTTTGTACTTTTAACTTCTAACTAAGAAAAAACGTTTTACTCTCATGAATAGGAGCTCTATTAAGTAAAAAGATGGTTTTATGAATTTTAAAGCATTCCGACAGTATCCTCAAGCTTACATACTTTATTATTTCTCCTCTTTTTAAATTCTCAGACTAAAGCAAGATAAATTAACTAGTTGATTTAATTTTCAACCTTAACATTTTCGTATATAGATAATATGTTGTTTCAGGATTAAAAACAGGATATAAAGGATAGAAAGGATAGGATGAGTAGTCAGGATGAGACAGCGAGCCTATTGGTGGGCCAGCCGTCTCTGACTAGTGCCTCATCGCCAGCCAACTGTTCAAAGCCGGTGCTGATGCGTCAAGAGTGCACCACGTTTTTGGTCTCTTCGCACCATCCCCAGCTGTCGGTTTTTTCCGACAGCGAGGAGGACGGATCACTGTGCCTTGAGGAAAACAGCACGCGCTCGGTTCCCGACATTGAACTTCACTGCAGGTAACCTTTTTCATCCAAAAGTTTTTCTTAATTATTATTATTTGCAACTTGTATTCTTACATTATAGTTATTTTAGTATTGACTGTCAGCTTAATGTCCAGTTTCAGAGAAAGCAAAGATAATAAGATAAATAATGTGCTGAAAAGAGACAATGATATAAATTAAACATTAAAAATACATATCGTTAAGAAGTCTAAAAAATAATAGTATTTTTTGATTTATATTGTTGGTATCGTAAAAAGCTGTTAAATTATTTATTGGGTTGAAGTTGAAAATCATGTGTAAAATGGGCTGCCTAAACGTGCTTGAATTTTTAAAAGTTTTCACTTCACAGATTAACATTAGGAAAAAGTTTATAAACACAAAATAAGGTATTTATAAAATCAATAAAATCCATTTTAAGTATAAAAAACGCGACGCGTCTTTAAACAGTTTGTAAAATGTAATTTTTTACTAAAACACTGAAAAGGTTAAACGGCTGGTGCACTAAAAGCATATATTAAGATCTATAATAAAATTTTATGGTGACATAAATTTCGAATTGCCCATTTAAGTTAAAAAGTCATAGGTAAGGAAAAGATATTCGAAATACGCGTAAAAAATACAAAGACTTTTATATTATAAAACCACAAGAATAGAAGTTACGTAATAAGAGCAATTTGCAAAAATGGCGAATGCGCCGGGGTTAATGGGCAAAACTTGTGGTAAGTGTAAGTTAACAACGTAAAATTAAACAATAATTAGGGCAAGATGGTTTATGAACTGCAGATTATATTTTTACATATTTTACACTTTTATACTTAACAGTGAAATTATAGACAATAAAACTTAAGTTTAAAAACTCAATGTTATATCTTTTTAAATAATGAATGTAGAATTTTCTGGAATTGCTTGAGGATTTGAGACAAAATTAATAAAGAGATTAAACAGGGTGTGAGTTTAGGAGTAAATATTAAACCGTTTACCATAAGACAATACTAAACTGGTTGTATGGGGTTTGAATATCGAGCAGAGAATTCCCTATGGGTGGATGTGAGTACAATGGCGTATTTATCTGATGTATTGAATGTGATAAATTGGGTTGAATTATTGACGCGCTGATTTGTTTTCAGGCTCGATGTTAAGGGTTGCAAGCAAAATTTGTCGTCAAACATTCCAACTAGAAATCGTAGCTCTTCGAACGCATTTCAATTGGCTCCGTACACGTCTTCAAGTCCTCGAGGCATTTTGGAAAGAAGAACGTCGCAAACGCCAGCTTCGACGTTAAAAATCGTACGTTCGGTATCGAGGGAAAGTGTGCGTTCGATACATCACTGCACTTGTCCGTGTTTGAATGCTCCGGTAAGAAAGTTATGGTAGATTTAGCCAATATTTGCTTTGGTTTATCTAAATTGAGCAGGTTACCGTCGAACAAGCCAATTAAGTTTTATTTGATTTTGGAAACGTCTGAAAAGACTCAGCGATTCTCCAAAGTTTGCAGCTGATTTCGCATATTTTGTATTTATTTTATTAGGTATACAGGGTGGCCCCGAAAACACTCCAGCAAGGTTTATGATGTATGATGTATGTGAAAATAAAAAATCTTCCGACCAGTATAACCCCTAAGCGGAAGCGGCATTTAATTTTCAAATACAAAGCCGTAACCCTTGCTGGGTTGTTTTCGATGGATCAATTTAGATAAAGCAAAACCTGTTAATACAATAAAAACCGATTAACAACAAATAAAATGCTTTTTTACATCTTTAGCCTGTCTTAGTGATGTACTGCATGAAGTGCTTGAAGTCTAGTGATATGTAAATAAAATAAATAAAGTACATTGGTAGCGAAATCTAACGAGGTAGAACAAAATATTTGGCGTGTAGTGCATGTACATAGGTTACACTATAAGGTTTGCTTTAGATATGTTTTTATTGTTATAAGGAATGAGTGTTTTCTATATACCAGGTTTTCAGAACTCTACTTGGTCTCCAATAAGTAAATAAAAACCCTTTTAAGTAAATTATATAAAAAATGTAATTTTTAAAAACAGAAACACAATATTAACACAACATTTTTATTTATTTACATATTACATTTTTTTTTTCATGTTTTCCATTTCCGCTATTTCCTTTTAATTTGCAAATAAAAACCTGTTTGTTTTTAATATACTTTTTATTCAGCTTTTTCATCAATATAAATGTATAAAAATTGTCAATAAAATTAATGCTTATTATAACCCTAAGTGTAAAATTTACAAATTAATATAATTAATTATAAATAGTATGTTGTAAAGTCATAGAAATTTACATTCTGTAATATTTTAGCACTACACAATTTTGCATAAAGTACTTGTACTAGAATTTAGCACTGTTGAATGTATGTTTCTTTTAATGAATTCATCTAATGCTAGACCTTAACCTCCAACAATATACTTATTTTAGGTTTAATTTATAAAATTGTAATATAGCTTTTGATAAAATTGTAATATAATGTTCAAACACGACTTTAAATTATAATGTAGACGCATTGCATTTGCATTTTGCAAGTGGATATTACAAGAAAATATTTTAAGAACAATATATATATATATATATGTATTGATGGTTTTCCGGAATCTGCTCCGTGTTGTTGGTTTTTGGTTCTTAAAAGAACCGTGTCTGACGACGTTTCGGTACAATCTCATGTTCCATCTTCAGGTCTTTTCTGCTGTTGATGCTCTACTGCGAGGAATAACTACTAAATCTTGAAGATTTTAAAAAAGTCCTAAGTCCATATACTATATTACTATCTCTATGCAAAAAATCACGTCGATCCGTTGCTCCGTTGCTGCCTAAATTTTGTCAGACGTTTTCAAAATAAATTTAAAATATAAAATACGTTTTCTAATGCATATCTGACTTAAAATTATTTTATTGTAAAATTCAGTTGTAATATATTCTTGTAATATTTCCTTAAACGCACCCTTAGCATTAATTTGAATTAAACGTCTTTTTAAGGCGAAGTAAGCGGTTCACTTTTTTTTAAGAGAAAAGCCGACAGGATAGATGTAAAAGAAATCCCGGACTCGGCTAAAGGAAAAATTATAGAATAAAAAAAGTCTTTGATCTCGAAAGTAATTTGCGTGAAACTTCGGGTCGGGTGGTGTTTGAGCACTATATAGTATGTACCCATAGAATGTAATGTAAATATCCCCCTGTAAATTAAATTGGAGCGTGTATGTACCACCAACCACCAACCACCATCCACTGCACTTAACGCTCCAAAACCAATTCCACAAAACGATATTGGTCAAGCAAAAAAACAAACAAACAACCCAACATGCAACAACAAATCGACATATCATTGCACATGGCTGGTGTGATTTTGCAGGTGTGCGGCTCGTGTTCAGTGGCACAGCCTTCGGCGGCGACAACAGGAACCAGAATTATAAGGCAAAGTTCCCAGCCCGAGGCCTCGGCACCGTGCTGCGGCACCAATTGCGTGCACGCGCACGGTGCCGTGCCTTCGACATCTTTGAGGCAATTGAGGGATCACGGAGAACCCGGAGGCGGCATTGCTGGCATTGCCGCCGACTCCCTAAGAATCAACGGTGCCATGAGAAATTTCCGACAGGTATGAAACAACGACTTCCATACTCTCTCTCTATCTCTCTCTCTCTATCTCTGTCTCCCTCTCTATCTTCTCTCTCTCTCTTTCTATAAATTTACTTTATATGTTTTTTCCAATCTACAAATTAAGCTAATGCCAAATATTTATTTACTATCACGTAAACTATATGCTATGCTATACCGTATTTTGATTTTTAATATATAAACTCGACTTACATTTTACATACATTTTAAGTATCTGAATCATTTTTAAAAGTAAATTAACTTAATAATGCGTAGATCGTATTAATAATTCAGAGCAAACTTCGACTATCACCCAACGCCGGTGAAGGGTCTACTGCTGAATGACGAAAACCGTCTCTCGACGTCTCGTACTCTTAAAAATTATCATCCCACTCTTAAAAACCTGTCTACATGTAAAATGAAAGTACGGTATATCATCATGCTTAAGTCTACATGTTTTGATTCGCTCCTCTTGATATTCTTCAACTAAATTTTGCAAAAGTCATTTACTTCATAAACATATAAATTGACCTGTAGCTACTTAACTTATTCGGTATTTACCGGAGATATTAACCAGCCAAAACGTCATTAAAAATTAAAGGCAGTGGAAGTACAAAACCTTTCTTTCTTTTTATTCTATTTCTATTTTAAATTTAACATGTGTAACCTTCACTGCTAAAACTAAAAATAAATCTGGAAAAGCAATTTATGTATCTAAAAATAATGCAATTAAATAAAACGGACCCACTTTATCTTCTCCAATAAGTATATTATAAGTAAATGATTTTCAAAATTAAAAAATAAAATCTGACATCTGTCAAATGGTTAACCTCACTTTTTACCTTCTTCCAAAACCCGATTGGTTCAAATCACAGTGAATATTGAACAACAACGGGAATAATGAACTCATTATCAATATTTACGAAAAACACCCAAAATTATGCAATAGGAGTACCTATATAAACCTTATTTTATAAATATTTTAGATATGTACATATGTTATGTTTGGCATTAGTTTAATATTAAATGTATTCTATATCTTTCTACCTATTTAGAAACAATTGTGTATTAAAAATTCTTTTATCTTCAAGCGTTCTATAATTTAGGCTTTATTATTGTCAACGCTCACTACTATTCGATTATCTCCTAGGCTGTGAAAATAATTCAGACCAATCAGGTGATGTTTTTACATCCTAGTATATAAAAAAAAATTTATACCTGCTTTACAACTTTAAAGATATTTAACCTCACTATATACCTTTAATAATTGTTATTATATTTGTAAGTAAGTTTTATGTATCGTTTAACAAATAAAACTGTATCTTAAAAATAAAATGGTGTGTGCCATTCGGCTGGGAGGTGTCTTTTTGTCCTTTGCTCAAACTTTGAGCTCGCTTCTCAGCCTTATGACATAAATAACTATGTTTTGACAACTACTTGAAATTTTAATAAAGGTAAGTCGTTGAAAATAATACAAATGTAAAATTTATTTCAAGTATAAGTTGATAAGAGAGTTTTTAAAACAAAAGAGGTGAAAGAGTAATTAAATAAATCGATTTAAATGTATTTATTTCAAGTTGAAACAAAGAATTGTGTGTAAAGCTGCTGCTGCATTAATACAAGTTTACAGACTTGAGCTTTATTTGCTTCTATATATTTTTTGTTCGTTTTAATTTTAGTTTCACGTCGGATGAAACGCCATCGAAAAAATTGTTTTGCATTTGTTATTCTGTTTACAAACTTAAAAAAACAATTACACACACCAACTTACTTCTACAACTGTCAAGTTTTAAGCAAATACCAAACGACATTTGTAGAAATAAATGAAATTTCAGTTGATTAAAATGTTTTTTTCCATGATTTCTATTAAATTATTTAGCTAATAAGGTACGTAAACTGTTGTATTTTTATTAAATTTTTTTCGATATACTGACTAACTGATGTTATCGAAGTAAATATGTCCAACCTATAGCTTTTTAAAATAAGTCTATTATTTTAGGCACTACTGTAATTAAATATTTATTAAGTACATCTAGCATAACTAATCTCTTTATGGCTCGGTACAGATCCAGCATTAATTAGTTAATAATTAAAATAGACTTATGATTAAAAAGTATGAGTATTTTGGAAACAAATAAAAACATTTTGGCGACCGTCCAAAAATATTGTATTGTAAGGCAAACAAAAACATATCAAGATTGATATATAACAAGGAAAAGTAAAATTCATAATTTGGGTTATTTTTTTGTTTACTTGGGAGATCAAGTAAGTATATAGCCTCTGAGCGTTTCATGCTGTAGTGTATTTTTAATTAAAATTTCATGTTAATGATTATTTTACTGCCAGAAAATCACTTGGAACTTAATATACACTTAATACGCACTTTATTTTAAAGATTGTATGACATTTGACAACTGTCAACTAAATTAAAACTAACTTCAGACCGTGACTAAAAATCTGTTGCTAACTTCAGCCCTTGACTAAAACGCCATAAAGCCACAACTTGTCAATGTCATGGAAACATGTACGAAATGAGCGTTTTAAAGGCGGAAGTAGAAAAATATAAAACACGATGTAGTATTTTCCCTGATAGAATTAATGAAAATAAATTAATTTTGGGGTGAAAATTATTTTATTGTTTATCCTGTTGAACTTTTTCATCCGTTTTTTAGTAAAGTAAATCGTGTTGTTAATATTTTTTACATTTGAAAATATGATAATTATCAAGGTATGTTTAATTCATTCAACCCTTTGTTGGCAATATGATTTAAAAGTTCCTGAGCTTATCAAAGTAAATGAACAATAAACATGCATTTCAACTTGAAATAAATGTTAATTTTTCAGCGATAAGTTTTGCAACAACAACCGCTTTTTAGTTTACATAAGTCAATTGTATAAAATGGCGAATTCGCCGAATTAAAAAAGACGCGGTAAAAATAATTTATAGTTGAAAACAAGGTTCTTTATTTTATGCAGTTCTTGATTTATTTAGCAATTTAAAATAAAAGCAATGTATTAGTTCCAAGTTTACAAGCGAAATTCTGGACAGGAAATATTTATTATCGTGTCGAGATAAAAAAACAAACAAATAGGAGGTGAAAGATGTAGAAAAAACAGATCAAGATAAAATGTTAGTAATGTTTAATAATCCTGCTAAAGAAAATAAAGGATTTGGGCCACATTAGGTGGCAGTAAGCAGTAAAGCGTAAGCAATGAAGTGCATAGAGATTGTGTGACGTTTTTTTTTGTTGTAAACTGTTCTGCGAATGAAAATATCGTAAGATGAAACTGTACCATAGGGATCCGGGATGCTGTCCTCTTCACAAACGATGGCGCAAGCGCGTAGATCTCGACTCAAACGCGCACTGACTGAAGTCACCAGCGATACTGTATCCTATGTTAAAACGGTTGGCTCATCACTTAGAGTCCTTTTGACTTCCAGCCCGAAAGTTTAATACTTTTTACACTTAACCTTAAATGGTAAACATAAGCGAAACGTAAATGATAAACAATCCAGTTCTTTCTTATAATGTTGTGTCTGGTTTTTAAATTCAATCACATTATCTGCAGAATCAATGGAAATCCTAAAACTATCAGGTAAATTATTTGAAATATTTCGCGCCTTTTTATCTGTCTTAATTTTTTGCTTTCCTTACAAATACTACTACAACCTGAAAATTACTTATTTACACTGCTATCGTAAAAAAAATTTATATAAAATGTACTATAATGTGGCACGCCTACTTTTCTTGTTTTACTATTTACTAATTGAGGTTAAGTGAAAAAATATTTAGATTTTGAGTGGCATTAACTTTAGGTGTACTTCTTTTAAAAATTAATTTTTTTAACAGAATTAAACCTAACTTCCTATAGAAGCACATCCGCACCAAGGCATGGTTTTTCAATTTTTCAAATTTTATCCAAGCAATATTGTCATTTCAAGAAAAAAAAATATTATGCTATATGGACAAAAGCGCCTTAACTTTGTAGAAATTTAATATATAATCCTTTGATAGAAAGGGACTTTTCCAAGTAACTTTTTGAAATATTGCGAAAGAGATTGGGTATTAAGATAACTTTAACTTTTCTAATGCTACGCCGAAAATAAAGCCCTTTACATTTATTGGCGAATTAAAATAAAAAAAATATTGTTCGTACGATATTCTTGGGTTTCGTAAAGGGCCATTTGTCTTAGATTGGGGCACGATTTTCACATTACCCAAAATGATCTCGAACAGGCATTATTGGCCGACAAACAAATCTCTTCTTCGCCTTAAAGAAATTGTCTTACATTTGAAAAGATATATTAATACTAAACCTTACAAAGGCTTTCTTTAAAACTTTACAGAAACAAACGTTTCATAGGTCAAACACAACATTTTGAGTAGTTTTTCTTGTTTATGCATTTTTTAATGGGCCTGACATTATGGAAGTATCTTCATTTAAAGAGTTTGATATATAAATAACAGTGAATGTAATGTGGTAAAAAAAAATTCTTAAATGTTTTTTTGTCAGTTTAAAACAAGTAAAATTATGTTAACAAAATTTAGAAGTTATTTATTTTTAAAATATTTTAATTAATTTTTAAGTTTTAAAAAAAAACTATTAAAAACTTTTAAAAATGGCGAATGCGCCGGGATTAATTATAACTGAATAACAGTGCCAATTTACCTTCCTAAGGATGTTATTTTAAAATAACCATTTCTAGCGGTTATGTGTGTTGTGATAGGAATGCTCTGTCAAAATTTCAAACCATTAGGTCCAGCGGTTTATAGGGCTTTGAATTAAAAACTAGCCACCTATTTCAACTTTTTAGTTATAGAGAATAAAAACTTGAGCAAAAATATCGATATAAAATTTTTAGTAATAACTCAAAAGTTATTGTGGTGGCTAGGTTTTAATTGAAAGCCCTCTATACATATACAAAAATATACATATACAAAAATGCTCAGTTTTTGTTGAAATGCACAGTAAAAAAGACTTAAATAAAATGATTATTGAATTGTATTTGATGTAAAATCGATGAAAATACAACATTGAATTATTAATACATCAATGAATAAGAGAATTGACATGTGTAAAATTGACTAGTCACTAGTGACACTCTATTAGAACAAAGTTTGATTAAAGCAGAAATATAATTAACACTTCTCTGAAATGACAATACTGCTTTATAACAAATCATTAGTTTTGGTCACATTTTTAAACGTTTTAGTAAACGCGTGCTTCTTTACTATAGAAATTCTCCAAATTTACTTCACTTTACTTTACTTTTCTTTACTTTACTTTACTTTACTATACTGTAATCAGTAATTTTCCCCCTTTCACAATTCCCCTTTTATGTTTTGCACTATCTGGGTCTTCCCACAAAACAGTGAAAAATGTTTCTGCTTTACACGATCTAAACACCATATACATATGCATTTCCATATGTGTAGTTATCGTATATGTGGTATTTAAAGAAATTCTTCATGTATAAAGGTAAGTTTCATACATAAACAACCATACACACATATCTACAGAGTTTTCTGAAGGAATCTAAAATACAGAAAAAGTAAAAAAAGCGAAATATTTTTTGCAGTTTTCACAAAACATGTAATACTTTCTTAGAGAAGTGTTATAAATATCAGTGAAAACTGACCTTTTACCTCGTCACCGTGATTTTGTTTTAAGTGTGCTTCACAAACAGGTCTCGTTGTTTTGGACCTCATCAGTGCCGGTTTTTAAATAAATCTTTGGATTAACCCTGAGGGGCCGTTCACATATACGTCACTCTCTAGTTGTGACTTCGTGTGACGACCAGAGAAGGGAGGGGTGGAAAATATCGAAAATCGCGTGACGTAAAATGTGAACGATCCCTTTTTTTAAAGCGTTTAATATTAAGTTTAAAAGAATAGTATGGTAATAAAAAAAATTGGGTTAAGCAGTTATTTGATTTAAGGAGCGAAGTAAAGGTTATAAAATTGTAAAGAAGCACGCAATTGTATATAGTTGACACCAGAAGTCGTTTTGTTAATTAATAAAATTCATTTAGCTTACCTGCAATATTACATAAACACAAAATCGCTTTTAATTTTTATAGTCGAAATAATTTGGCGTAAAACAATAAAAGATAAATGTTTTATGTTTTTAATGGGGGTTGGAACATGCAATTTTTTTATTGCATATTTTAAATCTCCGCATACGAGTTTGAAGAGAGCGCATGACGTTACGATGTGTCAAGAATTACGAATAAAGCTATTTCCATGTATGAGAACTGTCAAAGAATTGGGCTTTTATTTTTGCATATACTTGATTCGTAAATCTTGACACACTTTTTATACCTACCAATATACCATTTGTGACGTCACGCTACCAAGGAAATAAATCGATTTTTCAAGTCGTTTTTAAGGAAAAATTGTTTTTTCAACGGTATGGTTGTTTTAGTTACAAATCTCTAATAAAAATGGTTTTACACTGATTTTCAACATAATTTCCCAACCCTATTGCGATTCATATATCATGCTAAATCCTAAGGGATTTAATATGTTGAGTATAGGGATTTATCTTTTATTGTTTTTGCGGTATGGTAAAAAATACAAAATGTTCCAAATTGCAAAGTTTGCTAATAAAAATGTATGGGTCAATTTTCGTCGTAGGGTAATTAAAAAATAATTAATGTAAAATTATATTAGAAAATTATTGATAATTTATTTATAAGCCACAATTTTGGAAGAGTGAGTTTAATAAATAGTTGGCCATATGCCATACAGGGTGTTTATTTACGCAGTGCTTAATAAGTCTGGACCTAAAAAAGATATCAACAATTTCCTAAAACCGTTTCTAGGATATGTGGGGGGAATCAGTATGACCACAAAAATGACCTTCACTAAGCTCAAACACAAAATAATTCTAACAAAAGTATAATAAACTAAAAAAGCATAATAATTTGAGTGCATTGCTCGTTTTTAAATGAATTATATCGTTTAGCTAATGGTAGTTTACCGTAGTAGCGTTTGGAACACTTCGTATACACCCCAGACCCATGTAAAAATCTCGAAAGGGTTTTCTATCAACGTAAAATGCAAACATACCTATCGCAAATGTTTTATTATTCTATGCAGATCAATTCGATCTTTGCTTGCATAAATAAAATATTCGTTGGTGTGAAATCCTTTGGCTTTTAGAATACATTCCATCAGAACCTGTTGGCATGAGCAGGGTTTAGACTTATTAACACAATAAAATTTTTCAGCTGCGAAAACCGGTTTCAACCCTTTCTATCCCCGGTGCGGTGAAAAATTCCAGCAGGGACTCTGGAGGGGGAGTAGCTAGAATGCAACAGGAAGAACCTGGAGTAGCTTTGGTCGGCCATGTGGACTATCCCAGGTTTATGGACGCTGACCGGACCATCGGCGCCGGCGTCTACAAGGGCCCATCGTCTGGAAGCCTAAAACACAAGCCCAATGTGGGCTACCGTCTGGGTAGACGCAAGGCTCTGTTTGAGAAGAGAAAACGAATCAGTGATTATGCCTTAGTTATGGGAATGTTCGGAATCATTGTCATGGTCATTGAAAACGAACTTTCCAGTGCCGGAGTTTATCGGAAAGTAAGACTGATTTTTGCATATAATAAGACCGTGGTTTAGGCTAAAATTTGACATTTGGCACTTTAGAGTGGCATAATGAAAAGATATTGTTAAGTTTTACATATTTGTTTTGTATTGTTTTCAGGACGAATTTTATTCAATAGCGCTCAAAACTTTAATATCTGTTTCAACTGTGATTTTGTTAGGCCTAATCGTGGCCTACCATGCTTTAGAAGTTCAGGTGAGTTTGAGTTATCTTATGAGAAAATGTATGCAAATTGTTTTTTTGTGTGTCGAAAAAGCTTGGCTTGATAATATATTCAAATACTTGTGTGTGTTCGTCTGGTTATGAAGACACTCCCAATGCAATGAACAAGTTCCCCCAAAACGAGAATTACCCAGTTTAAAGTTGCTCGGAGCTTTGCTCAATTCTCCCACTGAAATTTTAATAGAATTTATTTTGGAAGGAAAATTTATTGATTTAAGACTCAAGACGGGATGTTTAGATTAGAATTTTAATTTATAAGAAAAAACTTTGTTAATAACAAAAATTAATGCAAGCTTTTATATTCATTTTAATACATTCGGAAGAGACAATTTAGAAATACATTGTTTACATTTTGTGTAGCGACGTTTCTTTTGTGGCTCTTAAATTTTTATAAAGTTACATTGTGGCCATTAAACCATGTACAATGCATTGTTGTCGCGTTGAAGAAAAGGGATCTTGAGAGTATATAGCTCATTATTTTTATACCTTCAAGCATTCAAGTATCTGACATTAGGGTGGTTTTCTTTCAGCTTTTCATGATAGATAATTGCGCTGACGACTGGCGAATCGCGATGACGTGGCAAAGGATCTGCCAAATAACAATGGAATTGACCATATGTGCAGTGCATCCGATACCGGGACACTATCTGTTCGTGTGGACGACTAAATTGGCCAACCGAAACGGGGGCATTGGGTCTCGATGCGTGCCCTACGACGTGCCCCTATCTTTGCCCATGTTCCTCAGACTCTATCTCATATGTCGCGTCATGTTGCTGCATAGCAAATTATTTACGGACGCTTCATCAAGAAGCATAGGGGCACTCAATCGTATCAATTTTAACACACGCTTCGTACTGAAAACCCTCATGACCATTTGTCCCGGAACAGTCCTTCTAGTATTCATGGTCTCCCTATGGATTATCGCCAGCTGGACCCTCAGACAATGCGAAAGGTACCTTTATCACAATTCTTACATTCAACCACACACTAGCCACAGAGCGTACAACGTTTTTAGATGGCAACTACACAGGGTATCCCAAAAGTCATAGACAGCTAACAAGGGGTTGATAGGGAATGATATTTTAATACTAAAAGTCTTTCGGCGTTTTTGTTCCGACGCTTTGTTAATTCTTTATTATGTAAATAAAGTAGCCAATTAGACGCGCGTTTTGGCGAAGAACTGCTGCGCGCGGAATTGTGCTCTGCCTTGACCTATTATTTGATCACCCACCCACTTCTTTTCTGCAGTTGGGACACCCTGTATATGACTCAAAATAGTCAACATCTTTACAAACGTAAACCAATATCAAAAAAAAATTCCTGAAACGTTTAAATTACATTTAAATTTGTAAAAAACAACATTTGTACGAACGCGTACAAGGGCCAAGAAAAATTTTACAAGTTTCAGACAAAACTAACTTTGATTTTTGCAATTTATATTCTACAATTGTAGGTTCATTGTAGGATGAACTAACAATTGTAGGTTCAATCTAAAACCTACAATTGTAACTTAAATTAACAATTGTAAGTTTAAGTTACAATTGTAAGCTTATGTTACAATTGTAAGCTCAAGTTACAATTGTACGTTTAAGTTACAATTGTAGGATGAACTTACAATTGTAACTGAAACTTACAATTGTAGGTTTAACCTACCTAATGTACGACATTAGCATGTGTTTTTTTTGGACCATTTTTGCACAATATTTTTAATTAAAAAAGAGAGATGCACCTAAAGTGTTAAAAGGGGTTTTTAAAAATAAATAATCATAAAACCTAGTAATGAGCTTTCAAAATGATGGTAAAGTTACATATGGTTTAAACAAACCTATGCATATTAATTATATTGTGCAATGAAATCAAAGCATATTTGGCCATATCCCCAGAGATAATAACAATGTGTTTGACACTATGTATATGCCAGACTTGCAAAATTTTCAGCACAACAAAGCAAAATGAACGGGCAGTTTTGATACTTAAACCATCCATTTTACAATAAACCAATATACCCAATGTTGTTTTAGTATGAAATTTAAATCGTTCTATACTAATTTATGCTAGGTAAATATTATTTGTGACTTTTCACATACATTCAGTTAATTCAAACAATTCCAAACCACTGGTGTTGGCTCGTTCATTTTAAATTATGAATACCACGAAAAACAAATAACTTTTGAAACTTTTCATAGCGAATAGCCATAATATTTTATAGAATAGTTGTCACAAACAATACTTCTTCTTATTTTTAAAAAGTAAACTAAATCTATGCTAGGTGCAATACTTGAAAATTTTATATCTTTAAAGCCGTTTTCAACTGTTTTTTTTTAATTGACCAAAAATCGAATGTTCGGTTCAAAGACCTGGTCGGTCGCGTGGCCAATTTCATGGTGCATAAAGATTTCTGAGATTGCTGTTGATATTAGGCGACAGCCGTAGCGTGATCAGGATACCTGACCAGGAGGATGACGAAAAGGGCCATTTGAGCCTACTCGTCAGAACGCATAAGCTCATATGGCAGTAGTAAGTATTTTTGTAGTAAGGATTAATTTGTTGCAGATTTCATGACGAAGAGCACGCAAACCTTCTTAATGCCATGTGGCTGATAGCCATCACTTTTTTAAGCGTTGGCTTCGGCGACATAGTACCGAATACATACTGTGGCAGGGGTATCGCAGTCACAACAGGAATTATGGTGAGTCGTTCAAAATTTCATTGCCTCAATTAAAACGGTAATTGTGCTCACATTTTATAGAGCATTGTTTGACTTTGTATTTGTGGATTAAATTCTTGATATTCATGCACATGTTCCGGTAATATACGTATTTACTTAAGCTAAAAAACACAAAATTTTGTGACCTGGTAAACGATAAATTCGTTGTTATTATTAAATTAAATTAATTAAATTAATGATGCTGTTAAAATGAAAATAAGATTTAACTTATATTGGATAAACTTTTACAATCGCTGTTACAACAAAGACATTCCTAAACAAAATAAAAGTTTAGAATTGTGCAATTAAAATTTAATGTTGGTTTCTGCCACTTTAAAAGTCGCCATTAACTAACTTTGCCATTAAAATAATTACCCTTGCAATCAGATCTTAGGCACTATACTAAACATCGTTATTTATGCATGTGTGTTTCTACGTGAATAATACATTTACTGGTGTACAATAATACATGGCGAAATTACACTAATGTACACATATATGTTATGTTACAGGGTGCAGGGTGTACGGCCTTATTAGTAGCAGTAGTTTCCAGAAAATTAGAATTAACAAGAGCTGAAAAACATGTTCATAACTTTATGATGGACACACAACTAACTAAAAGGGTAAGACGTTCAATAAATAATGATAATAATAATAAAACAAAATTTTAGTTAAAAAATGCAGCAGCCAATGTTTTAAGAGAAACATGGCTGATATACAAACACACAAGGCTAGTGAAACGTGTTAATCCCGGCAGAGTCAGGACTCACCAACGAAAATTTTTGCTCGCCATTTACGCGTAAGCCTTTGTACCAACAAAATCAAAAAATTCAAAAAATAAACTCTACATTTTAGATTGAGGAAAGTCAAAATGGACCAGCGAAAATTGATGGACAATGCTAACACGATAACCGATATGGCAAAGGTATGCATAAAAAGTGCCTTAAAACTATGTATCCCCAATTTTACATATCCACTGGATTTAGACATCCTTACGGCCTGGCGTATTGATTTTCGTAATCTTTTTGCCTGTACGAATTTTATTTTAAAAGACACAAAATTTCATCAAAATACATTCAGCCTTTAAATGTTTTCAAAAATGGCGAATGCACAGGGATTAATTTTAATGAATTATTGAGTATCCCAATGAATTTTAATACCCTTTCTTAGCATATAGGAATGCACTGTTAAAATTTTACTGATTTGATCTGGGCTTTGATGAATTAGTAAGGAAATGTAATTATATACAGGGTGGCACACAGTAGAATAATTTTTTTATGGAATCAAACACCAACTACTTTACTGAAGATTACTTGAATATTCAAATATATGATATTTGAATATTTAAACAATTTAAATAATCTGATTATTCGAATAATTTTGACAGACTTTCGAATAATAAAATATTCAAATTCAACTATTTTAATAATTCAAATTCAATTCAAATAATTCAAATTATTTGACTTATTTAAATACGAATGAATATTTAAATTTAAAAATTCATCATGTTTTACAATTAGTTGCAAAAATGGCGAATGCGCCGGGATACTGGTATAATTTCTTAACCTTTATCAAACAAACAATAAATGTAATAAAAACCAATTTAATCAATTTTTAGACTCAAAACACAGTTTATGAGATAGTATCAGATATGAGTACGCGACAAGATACTCTAGAAGATCGACTTTCATCTATGGAAGATAAATTATCCAGTTTACAAGAGCAACTAGAATGCCTGCCCGAGATTATTGCTTCTAGAATTCAGGTTCAGGTAATAAAAATAATATTTTTTTTAAATTATGCCGCCATTATACTTTGATATCATTTTATCATGTAATTTAATGAAAGAAAGGTTTTGGATTTCCATTGCCTTGATATTTATTGTACTCTCCTTTTTTGCCTATTATTACGATGTTCCTAATACTTATTCAGCATTCCTCTGAAGACGATTGGAGATATTTACAAGTTGAAACGTCGTGATTAAAAATGATAAGACAAAGGTAGTCTAAAACCTCTTTTTCATTCAATAGTCAAGTTCAAGTAGTGGCAGAGTAAATAAATGCAAACAGCAGATAATTGATTAATTGTATATTTTAAAGGCTGAAAAAATGGAGCAACGTAGAAATTTCCTTCACCCCGAGTCGGCAGCAGGCTTACAGCAGGCTCGAAGCGTGCCTCCTGCTTGTCCTTGGCCAGGACCTTCTTTACCTCCTTTAGGAAAAACCACAACAACTTTGTCCAATGCTGCAAGTTGATTTTCTCCATAAAGTAAACTCTGAGCAGTATTAGGGCTAAATTATATCTTTGTTGCGTATTTTACGTATCATTTAATTAATGACTTGTGCCTGTAAATTGTTAAATAGCAAAAGTTTTAAAAATCATAATAATAATAATAATAATAATAATAATAAACGCCTCTATAGCTGCTTTATTAGTTAAACGTAGTTTTAAAAATTAATCCTCCATAATAATAAATAAATAAAATATTAGATTTGCAAACACAAGTCTTAAACATAAAGTACATAACAAAGAATATATAAAGAATTAGAGCCTTAATATTATATACAGTATTAGTTCTAATAAGACAGTTTCGAACACTTGATTGTAGGATCTAGAAAAATACGCCATCGAATCAAATACTATAATCATACTTATCATTTTAAATAACTTAAATAACAGTATTAAAACCAACAAAATAAAATTGTACTCTGTTGCTGTGCCAATCAAAAACAAAAATGCTGCGCAGTATGATGACTTATGACTAAGAGACCAATGTGCAAACGTACAAGGTGTTTTGTGAAATATAGTTCGTATACTGTGACATTTGTTTAAAAAAATCAAAATTGTTTTTGCTTTAATTATGAAAAACCAAAATTATCTCAATTGGTTTTTAGATAGACGATAGAGACGATAGACGCTAGGTATGATTATAGTATTTTGTAAAATATATTTTATTTATAAAGCACATGATATGTATATGATACACAATTAATTTTAGCGGAAATTTAAGAATGACTAAAACCAAAACAAATATTAAATATATAATTTTTTTTTATTGAATTTTATGTAAAGTATGTACAGTTTAATTTAAGGTTTTTATATTTAAAATATAATTTATAACAAGCGTTTTCATACAGAAGGAAAAATTTATATAAGAAATATTTGAAATGAATATTAAATAGGTAGTTTAGAGGTTCAAAAGAATAAAAAGCATTTATCTTGACTCCTACAAAAATCATCAAGGCATTTCTAAATGCATAGTACTTCCACTTTGTATGAAATTAAAAACAAATTGTTGATTTCTTATCCAGAACTTTTTTACTTATAAAATATTTTTTGCCACGTTTAATAATCTTTACGTATTAGAGTGAACACGATTATTGAAGTAATGCATGCTGGTCATGGATGTTTATGGACTTTATGTTTGTTTGTTCTGTGTGACATCTAAAATGAGATCCACGTACATGTTCTCTAATCGTGACAACTCTAAATTTTTAAATGGAACAATTTTTTTGCTAGCAGTCTTAACCAAAACGATTTTCAATGAGACTGAGCTTAAAGCTTATTAGACGGTGTAAATGAAAGGAAAATACGACGCATTTTCCTTAAAGTTAAAAATAAATGTGATATTTCTGGATAAGAAAAGGGAATGAATGTCAAGTTAGTTAAGGGAATTCAGTGGATATACTGGTGTGATAGTGTATGGTGCACCTAAGCATTATATATATTCAGAGGTCCAAATTGTTAAACTGTTAGAGTTTTCTGCAATTTCACAAGTTTTATAAACATATATTATATAATTTAATATATACCCTATATTATACAAAACATATATCTGCATATGTAGCCTGTTTTACATTCCTTAGCGTTATATATTTTAAAAAGTGCATTTTCATGTTACCCTTACTCATGTTATCAACGAATAAACTATTAGTTTCCTAGATCCACGCATTTTATTTACCCCCCAAATAATAACATACCAAATACCTTGACACCTTTCGAGCACCGACTGACAGCTTATTAGACCTCATTAGTGTCGGATAGCCGTGGTGTGTAAGCACGCTACCAAGAGCCTTACAGGCCAAACAGGTACAGCGAGAGCGGTGAGAGGTAATCCCACCGTCTACCGTCTTGGTAGCGTGCTTACACACCACGGCTATCCGGCACTAATAAGACCAAGTTTGTATAGCACGCTCGAAACAAAAGCACGGTGTCGAGGTATTTGGCCAGTTCTTATAACATGGGCACTATATCTTAAGTATAAAACCATTTTTTATACTTTTTTATTATATGTTCATAGAACATTTATTTTAAGTGTAAAACATTCATTATGTAAAACTAAAATTTGAGAGTGATTCATGCACTACTACAACTCCGAGCTTCGTAGCCGTGTCTTTTTATTTTTAAAAGTATAACCATTTTAACATACATAAAACATTTATTTCAAGGATATATATAACATTCATTAATATAGTGTATTTTACATACATACAAAATTATTTATTTAAGTATATTGTACTATAATTTTATCTATAAGCCACATCCATTGTTTGGTCCGAAAAATATCAAAAGTTGTCAATTCTTATGATATGATGATACTGATTTTTGATAAAGAGCGATTGCCAAAGAAGACATTTAGATACAAAACATATATCAAAATTGTCTTGATGCATAAATATTGTATACTATAACAATTATATATATTTATTATAGATTTACCTCGTCACTGTGCTTTTGTTTTAAGTGTGGGACACAAACCGCTGTCACTGTATCCTGCTGCATGTATGTGACTACCCAGCACTCACAGTCTGTCTGGTTGTGGAGCACACTTAAACCAAAAGCACAGTTGACATTTCTTTATATGCCTGACTTAATTGCAAAATTTTCCAAGTGCACCCTGTATAATGGGGTTTTAAACTACGACTCGCTCCTCTAAAATATTACAATAGAAAACTATGCAACTCGATTATTCAATCTATTGGTGATAAAAATAATTTGTTTAAACTCATTCGTTTAGGAAAAAAAATCTTAAACAAACAATTACAACATATCACAAGGCTATAGCAGCCACAACCACAGCTGAAAAGAGCAGAAAACTTGAAACCAAATCAATTTTCGTCGATCCGCTCATCTTAAATCTCTGTCTGTATTTCTCCAGCAATTTCATTGCTTCATCGCCTGGAGGGTCCAAGCAAATAAACTCGCAGCACCGCTCCCCCACTCTGAACTCTTTACAGAACTGCTGAAAATGATCGTGAAGAAATGTTCTTTTACGGCTTACATCTTACGTCAACCAATCACAATGCTTAAAATGGACATATCGAGCACTGTAATTGGTTGACGTAAGACGTAAGCCGTAAAAGATAAATTCTGCGACAATTATAGACCGTACTTACGTAAGGGGGATCGCAGTAGATAGCCTTGCACCACATTGGTTCTGAATGGTAGCACACGCACATTGTGCATACGGCTGGGCCTGGTACATATAGGAGGCCGTGCTGAATTGTTTGACCTTGGAAATCGGTGCAATCTTCCTCTATGGCCCCTACAACAGTTTCACAGTCACAAAGGTTTTAAACTTTTCTTGTAAAATTGTGTAAAAATTAAATAAAAGGTGTTTCAGAATTCTACCCAACCCCTTGTGTGCAGGTGTGTATGGGTCTGTAAATTTTCAGGGGGTCCATATTATCAGCATGTTTTTTTTTCAATTAATAGTGTTTACCATTTTAATATTTTAACTCACATATTTAAAGAAAAAAATAAAATTGTGCATAGAAAAAATATGTTGGGAGTTTGAAATACCTGCTTTGATAACGATTTGACTAGCTGGTTTGATGGCGGATGATTTTAAGTTATGGTCTGAAAAATTAAAATTTTATATGAAATTTATTTTTATCTACAAGGGGTATATAAATTATACGTTATTGTCGCCAACACGCGACACCAAAGAGATTGATATTAGGTTTATGTAAAATAATAACGGTCAATGTTAATGGTGAAAATTACGTAAAAATTATTTTCTTATAGATGTGTAGAAAAGTATAGTATGCAACTCGTTTATAAACTTTTCTATGCACTATAATAAACTATTATTTGTTTATAAGAGCTTTTTTATGGAATTTTAATTATAAAAGCGGCATTTTTATCGATTTAATGAGTAACCTTACTAAACAAGTACGTTTATATCATTACATATGTGAATAGCCGCTTTTTTCAACAATTCCGCAGCGGCTTATATACACTTTTAAAGTAATTTATAGTTTTTATGTTAATGAATCGCCTTGTCAGCACGCAATGCAATTTCAACACAATCAATGTTTTATTTTAAATATGTGTAAAACTTTGTTAAATTCTTAAAGTCAATAAAATAAATTACCTAATTAATATTTTAAGTTCTTTATAAAGTTTAAAATAGAACGTATAATCGATAAAAAAAGTTCCATCAATAAAATTAAATAATAAATTTTGTTGCCGTCACCCTAGCCGGAATAAAAATAGCGTACGGTAGTGTCATTAGTGATAATGACCATGAATGATTTGAAATTGTTACGTATGTCAAGTGCAAATGTCTAGGACGGCTTTTTTAATTTTCAATTGGATTATTGTTCCAGAGTGATTTTTGATTTGACCGACAAATGAATGACAAAATTATCAATTAATATTAATAGGGCTTACCTGACAGGGTGTAAAGTAACAAGAAAACACCAAGTGAACCTTGTAATTGTACCATTACTTAATTCTTTTAGATTGTTGTTGGTGAGAGTTATATTAGCCGTATGGCAACACTTGCGAAGTGTTTAAATTTTGCGCTTGTTCCGAAACGCGGCTAGAAATTGCTGATAGGAGGGATAGAGCTTCAACTACGCAAGAATAAACACCGCTAATATGTATTTATACGCATGCCATATCAAAATCATCACACATTTAAATTTGATCACTCATTTTTTACTTAAGATATAAACGACATAAAATGACATGTGCACGACAAAACCCAGTGGCGGATACACAAGTGCTGTTAAAATTGAAATTCAATAATTCATCAAATGGATAAAAAGAATTTTGAATTAAAATAACACAGCCATTCCACGCTACTCGGGAATTTTTGTAGCGTCCGTTACAATAAAAAATTGTGAGTAAAATTACCGTAATTATGATGCTTATAAGCTTAAGCCTAATTATTACAAGCATGATAAACATGTTTGCAATAGTAACTATTGTAATAGTATTTAATTTAATTACGGTAGCTTTTACTCACAATTTTTTATTGTAACGGACGCTACAAAAATTCCCGAGTAGCGTGGAATGGCTGAACAATTAATTATTTATTTTTTTCTCCATACTTTTTTTAAAAATGGATCATTTTTTCTTTTAGTTGTTTTTTGGAAAAAGCAAAATTTCTACATGAAAAAAGAGCAAGACGAATTTAATTAAATTGTCCATACTTTCTTTGTAAATGGGCCATTTTTTCTTTTAGTTGTTTTTTAGAAAAAATCAGAATTTTAACGTGGAAAGTCAAATTTAATTAAATTGTCCAAAAAAGCGCACATTTTTAATTCTTTATACTTTACACCAATCAAATTTGGCGCTTATGTTTCGATCAATGAACCTTATATCAGCCCACTCAAATTAATTTACGTCTAATGTACGCATGCCTTAGGTTTTTCGGCTCAAATATTAAAGGTCGTGGTATTATATTTTTTACTTTTTTTCTCAAGTACTTTGCTGTGAAGAGTCAGTTCTTCATCGTTATTTGCTCGGTATCCTTAATTCAGTTTATTACATTATATCTAATTTCAGTGTTCTTCAGATGAAATTTCAAATTTTCAAACCGGCTTTCTGGTAATACTGTTATAAATACGTTTATTTATAAGTTTTATTTTAATTAAATTAAATTCTGATAAAAAATATTTTGATTACAGAATTTAATTAACAATATTAACAAATATTAAATATATAATTTTGTTTTATTGAATTTTATGTAAAGTATGTACAGTTTAATTTAAGGTTTTTATATTTAAAATATAATTTATAACAAGCGTTTTCATACAGAAGGAAATATTTGAAATGAATATTAAATAGAAGTTCAAAAGAATAAAAGGCATTTATCTTGACTTCTACAAAAATCATCAAAATTTCAAACCGGCTTTCTGGTAATACTGTTATAAATACGTTTATTTATACGTTTTATTTTAATTAAATTAAATTCTGATAAAAATATTTTGATTACAGAATTTAATTAACAAAAATGGGTTCCTGTTCAATGTCAAAAAAAGCTGATAGAAATATACATATTGAATCAAATATAAATAATGATCATTCATATGCTATTGGTAGCATGATGGGGTGGCACAGTATAATGGAGGACAGAAATGTGGCCATATTATACAACCATTTCTCGTATTTTGCTGTTTTCGATGGGCACGGAGGCGCGACTTGTTCAAACTATTGCGCTGAAAACTTGCACAACAATATATTGCGGCAAAAGTTGTTCGACGAAGATATACCAAAAGCCATAGAAAAAGGTTTCTTGATAACAGACCAAAACCTAAGCAGATTAACAGATTTAAAAACTAACGGCACGACCGCTTTGTGCTCTATTATAACGAGAGGAAATATTTATATAGCAAACTGTGGAGACAGCAAAGGCTTGCTATACAACGGCGGTGTCAGTTTTCTCACGCAAGCGCACAAACCAAACTTGCTGGCCGAGAAAGAGCGCATTAATAACGCCGGCGGGATTGTTTCCAATGCGAGAATAAATTGGGGGCATGGAAGTCTTGGAGTCAGCAGAGCTCTGGGAGATTTTGAATTAAAGCAAAAAAATGGCCTGACTCAATGTCAACAAATTCTATCCCCTTTACCGGATGTCGAAAAAATTCAGAGAACTGGCAAGGAGGAGTTTTTGATTTTGGCGACCGATGGGGTGTGGGATGTTTTTACCAACGATGCTCTATGTCAATATATTCAAAACAGATTATTTATAACCGACGACTTGGCTGAAATTGTAACCCAAGTCATAGATACCTGCTATTACAAAGTACAAAAGGTTGTGTGAATACTGAATAAGTTAAGTAGCCACAGGTCTATTTATATCCAAACCAGGTGCACTGGAGAAATAAAAATGATGGATGAAGTTCTTCTTTGGAAATAAAGAACGTTGAAATGCGTTGTTGCACCTGTAGCCACTTAACTTATTCAGTATTCAACTGATTAAAATCACAACAAACATCATTGTCTACAGCCTGTAAACAAACACATTATATTAAAATTCATATTTTATATATATCCAAAAGTATTTGTATCGCATATATTTTTTAGGGATCTACCGATAACATAACGCTAGTTCTAATATGTTTCCCAAATTGTCCAAAACCCACATTAGAAGCCAAATATGCGGAAAAATTACTAGATGACACCATAGAAATTTGTTTTAGAGGTGCATTTTTTAAATCACCCCAATTTTGTATAAACATATTTTTGTAGAAATCTTCGAGCAAAATCCTGATCAGGACTACTACGGCATTTTAAGAAAATTGTACTGGGAGAAAAACATACCGAACTTGCCCCCAGGCGGAGGGATACAAGCCAAGTAAGTTTTTAATACCCCCCCCCATTTTTTTATGTAATATAAAAAAATAATTTAAGGCGCAAATGGATTGATACTTTATACAGCAGGTATAATCCAACTTATGATATAAGTGAATTTACTTGCAGCAGGATTAATTAGATTTTATATTCCAAGATTACTAAATATTGTGATATGTGTATTTTTTCAATGTTTACAAAAATTCAAAGCGTTTATTAATATTTATTATAATAAAAATTATAACTATTTATATTAATTAATATGGACCTAAAATTAATATTTAATCTGTGATTTTAAAATGTATTTTCGTATTAAAAAACTTTATAAATCGACTGATGTTAAAACACTATAAATTATAAACAATAAAAATGTTTACAATAAAAAAATTTAATATTAAACGACTTTAATTTATTATTAACCAGATTTATAATACCTACATACAGTGACCAAATATATATGTACATGTATAATTAATTAATTAATCCCGGCGCATTCGCCATTTTAAAGTACTATTTTGATTCGTGCGGGCCTGGTTTATAACCTTTATAAGAGAACCGAATCCATAGAATATGCAACTAAAATTACACCCGTATAAAATTAGTTAGGATCGATAATTTTAACACGATTTAACAGGATTTTGTGGCCAAAGGTATTTGGTTATAAATTGTTTGAAATTAATCAATTTACGTTTAAGACGTAGGTACCTATCTAGGGGTGAGGGCATTAGAGCCGTAAGTGCGAATATTTGTCCATACGTGTGTAGTACATTATGTTTAACAAAACTTATTATTAGGTATTATTAATGGAGTAGATATTTTTACCTTAGGTTAATAAAATCAACAGATAATTTAAAACATTTTATTATAAACATTAACAAAATAAAATTTTATTGAAAATCATACAAATAAACAAGTACAAAATTAAGTTTACAAAGATGGTTTCAATATAAAATGAAAATATAGAGTATTAAAAAAAATGAAGGATTTTTTAAGTAGTAATCATATATTTTTAATATTCCGCACAATTTTTGAAAAATATGGCAATAAGTCTTTATTCTATTAAAACGAATATGACCACCAAATGAAAACTAAAAATCTATACATATACATCAGGTCTATGGTGAAGATTTTTTGGCTTTCTTCTCACTCATCATCACTAGAGTCGCTGTTTGAACCTGAGCTATCCTAAAAAAGAAGAACATTTAGATTGGATTTAGATTTGTTTTACAGAATTTTACCCCATCATCACTTTCTTCCTCTTGTTCTTCTTCCTCCTCTTCCTCATCCTCCTCCTCCTCCTCCTCTTCTTCGTCGTCGCTGTCGGCAGCTGTTTGTTGTTTGACTTGGTTTCTCGAGTTGGAAAAAGCTTCGAGCTCCTCCTTGGACAAGCTCTTCAAGAACTTCTCGAACGCTGCTATGTACTCGCGCTTCTTAATAATCAACTCCTCCTCGAACTTTTCCTTTTCGTCCGCCGGCAGTTTCTTCCAAGCCTGCGCCGCCGGCTCCTTGCCGCCGTAAACCTGCGCGAAATACTTGAAAGCAGACCTCGGCGGTTGTTCGGGCTCCTGGAATTTCGGCTTCGGCTCCGTTTTCACTCCGGCGGCGGCGGCGGCGGCGGCGGCGGTAGCCTTCTCTTCCGTTTTTTTTCGCTTTTTGTTCGACGGACCCACGTGCTCCTCGGACTTGCGCTTCTTCGGCGCGTTGGTTTGCAGCTCCAGGTTGCGTTTGTCTTCAGGTAACGTTTCGAGGTACTGCGCAAAATCCAATTTGTACTGCTCCATCAACTAAACAATACATGCGTAATTAATCTCACTGGTCGGCAAAATTAAATTTTTTGTTTGCCATAAGGTGGCCATAACTTTTCTAGGATAATTTATTAGTTGGGTGACATCATCTTGCAATATTGTGGAAAACTGTATTTTTTTTTTCGACGGTTGTTTTGAGTGATATTTAACCAATTTTTATTTTAATGCGTTTTAAAAGTTTTGAAGATTTTGTCCTACCATCAAGCCTTTTATGAGTTTTTGAGCTTTGAAGCCTTTTTTTGGGCTTTGAAACTGTTTTTAAGCTTAACATTTTATCAATTTTGATAATTTTAATGATTTTGAAAATTTTGGAAAGAGATTTTGTCCTATCATTTTTTATATACCACGATTTTTTGTTTATGGAAGTTCTTGGACTAAATCTAGGAAATTAGGAAATACGCAAATCCAAGTATTTCTTATATCCTCAATCAAGCTTTTGAGCTTTGAAGATTTTTACGAGTTTAACAGCTTTTTGAAGCTTTTAAGTTTAAAATTGTATCAATTTTGTGAATCTTGAAAATTTTAATGATTTTTAAAGTTTTGAGGATTTTGTCCTACCATCAAGCTTTTAAGCTTTGAAGTCTTTTATGAGTTTAACAGTTTTTTGAAACTGTTTTTACACATTTTATCAGTTTTGATAATTTTAATGATTTTGGAAAGAGATTTTTGTCCTATCATTTTTTATATGCCAGGATTTTTTCTAAAGTTTTGTTTATGGGAGTTCTTGGACAAAATCTAGGAAATTAGGAAATACGCAAATCCAAGTCTTTCTTATATCCTCAATCTAGCTTTTGAGCTTTGAAGCTTTTTATGAGCTTTACAGCTTTTTGAAGCTTTACAGCTTTAAAGCTTTTTTAAGCTTAAAATAGTTTCAATTTTGTGAATCTTGAAAATTTCAATGATTTTAAAAGTTTTGAGGATTTTGTCCTACCATCAAGCTTTTAAGCTATGAGTTTAACAGTTTTTTGAAGCTTTTAAGCTTCTTATAAGTTCTTGGACAAAATCTAGAAAATTAGGAAATATGCAAATCCAAGTCTTTCTTATATCCTCAATCAAGCTTTTGTGTTTTGAAGTTTTTTACGAGTTTAACAGCTTTTTGAAGCTTTACAGCTCTAAAGCCTTTTTTAAGCTTAAAACTATATCAATTTTGTAAATTTTGAAAATTTTAATGATTTTAAAAGTTTTGAAGATTTTGTCCTACCATTAAGCTTTGAAGCCTTTTATGACTTTAAAAGTTTTTTGAAGCTTTTGAACTTTTTATGAATTTAACAGCTTGTTGATACTTTTGAGCTTTGAAACAGTTTTTAAGCTTTTTTATCAATTTTGATAATTTTAATGATTTTGAAAATTTTTGGTTTGGAAATGTGAAAATGTGAGATTTTGTCCTATCATTTTGTATACACCACTGCGCGATTTTTTTAAGCCTTTTTTGAGCTTTAAAATTGTTTTTAAGCTTAAAATTTCAAAAATTTTGGCAATTTTAGAAATATTGAAAATTTGGGAAATTTTAGGTTTTGAAAATTAAAGATTTTGTCCTAACATTTTTTATATAAACCATGATGCAATTTTTTTTTAATTTTTGTAATTTTGAACTACTGCGCGAATTTGTCCTACCATTTTTTAAAAGTATGGGCTACTATGCGAAATTTGTTCGAATATTTCAAAAATGTCATGATGTAGTCCTAAAATGTGCTTAAACTTACGTTGGTTTGCAGGTCTTTGTAATGCTTTTTCTCTTCTTCCGAGCAAGTTTTCCATTGGGCAGCGACAAAGTTCCATCTCTCCTTGTTGGGTATGTCCTTAACTTGGGGAGTTTGCAGAACGTTTCTGGAAAATAAGGCGTAAGCACTGACGGGCGGTTTAATCGGCTTGCCGGCTACACGCTCCTTGACTGACTTTTCCTCCTTAGTCAGTATCAACTTGGTGGTGTGATTAACAACGTAATCCGGATGGTTGGCCTTGTAAGTCTGCAGATTTGATTCGTACAAGGCGTTTTGCTCTTCGGCCCACGTGATCCAAATTAATTTCTTCTTGTCCGACATTTCTTTCCAGCGCGACTTGCAGCGCTCCTTGAACTGTTGCTTCTCCGCGTCCGGAATGTTTTCTTTCGTCAGCTCCGATTGGTAGTAGAATCCAAAAGGTGTGCTCGGCTTTTTTGGCACCCTTTCCTTAATCGGTTTCGGGGCCGGCACTTTTGCCACTTTCTGGAACTCTGGATGGTTCTCGCTAAAACAAATTATTATATTAAAAATTTACAATCACTACAAACATTAGTAATTTCGAAAAAAATTGTAACTTACTAAAATTCCTTCATTTTCTCCTCATATTCTTCCTTAGCTTTAGCTGCCATTTCTTCGTAAATCGCCTTTTTCTCTGGAGTTAAATTTTTATAAATATTGCCGATTTTTTTACTAATCTCAGTCTAAAAAACAACGCAAATAAGCACAAATCAAATGAAACCTCATGAAAAACACATACAAGTTCCATTCCAGGAAATTCAGCAGTGATTTTATCCTTTTTCTTCAAATAAAACAGCAAGTATGAAGAGAGCGGCCTTTTAGGCATATCAGGATGAATTTGTTTGTTTTTTTTGTTTTTTTGACTTGGCGGATTTACGATCAACTGCCTGGCGTCATCCAGAACTTCGTGGAGTAACCTGTACCTCCGGATTTTTTTCGAGAGCAAGTTCCAGGTTTTCTTACAATCTTCAACCGTATATTCCTTAAAAATTACCTACAAAAAAATGTTTTATTACAAAACATTGCTTTTATATTATATGGTGTTTTATTTACTTTATCCCACTCTAATTTTTCTGTTCTGGTTGTAAAGGCCATAATGTCATTTTTTGGGATCAGTTTTTCCATGTTTGCAACCAACTCCATCAAATCTTCATTTGACCACATTATTTCCTCTTTTTTCTTTTCTGTTTCTATATAATACATCAGTTTTTACTCATATATATGTATTAGGGTGATTCAAACAAATCACCCTAATATAAATTATATATTTAGATATACATATATAAATAAAAAAGTAGAACACACTTACCCACATTATTTTCTTTAGCATTTACTTTGTCTTCTTCATGATCGGTATCTTCATCATCTGACAAAGATTTTTTAATATACTGCTCATCTTCGTTACAGGAAATTCCATTTGTGGGAACTTCATCGTCATTGTCTTCAGAGACACTTAATTTATTTTTCTTGGACTTCTTATTGACTAACTCCCTGGTATTTTCCTCCAAAATTTGCTTGGTTTTTCTCTTTCTACCCGATTTAGTGCTATTTTCAATGTTTTCTACATTGTTGTTCGCCAATTTCTTCTTCTTTTTCTTGTTATTCTCTAAAAAAAATATTAAGAATAAAAATATTTACAAGTCCTCACATTTTCCCACCAGAAATGTTTGTTTTTTCAGACTCATTTAATTCAGTGCCACTTTGCTTATCCACCTTGACTTTTTCCTTTCTAGTTTTCTTTGAATTCATTTTCTAAAACCAACACAAATTTATTCAAAAACACTAAAAAATTCGGTCATAAACTCGAATTGGAAGAAAGCATTTAATGTTTTTCACTAAATAAATAATGGCGTCTCCTTTAATTTGGGTTATATCATTTATAGGAAGCATCTAAACATGTTAAACAAGATAATTGTAATAAACTTACTTTGTTTTTTGTTTATTTCATAAAAAGTTATCCAGTTGTATTTAGGATAATTAAAAAATTCAATTTTTGCTTAGCTGATGGTCTTCTCACACCCCACTTCCTTCACAACACTGTTGCAAACATGTAAAACGAAAATCCCTAAGTAGAACATGATTCGTAGTTAATTTGTACCAGTCTATGGACCATAGATAACCATGGAAAAAAACAAACGAATATCACCAATTATTATGCCCGGGCCCCCAAATCCTATGGGCCCCAGAAATTTGTCCCGTCTGCCCCCCTCTCGTCGGCTGTAATGATCAGAGCAATGGCGCCGACGTTTTTTCTTATAAAAAATTTTTAATTGATAAACGACATAATTTTACAAAATAAAATGGCAAAAAGACAACAAAACCTTAAAAAAACATTGAAATTCTTTTAAATTAGTTTTTTTTAATAATTAAAATTATGTATGTTAATACAATTTTTTTATTTTTAACTCTTCTCTTGTGGTTAAGGTTACTTCTCCTTTATTTAGTCTTCTTGCTAAAAACCTAAACGTCAACCTGCCATTTTTCAAAAACTGTCAATTATAGCCATAGAAATAATACCCCTATTATTTCTATGATTGTGACTTTTATCGTGGGACGTTAGGCAACCCAGTTAACATCAACACGGATATGGTTATTATGGATATTTTTTTTTATAGCTAGCTAATAAAAGTCAGTATTTAGAATAATAATAGTTTATTAATAAATAATAGCTAGAGGTTTAGTGCGAATACAGATAAATACTGATACATAAGTTAGGTAACATAACATAATAAAAGTTAGTTTTTTACAAAAGGAATACTAAACCATCAAACCTAAAGACTTTTTCTCTTTATTTTTAGGTACCTATATATTTTAAGCCTTTAATTTGTGATTTTATTATCACTTTATTTAAGAGGTTCCAATGCCAATGGCAATTCCAGCAACAAACGATATTAAAAATATATGAGATTCTTTAACTTCGTATTTTTCTTCTCCAAGAATGTTTGAGTACCATCTTTTGGCCTTACCTTTGTTTTTCTTTAGTTTATCTTCAGCTTGGTCTATTTTTCTATCGATAAAACGTTCAGCCTGTAAAAAATTAAATGATAACAACATAAAAATTTAATTAATTTATTAAATAGCTTAAAATATATGTACATAATAATATCTAATGTGAAGCCAAACCAATCAAAAAACCACCAGTGAAGCCTGCAGAAAATGGCGTGTTAGTTCTAGCAAAATTCATGACCTAAAATAAGGCAATTTATTATAAAATTATAATTTTATTTTAATTTTTTGTCAGTTTGGTTCTAAATAAAGCAAAAATAATATGTATACTTTTAAAACTCATTTAGATTGTCCTGGAGTGTTTCCTGAAATATCAAAAAACACCCCACTGTTTGGTGTTTTTAAAGTATTTTTTAAAAGAAACTAAACCCTGTAGATAATTACCTTGTCCATCCAGGAAGCCCCTTGGCCTGTTACTTTTTCTTCCACTTTATCTGCAACCTTATCAAGTTTCTTGTTCACTTTATCCCAATTTATGTTTATAAACCCCTTCTCATTAGCAATTTGTAGTAATATTATACCACCTCCCAAAGCTAGGGCAGCTGTTTTACCTACTCGCATAGCCAAAAAACCTGTTACCCTATAAAAAAACATAAGAATATGGTTTATATAATAATACAATTATTTTCAGAAAATAATACAAAATATATAATGTATTATTTTCAGAATATGACGAAATTAGCGTTTAACTGACAGATGGATAACCTCAATAATTTGTATTTAAATGTCAAGGTGACAGTTTTGGGTGTGGAGCATAATACTTACCATCCTGAGGAAGCCCCTAGAACAATTTGCTTGGTAGCTGAAGTCTTACTAACATCTCCTAAAATTTTTTCAATATATGATTTTGCGTCTTTGTTAATATCAGCCATGTTTATAATCTCCTTGTTTTTATCCTCCTTGGATGACTTTATGACAGGCATTTCTAAAAAAGAATTGTAATTATAGGAAATTACGCATTTAAATAACAAAAATACTAAAACGCACCCAAAGTAAATATATATTTATAAATGTGACATTACAGGAATGTATGTATGTAAACAATATTGCGCAAGCGCCGACTCATAAGAAAGAAACAATCGATTTATTAGGTTAATTTAATTTAGTTTGCACAATATTTAGTTGTTTTATTATTAAAATATATCTTTAAACTTTAAATAAACAAAGCATATTGTGAAATATTTAATCTGAATTTGAATTTACCGCCTGTTAAGTGACAGTTAGACTTCCAGTGTGGCCACCAGAATGTAGGGATATTTCATCTGTCACTAGTGTCGGTTGTAAATGTTTTTCAACGTTAACGCCCGGGATCTATTTTTGTAATAAAGCAACAAGTGTCAACATTAGAGCGATTCAAATTTAATATGGGTTGTGCTGTGAGTACAACGGGCGATAAACAAGCACAAGCCAAGTCCAAATTAATCGACAAAGGGCTCAGGGAAGATGGAGAAAGGGCAGCAAGCGAAATCAAACTGTTACTTTTGGGTAAGCGTCAAAAACCAATTTGAAAAACGGCTTTAAACAGCGTTAAATGCAATTTAAGGTGCTGGAGAGTCAGGAAAAAGCACCATTGTCAAACAGATGAAAATAATACATGAACAGGGCTACTCTCATGAAGAACGGGAACAATACAGGCCAGTTGTTTACAGCAATACAATACAAAGTCTTATGGCTATTATTAGGGCCATGGGACAGTTAAGGATCGATTTTGCTGACCCCAGCAAAACTGTAAGTAATGTTAAATATTAATATATCAAAATCAATTATTTATTAAATATATAATAAATAATGTGATAATTTAAAACATTTCTTTTTAACATGTTATTAGTCATAAGTCAGTTGAATAATCAAAGTATGGAATTAATAAGGAATTTTGTCAATAATTACTATTACTATGATTACATTGTTAAATACAGCAATAGTTACTAATACTACTAAATTTAATTCCCTGGATGTATGACTAATGATGTCTTGTTTTGTTATTTTTATTGATAATATTCATAATATTATAATATTAAACATACAGTGTGTTTTGGCCAGTGATGTAACCGATACATTTTTTTCAGTATCTAGGTACCGATACAGATACTCTCTGGTAGATGTATCTGGGTACAGATACCGATACATTTTCCCAAAAGTATCTGGGTACAGATACAGATACATTCAAAAAGTATCTAAGTTACTTCCAGATACTATGTTAAAAAAACTTAAAAATTAAATGACAAAAAAATTTTTTTGGACCTTATAAACAAGCGTGTTAACCATAAAATAAAACTGTTTTGATAAAATTGACGAAATATCCATGAAAAACGGAAATAAATTTTATATTTACGCGCCATATGAAAGCTTACTACAAAATTTGTAGTACAAATTCAAAATTATCGTTAGGTCTCTGGGTTCGGTACAGTGTTGCCAGATGCTTTTTCCTGTAAATCCATCCTTCTTTCCTTCCTCCCGTAAAAGATGAACAATACGAAAACAGTAGTTCAGTTTATAGATTAGGGTACGGGAGTCTATACACAGCACTACGGTTTTCGTATTGTTCATCTCTTACGGGAGATATCAAAAATATCCAATGTAGGTATATATCCTGGATATCCATAGAGTATATCCATTGGATGTTCATTTTCCGTGTGGCCCACACGGTGTGGAGTTGCAATCAGGTTGGGTAAAATAAAATGTATCTTGTATCTAAGGATCTAGATACTTTCAAAAGGATCTAGATACTAAAGTAGATCCTGATTTTTTTAAGTATCTCGATACGTATCTAGGTACATAAAATGTATCTAGATCCAGTATCTAGATACATGTATCTCGGTACATTACATCACTGGTTTTGGCCATACATTTATTTCTTAAGTTATGTTTGGAAATCACACCCAAGTTCTTTGCTTTTAATTTCAGGATAGATAATATATTAAAAGATGGCAAAAAATTCTTATTTTTGTACCAAATAATTTTTACTCTTGTATCAGTTCCATACAGTCAAGTTTAAAACAAAACAGCTCTTGATGTTTGTAACAATATAATAAATAAAACTAATTATAAATTAATCTGATGACATATTACACCTAAATAAAAAATCCAATATGACAATTTTCTTATTAGGACATAGCACGACAATTCTTCACGTATGCCAGTGCAGCAGAAGAAGGCGAACTAACTCCTGAACTTGTTATTCTAATGAAAAAACTATGGCAAGACATGGGAGTGCAATTGTGTTTTGCCAGGTCCAGGGAATATCAACTAAACGATTCGGCAGCGTATTATTTAAACGCTTTGGATCGAATTTCGCAACATGGTTATGTTCCCAGTCAACAGGATGTCTTGAGGACAAGGGTCAAGACTACAGGAATTGTGGAAACGAACTTTTCCTTCAAAAATTTGCGTTTCAAGTAAGAACAAATTTATACTTTTTACCGATAAAACATAAAAAATATTTTTTTCCATAGAAATTAAAATCACAATAGCTATAATAGCTATCAAACTTGCCAAGTTGTCTATGATCTGTTTAAAATGTCTAAATATAATCTAAAATGTCCCACAACTGTCTAAGAATGATCTAAAATATCTATGATCTGTTAAACTCTCTTAGAACTATCACACTATTCAAATTGTCTAAAATTATCCCAAAACTGTCTTAAAATGTTATAAAATGTGCTAAATTGTCTATAATCTGGTAAAAATGTCCAAAATATTCTAAAACTTTTTAAAAATGATATAAAATGTCACAAACCGTCAAAAATGATCTAAAATGTCTACATATATCCTAAAACTTTCCAAGAGCTATAAAACCATTAAAAGGGTCTAAGAATTATCTAAAACTTTCTAATAATGATCTAAATGTCTCAAAACTGTTTGAGAATGATATTAAGTCTTTTTAATTGTCCATGTTCTGTGAAAAATGTCTAAATACATCCCAAAACTGTCCAAGGATAATATAAAATGTCCCAAAACTGCCTTGGAATGATCTAAAATGTCCTAAATTGTCTATGATCTGTTAAAAAAGTCTAAATATATTTTAAAACTGTCTAATAACTATCATACCTTAACATTGTCTAAAAATGATCCAAAATGTCCCAAACCATCTCAGAAAAATTTATAATATCCTAAAACCTTCTAAGGATGTTCTAAAATGATCTGTTAAAAATGTCTAAGTATCTTCTAAAATGTCCCAATTCTATCTAAGAAAAATTTAAAATGTCTTAATTTCTCTATGATCTGTTCAAAATGTCAATAAATATCCTAAAACTGTTCAAGATTAATATAAAATGTTCCAAAACTCTTTAATAATGATCTAAAATGTCCTAAATTGTCTATGATCTGTTTAAAAAGTCTAAATATATTTTAAAAGTATCCAAGACCTATCAAACCATGAACATTGTCTAAAAATATCCCAAAACGTTCTAATAATGATCTAAATGTCCAAAAACTGTCTAAGAATGTCCTTAAATTTTCTAAATAGTCTATTTGCTGTGATCAATGTCTAAATGTATTTCAAAACTTTCTTAGAACCATCAAACTATTAAAATTGTCTAGAGAAATATTTTAAAACTGTCTATGAATCTAAAATGTCCCAAAACTACCTAAGAATTATTTAAAATTTCTCAATTTGTCTATGAGCTGTTCAAAATATATTCTAAAACTACCAACCATTAAAATTGCCCTAAAATGTCCCAAAACGGTTTAAAGAATGATTTAAAATATCCTAAATTGTCTATGATCTGTTCAAAATGTCTTTTATTCTATAACTACAACCAACCACTAAAATTGTCTAAAATGCCCCAAAACTTTCTAAATGTCCTAAATTGTCTATATCTCTAAACCATTGAAATTGTCTAAAAATATCATAAAACTGTCCAAGAATTATCTTAAATGTCTCAAAACTTTCTAAGAATGATCTAAAATGTCAATTTTTTTTTTAAATATCCTAAATTGTCTATGATCTTTTCAAAATGTCTATTATTCTAAAACAACAAACCATTAAAATATCCTAAAATTGTTTTTGAATGATCTAAAAATGTCCCAAAACTTTTTTCTGCCATAAAATCATGAACAAGGTTTTTTAATAGATTTTAATTTTGTTAGGATGTTTGACGTTGGTGGTCAACGCTCGGAGAGAAAAAAATGGATTCATTGCTTCGAGGGGGTCACCGCTATAATATTCTGCGTAGCTCTTTCAGGTAATTTTTTCGTTTGCATTGTGAAACATCACCATTTTTGTCTATATATTTTTCTAGGATACGACCTGGTATTGGCTGAAGATGAGGAAATGAACAGGATGGTCGAATCGATGAAGCTGTTCGACTCGATTTGCAACAGCAAGTGGTTCGTTTCCACCTCGATCATTTTATTCTTGAACAAGAAGGATTTGTTCGAGGAGAAGATCCTGCGCAGCCCTTTGACGATCTGTTTCCCCGAATACAGCGGCCTGAATACTTACGAGGATGCCTCGAATTACATACGCAAGAAATTCGAGAATTTGAACATGCGCAAAGATCAGAAGGAAATCTACACGCACTTTACTTGCGCCACCGATACAAACAACATTCAGTTTGTCTTCGATGCTGTCACTGATGTTATTATTAAAAATAACCTCAAGGATTGCGGTCTCTTGATGTAATGTGCCAATTGTTACATTTTAGATAATTTACTGTTACTGCTAATAATGATGACAATAATTGAAAACAACTGCCAATTTTTGTATATATATACTAAATCTCTGTCAGGTAAATTTTGATCTCTAAATTTATTCCAATGTTTGCAGTATTTAATTTTTTGTGCCTTAGTATTTTAACCAACTTAATTAATTTTGGTTAATAATAATTATTTGTGTACTCATTTTTTCGAACATAATTAAATTAAAAAAGTATTAAAAACAATTTTTTCAGACTGCTACTTAATATGACTTGTTAACATTTGTTATTTTTGCATTTATTTATTATGAAACTACTAAAAATATCAAATGTTACATTAATTATAGAATAGATGAGTAAGTTAAACTTATTTTATATACATTTATATAATCTTTATTATATCTTGTTATTTAATATCAAGATCTTTTTTATACTTTTGTACTTTGTCAATTATATTGTAAAATGTATATTTTAAGAAGCATATTTTTCTTAAATACATAACGTGATTTTTGTAAACTTTATGGGCTTTTCTCTGGTTCACACTTTCTCAAATAACCAGATATATTTTTGTATGATAATAAATATAAATAAAATACATTTTGAAAAACAATTCCAAGTTTTATTTAAATCACCTTTAAGTATACTAAAATAAATTGTAAAAACTTTTTTTTTAATTCGTATCCTAATTATAGCATATACCTATTGTAGTTTCAGAGATAATTTAGAAAATTTCGATTTTATCTTATCTTAAAATTTCCATGTTTACAACTGAAAACACATCTTAACACAATTGTTATCAGTGTTACCAACCTGGTCGCTTTAAAAATCCCTAAATTTGATTTTAACATTTCCAAGTTTTTAATTATTGCTTAAAGCCTTGGACTACTTTACTTTATATTTTCTTAAAATTACCTATCCCCATTCGCCGTGCTTCATGGTAAGAATTATTTTTTTAAATATCAACGATACAGACGCAATCATAGAAAAAGGATATATTAATTATAATTGCTTCTGTATCGTTAAATAAACTCACACTAGCTTTTTAAAAACTTTAACACAAAAAGCCAAGATACATACACATACAAAACCTAACACAAATATCGTAAAAGGGAACGCAAATTGCGTTCTGGGAAACCCAGCGTTTTGTTCATGATTCATTATTTGCATAACACATGGCTGGCTCACTTTTAAAAATTGAAATAAAGGTAATGGTTATAAAATTAAAAGTTTTTGTTAAATTTTAAATAAGATAGATTTTGTCCAATTCCCGACTGTCGCAAAAAATCACTAGAACTAGAGGAAAAATCCATAGGTTGGCAGGACTGCTTATTATGAAAACAATCTGCAAAAAATCTTCTTTTTTTGTTAAAATAGTGCTCGTGGTTAAAAATGACAGACCATATCAAAATACTGCAATTTTCTCCAGAATTTTGGTAATAATTATACCCTTTAAAACGCATTATTAAAGTCAAAATGACAAATTTGTTGATCTGCGTATACATTGAAGATTTCCACCTAGTGATTGCAAGTCTTTGCCTGTTGCATATTTTGAAGCTTTTAACAACATGTGATTTTGTGCGATTTGTGTGATTTCATGTGATGTATGTGCAGGTTGAATGGTGGGAACCCGCTGGGAACAATTGTAAGCTAATTTTGTATGTTTTCATTCAGATATTTTTGCTGTTGGATTTCTTAATGTCGTATAGGACATGATGCTGTTTTTACTGGATATGCATCCAGAAAGTTCCTGTATGAAACCCTGACAGAAACCCTGTGTATGTTGGTGAGTACTTTTTTAATTTTGCAAGTTTTTTTCCCCGATGTCGTAGTTATTGCCGGGTAACCCGGCCCGGGTTAGATAAATATTGTCAAATTGACAAAAAACACATGTTTTGAAAGGATTCTGTAAAAAAATCACAGTGTTAGTCATTTGGTTAGTTATAACTATAGTATAATACCATTGAGTAAGATGATAATACACTATAGTGTATAGTATGTTTTAATTTAATAATTTAAAATTTTTATATCGAAAAAATTACACAATTTTATCATAAACATTATATGTTTGTGTATATAATTTAAAACAAACAAAATGACTGCTGAGACTGAGACTTGACATTATGTGGAGGTGTTTAAAATCCCCAAAAATGTGTGATAAACGCCATTTTAGTCACGAATTTAATTTGGGCATTAAATTAAATTAAATGAGTGTCTAGAAAAGTTTATAAACTTGTTCTACTTATTTTTATCTAAAAATTATTTAATTTAAATATTTGGATAGAGCGAAATCTATAAAACAATAGAGTAACCAACTTGGAAATCAGTATAACACCGTGAAAGTGAAGAAAATATTTTTATTGTCACTTCAGGGTGGAGTCTCTACCTAATACTTTTGTATTTTCGTATTAAGATAATAAAGTAATTTTCACATTAAGTATTATTTTACAAGAAAGGCAAATTATTTTAACGATTGTATGACATTTGTAACTAAAAACCTGTTGCTAACTTCAGTCCGTAACTAAAACACCATAAAGCCTTAGCTTGAAAACATGTACGATAATGGGCTTTTAATTTTTAAATTATTTTTTTTTTAAATTTTAGATGGTATTGTTTCAAAAATAGTTATTTATGCCATAAGACTGATAAGTTAGTCTTTTTGTGCTGAGCTCAACTGATTTAGTCGACTTTATAGTGATTTTTCATGATTTATTTGCTTACGTTTTATGTTGTATTTATCTTGCGTTTTATACAGGACCGGCTTTAAATTATTGTATTTATAAATATAATTTTAATGAATATAAATTTAATTAACAAACAGATAGGTATTTATTTGGTTTCAAATTTAAAATGGTTATAATAATTATAATCGATTTCCATTGATCTAAATTCAATAAAAAAAGAAATCTGTATTTCTCGATAACAGAAAAACTACTAGCATTATTGGGTTTAGCGTACTAGAGTTAGGTAATCCCTCTTGTTAGATTGGTTTAGATTGGTTTAAACGGTTTTTTGACAGAGTAGGAGGTAAAAAACTTTACCAGATTGGTCTTAATAAGATAACATATTTATAAGTTAGGATCGTCTTAATGAGACGAAATGAAAGGTATTGTGGTGGACAAAAGTAATGCACTTTGGCATTTAAAAAAATTGCCAATCAGCTTTGTTGATGAAGTTTCTTCTTACGTAATGTTTTTTAACACAATTTTTTTTTGTGTGCTTTGATCCTTGATTAATAGGGAAATGCCTGAAAAATATATCCAATATAGTAATATAGGTAACTTTTATATACATTATGCATAAATAAAATAAAATTAGTTTTGTTGGTTTGAACCTATTTTGAATTTGATTATGACCCGAAAGCCATTCAAGTACAAGGCTTTCTGAGCAACAATCAAAATAAAACGAGGTTCTAGTTCGGCGCCTGGAAAGTAACAAAGTAAAAAAAGTTAAAAAGGACAAATTTACGTCTTTCGACGTGCCAGTGAGTGAGTCCTTGCAATTATAATGAGACCTAAAAGGTCCCTATTAAAAATTCAAAATTGTCACTGTCTCGCGAACTGCAAATTATTCAATTATTCAACTTGGCACCACAGACGATGACACTTGACTGTTGGGTTCACTTCGGTGCCGAAAAGTAAACTGTGTCTCAATTGTTGAAATTCCGGGTTTTGTTGGAAAACATCGCGTGCTCCGGGTCTTGCGCCCTAACGGCCGCCACTGTGAGTGGCCGGCCGGTTTCCGCAGGCCACTCCCCCATTCCGGCCTAAAATGGAGATTCCTCAGGATTTAAATATTAATTAGGAAATCACACCCGCATCAAAATATTTACCCTTTGCACTGTTTTTAATTTGACAGCACGTGACAGGGGTTTTTTACCCAATATCGGATGCAGCGGATCTTTCATAATTTAGCACCTGGAAAAATCGTTTTATATAATATAAGATATTCTAAATTTAGTCATATTTATTTAAAATGTTGCATGCTTCTCTAAGCAGCTCGATACTTTTTGAAATCATAGTCGATATCGTTAAAATAATTCATTACGTAATACGTATCTGGCTAGTCGGCTTTCTATTGGTCGCTCTTCGTGCCTAGAGCCAGCCAATGAAAGCTAAGTTGTCCGTATAAATTACCCAAAATTAAATATTTTATTCAGCGCTTGACAGTTGCATAAAATAAATTATATAGGTGCTAGATGTAATTATTCATGAATTCAGCGATTGCAAATATATAAATGAAAAATTATATCTATTAAATAAAAATTAAACTGCCGTGTTGATATTTTAATGGTTTTATTAAATCTTGAATAAAATCACATGGCAGATTTTCAATTAGTTCGCCACGGTAAACTTATTGTTCGGAAATCGTGAAGGGGAATTCAATGAAATAACACAAAGTACGAAATTTGCCCACTAAACCTTTTTTACCTGTATTCGATAAAAAAAGAAATGCATCTAACCCCTATCGTATTTTTTTACAAAAGGGGGAAAGGTTTTGGCCTATTTTTGTCGTTGAATTAACCAAGGTGGCAAATTTAATGAACAAACGGTTGCTGAAATTTAAAAAAATACATTTGATTATTGAGTTTCAGAGTAAAAAAGTACGTTAATTTTTTATACAAAATATTTTGAGAAAATGGTTAAATTTTAAATCTTTATTTATTGTGAGATTTTAACCGGATTTGTTTTAAAGTGTAGATCTTGATAAACTGTACTTTTGGTGCAAAAACGCCATATTTTTTAAAAATACAAGGCCTTCTATGTCAGTTTTTGAGAGTAGGTACATTTTTAATAATAATAATAATAGCGATTTAAAAAAATCCCTGCATGGCAATGGATTTATTAAATTTTTTGTAGCTAAATTAAAAATGCACAATAATTACTAGTTACGAAAATTTATTCTGTCAAGTTATCCATAAAAAAACATTGAAATTGAAGTTAATCTAATAGTAACATGTTATAAAAAATATTCCTATGCTTAGTTTTGACAAATAAAAACGCAATAGAAACTTAAAACAACAATGAAACAAAAAATTAGATTTTTGTCACCTCTACTAATCTACTATTTATTTCAATACACTTTTATATTTGTTCTGTTATTACCCTAGCCCGTACTTCTTGTGTACGAAAATCTAATTGTGGAGAATTTTTGGAATTCTCTATTTTCTTTCATTATTGTTTTAAGTTTCTATTGCGTTTTTTATGCATGAATATGAGTTCTTAAAACTGTACTCTCAAAAACTGACATAGTAGGCCTTGTATTTTGTACGAATATGGCGTTTTTGCTCCAAAAATATAGTTTATCAAGATACACTTTAAAAGAAATCCGGTTAAAATCAATAAATCAAGATTTTACAGGGGTGAGTCGCGAATGGTTCACACTGTATACATTTGCTATTTGCTACAGCATGCAAAAGAAATTAATTTGGGAAGAAGGGTTAAATTGTTATTATTTTTAAAAGTTTTTTTATATTTTACGTTAGTTTATTTATAAGTAATTAAAAAAATGTTTTTTTAGACATTTTTGCATTAAAAAAAGTGGCACATTTTTTATTAATAATATTTTCTTAAAAAGCTACAATTATAAAAAAGTAAATTTTACATAAAAAAAATTAAATGTTTTTTCTTAAATTATTTTATGTAAGGCTTGAAATACTTTGTTAAATAAACAATACAAAAAATATTATATTTTTAGGATGTGTGATCTCAAAAAAATGCTTGTTGAATTTATTACTATAATGCTCCAAGCATTTTTAAACAAAAAACTTAAAAACTAAATTAACATAATAATAAAACATTTTCAGAAAAAGCATCATGGCTATAATGGATCTCACGACGCTCTTTCAATATAAAAAAAATATATAAAAAAAGTTACCAAAAACAAAAAATAATCCAAAATAAAAGTTATCACATCACTGATTGGAAAAACTAAAAAAAATTAATAAAAACACTTAACACAAATTATTGCGAAAAAAGTTGGGTAAAAGAACTTAAAAGTTTCAGTACCTACTCAGCACCGTGTGGTTGGATGGTAACTGACAATGTGACAGACGCAACCCATTTTTTAGTGTGTGTGTGTTTGGTTGATTGCAATCTTTGGCAAGATTCGGGTACACAAAACCATGCATGTGTGTGTGAGACCGTGTTAAGGCTAAAGGATAGCGCACATAGCACCTGGATATCGCATCTACCCCTCTCGCCCGGCACGAATCCGTTCCGTGAAAAAAAAACTAAAACGTAAAATAACGAAACCGGCTCGAATGGGATATACATTTTTAGGGAGCATTGTCAATGGGGTTGAATAATGGAATCTGAGACGCAACAGACCTACCCCTAAAACTCACCCTTTTCGATGATGATGATGCTGCAATGCAATGAGTTCCAACCGTCGCGTCGCGTTAAAATGATTTTTTTTTTCGGAAAAACATTCAAAAGAACCATCACACCCGTCTGCTATCTCACTTAAAAATAACATTGCCGTAAATATTTTTAAGACAACATTTTTCATCGAAAAACTTTAACCCTTTCACGTTCTTGCCACCCTGTATATTATTAGGCACTTATCTGGTTTGACTGGACTGCCCATGGTCTGCTACCTTTATTTGTCCATGTGAGAAAAACTTCCCTTTACAATTTAAAACAGTTTTTTATAACTTTGTTATTTCTGGGAATTTTGAAGTAGCATGTTAAAATTTTTGCCTAACTGTATAAGTAATATTATTGTAGTAGACTACTAGTAGTATTGTATTTTTTCTACTTTTTACGAGTTGATCAAAACTATTAA